GATATTTTCGAGGCACGCACGTTTTAAAAGTGATGGTGTAAAATAATACACAATATAGGTGCGCGCGTATGCGTAAGCGGTACAAGAAGCAATAATTATTTCAATACAATAATAAGTACTGATGTTATGTAACTCATTATGTGTATCGATCGAATCGTTTCCGCGTTTCAGATTAAAAAATAGCATCGTGTAAAAAATAATAATAATAATAATAACACATACACACATACGATTGCCTATCGCAATATTAACTTATTAATGATTGTTATATTATACTTGTACACCGACCTAGTTATTCGCGCAAATAATAATAGTATAATATACAAGTATATATTATAAGGATAGCCGTAGCGGTTTTTAACCAGTACAAAAAAAAAAAAAAATCTATTACAATGTCCCAATAAAACTAATTGCGCGTTAAAATAACAAAGTTTCGTGATGGGTTTAAGTTGGGATAAGTTTAAAATATTATTGATTATTATCTTATAATCGCATAGTTATAATAATGCAATATTACTGCAGGAATTATTATACATTTTTTGAACCGAAATCCGTCGTGTATTTTAATACTCTTTTTAGTTATGTATAATTTCATAATAAACGATATACATATTTTGTACAAAACTTATAACTGTTAAAAATATTAAAAACATACGAACACAAATCGCACGATGAGTGTATCACTGTTGTAGGTGAGAAGTTGGGAAGGTATTGGATGGGAAATTGAATGTATGTCTACAATCTGTAGGCAACGGTTATACATTTCTAACGAAAAACTTTTCTGAGCGGATTTCGGTTACATATGTTTTGAAAGGCCGTAATACTAACGATTTGAAAATAATACGTTTCGTAAATTGCCCCGTATTCTTAGGCGTTTCCCAATTATTATGAAATTTATTATGAAGTTTAAACGATTAATCTTAATGAATATGTTTTTAAGCATACAAATTTTAATTAAAACTGATCAATTTTCATTAATAATAATGTAGGTGAAAACAACGTTATAACATTGATTTTTATGATTTAATGTTTACAGTGTTAATTTTGAATTCCATTTAGATGATTCATCTGATATTATCATCAAAAGTGAACCTTACGTGAACCACGGTTTGGAATTATATTATATTATATTATGTAAACGGCTATAAATATTGCTTTAATAATAAATATATTATGCCGAAAGGAATTTACAGATTCGGAACGTCATAATTTTCTTCAAAAGACAAATATCAAACATTTTTTTTCAACACGATCTTTATCAATTTATAAAAAAAAAATAAAAAAATACACATAACTATTATTAGCCAGTATTTATACTATAATACATTTTTATAAAACATTTTAAACTGAAATACAATAAAAAAAATTTGAATAATAAAAACATTATTTTCTTAAATTTCCCTGGTTTTTCCACGTTTTTGCCCATTTACCAATTACGAACTAGATTAAATTTCCTTTTTTTCTGGTAGAAATGTTATGCATAGTTAAACAAAAACAATATAAACATTATTGTAAAATTAATACACTCCTCGCTTCGCTCCGTACTAAAAATGCATTTAAAACAAATTTTCCGTTCCTTCTAAAATTAGCTAATACTTAGCCTGACGTTAGATTCCTCATTCCTCATTGTATTTTATTATTTTATATTTTACCAACACGGGAACACTATACACTGTAAAATATTACATATATATATAAATACCGGACACATCACTAAGCGATTCACGAGTATAATCAACTGTTTCCAAACTAGCAAAACAAAAAAAAAAATATACCTTCCCTTTCCATATCATACAATAATTTCTACTATTAAACGATAAGTAAACGAATAGTCATTTTCGTCAAAACAATTTTGACATCACTGCAACACATACAGATAAATGCATAAATTCTATTCAATTATACTTGCAATGTAAAAAAAAAAAAAATAAAACAGAAGTGCTGCGTACACATAATAAATTATCTTATTAATTCAGTATAATTCGTTTACCTTACATCGTCTATAAAATGTATACGCATAGCTATACATTAACGTTTTAAATTGTGACTATGAAATTTCAACTTAGGGATTGGCCGTTAAACCATTCGTTCAAAATTAACAAATTGATCCAGATTCAACAATCGAGACATATTTATTCGATGAACTTATTTCTTTCTTCATTTGAACTATTGAATCGCGAGTCACCACGAGTCATCACCTTGTATCTACGACCGAATACTGATTATTATATACCACTGATAATAGATATTTGTGCGATAGACTACAGGCACACATACATACGATTCACACACGGACTTAACAAATCGCCATCAAATTGTCTATAAGTACTTAACTCCTTAAATCCAGTCGGTTTCGAATCCTTAATTTGGCGACGAAATGAAGTTATACAATCAACAAGGCTTGAGTTTTATACTGAAAGTACAAAAAAGCATTGTTTTACTATGTGGCCCATTGGACACAGACGACTAATCCACGTTTGAACTATTAAATGGACCTTAATGATTAGATTAAGTTTAACAAAAATATCAATTAGGTACTGTTTGATTAAAATAATATTCTAGAACAGTTTTTTAGACTTTATTCGTATTTTATTATTTCAATATGTTTAGTATTCTCTGTTCCGACATTTACGAGCTGTCTGTAGAACTGATTTACGTGGTTAGATAAATTGATTCTTGGTATATATTTCCCCCCACCTTTCGTCAGAATAATGTAACGATGTAAAAACTAAGCTACATCGATTATTATTAAAATGCATATCAAAATTTTATTAGAATAATGAAAGACTTGGTATAAGTATTGATTTCATTTTACCATAAAATTATCAGCAAATCTGTGGCATCAGAAACCCATAAAAATATATCTACTCATATTATAATGGTGATTTTAACAACTTGGGTTTTTTTAGATAAAAAAGGTCTTATATTTTAGATTTTGAACCGAATGAGGATTATTTAGTACATATGTAATCTCCTTATTAGTTTCAGTACACTATAAACAATTTCCAAATTATTATTAATTTTGATTAATAAAATAACGCTATTTTATTTATCTTTTTCCCATTGATCATTTTTTAGGTATAGAAACAGGAATCGGAGAAAACTCACACTTTAACTACTTGACACTTTTAACGTAAAATCTTATAGAAATGAAGATGTATATAAAAATATTTCACTTCGCTCCACGAGAACCTAACCTATAACCTAATAGCTGCAGGATTCTGATTATTGTGTTGATGTCGATGTTGCCGATAACTACAGTGATTGAATTATAGATTCTGAGTGTAGTGAAGAATTTATTGATTTTACAAAAATGTTTTTTTTTTTTGTACTGTGCATCTACCAAAAAGCTTACTCTTATGTATACGATGTAGACCTTTTTCTGAAAGGAAATTTTCTTGGAATGATAATTTATGAAGGTTATTTTGATTTTTTAAAGAGTTTTCCCAATAAATGGGAAAAACTGGGGAAAAACGGAGAAATAACGGGAAATTAGGTACAATATTAAACAAATATTATTAAAAAAAGTATATAATGCCTATTTAGTTATTTAATATTTTACGACAATATGATATATAGACAAGACATTTCTATCAACTGAACTCAGAATCTTTTTTTCATAAGTAATGGTTTATCCTTTCTTACAGATATACATTAAATTCCCTTCTGTATCTTACATTCCCAATTTCCCATCTACAACAGGGGCTGCACACACGTGCAAAATATGTCCATCAATTATTTATTTTTTTTATGGATATTTGAAAAATATTGTTGTTTTTATGCATGAATAAATTAACTACAATTTTAATGTTTCGGTGACACGAAAATAATAAAAAAAAAAGCGACGTACATAGGTACCCAATATTACTCAGGGTCAAAAGATACGACTGAACCTATGTGATAGTACAAATTTCAATTCATAATAATCATAGCATTATTTAATATAGACAATATGACTTATAATATTCGCTGAACATCAGCCTATAGGGGGGGGGGAGTTAATCACGTTCACACTCCCTCCCGATAAATGTCGTGTGATACTTATAGGTGAGATGGATGTGCTTCCTAAAGTCGTCTAAAATATTTTGGGCGAAAAGGCTAGGTCTGCTAGACACATGGAGACCGATTGCCGAGAGTTAAGCAAGGCTGTAGTGGAGGGTATACGGCGCATACCGCCGTATACCTCCCGGTCATAGTTGTATAATCTCTGTTTTAATAAAATAACAAAATATTATGTACAATTTTAGTTTATAAGTAAAGGTATTATTATTTCCATTTTTGGTTGATTTACAAAAACACAGACAAAAGATGCATACATATCCGGACCACGAGACGCAATATACTGTAGATTATTATGTTACTATATTATAGTGTAATCTCTGGTTTTTTTTTTATAATTACAGCACTGGAGTTAAGTTTGGTTAGGTTAGGCAGAGCATAACTAGCGGGAAGAATTATTGATAAAATGTGATAAGAAAATCGGATATGAAAATTCACTCTAAAAATGTGATAATTTGTTTTTACAGAAATAGGCTAAGAGACGTCTCGACATTTTGTGTTTATCGTCTGTACGAAATTTCACTGTCGCGAAAAAAAAAAAATGATAAAATAAATCGAAAAATCGAGACACCCGTAACCGCTCCACGCCCGCAGTAGACCCCGACCGGGTGTACCGCCGAATTCGACCATTTGTCGGCGGATTATTATTGTTATTTTTTTTTTTTTTATCGCGATTTCATTATATTTACGTCAACGTCGTCGCGCGCGAAAAAAAAAATAAATAAAAAAAACAGGCAACCGGTCGCAATATATTTATTATTATTATTTATTTAATTTTTTTTTTTCTTTCTTTTTATAATAATAACGATGCGATGATAATGAAAACCGGAGCTCGCGCGCGATTATCCACGGGTTTTTATACGCGGCGGGTGGGGGAACGCGCGCGCGTCTCCCGACAGTCGACCGCCGCGGTCACCGCGTCGTCGCGTCAGTCCGGTGTGCGGATCGCGTCAACCGCCGTCATCGCTCGCGTCGTCCGCCGTCCGCCGCACAGTACACGCGCGACATTGCGACAACAGCGACGAATACGCAAAATTATTATCGCAAACCTAAAAGCCGCCCGGTCATTGTTCACAACGCCCGTCGCGTTTCGGTCGTATTCGTACCGCGGTACCGGCGAAATTGTCGTTCAATAATATCGCGCACCGCCTTTGCACCATGCGCGCCGCGCGCGCAGCGACAAGAACCACGACGCCGGTGCCGGAGTCGCGTCCGCGAAAGGCCTAGGGGTTCGTGCCCGGAGGGTGGACACCGCCGTCTCTTCGAAACCTAACCCGACCCAACCGGACGTGACGCGACCGCCATGTCCGCCGCCGCGACCGGTCCCGGCAGGAACATTAACAACAACGTGATCGAGACCGCCGACCGGAAATGGAGTCCGGAAGTCCACACGAAAATATTCATACCGCCCATAAACATCGTACCGTCGCCCAAAACGACGCGGTTGTCGTCCAAAGGTAAGGGTCGGTCGTTCTATATCCGCATAGTGAAGGGCCGCTGAAATCCGACGAATAAATATAAAATACGAACAAGAATTATTATTTCAAGAATTTCAATACTATAAACGACAGCGAGCAATAAACTAGAAATGCATTTGTACATGTACAAAAGTCATTGGACGATTTTCAAATAGTACCATAATATGCGGAAAAAAATATTAATAATGTTCAGCTGCCCTAAAAGCATAAATAGGGGACACGCATAAAAATATGGAATTTCTAAGGCTTCCTACCCTATTTGTTTTTTTTTTTTACATTTAACCGACAGTTAAAGGTAAAATCGTGTTCTCATCTCATTTTATCCATTTTTCTACCATCGTTTAAACATTCGTTGGACATTTGTTACGTTCGTACATGCTTATTGCTTATCAACTATTATAATTGTCAAAGGGCTCTGACCAAATGTATCTGCTTCGCACCAGAGGTGCCCTGAATAGTGAATATAGTTTTAGTGGGTGTGTGTTGAATCGTTCGAATATTGACAAAATTCTATGACCTAAGTTCATACGAAATTCTAAAATGATTTAATTCCATAGCCATGCCGTCACCCAACGATTATAATCAGTAAATTAGTATTGTTCCTAACCTCAGATAATGCACATTGTATTTGTATCTTTGAATAAGTATTTGTTTTTTTTTATTTTTTTTTTTTTTTAGTAAATAAATCAATATGATAAAATTATGTGAAAAGAATTCTTGATTAGTGCGTATTTTTTTACACGGGGTTAGGTAGGTATCATTTTATACAAATTGAACCACCATAATACTATACAATATGTTTGGTCGTCTTTGATTCAAACCTCTACTACCGCATAATACGTTGTGTATGTACCGAGGACGGAGGGTGACTTGCACGCGCGTATCTATTGCACTACATCACGTGCGACCGCTTTATACCACAATATCAAGGTTAGGTTAGGTTAGGTATTTACCGGACGCCGCGGGACCGTAATAATAATTTCTAGGTATATTACTCGGTAATTATAATATTGTTACACAAAATATGAATATTAAATTATTATAAGGTATAGGAACCTAATTATTTATCTCCCACACGTAATATTTTATAGGTGTTTGGTTTACGGCGACGAATGGTTCAACGAACTTGAAATAATTTTTTTTTTTTCATCAAATTTCTCAATAAAAGTAAATCGTAATCGAATTTATATGAGAAGAGTTCATTCACATTCACACTTTTTTTATTTATATATATATATATTTTTTTACAATGAAACGATTACACTTGTAAACTATATAATTAATTATATAGTGTCACAATAGTCAGATGTAGAAAAAAAAACTACATATTTTTCTCATATACCTTACAATACACATATAAGTATAAAATATAGGTATTGTTCTATACTATTTGTAACGAAATTTGAATGAACTATTTCAGTATAAATAAGAACTACAAGTTAAATATAAGTAAGGTAATTGTACTTAATGCATATTAAGTACAACATTAAAATAATTTTATCGACGTCACTTTGATAATACATGTAATATACAGATTACTTATACATGGTATAAGTTATAGGTACATACTATATAACACTGAAAATTACTATTCAATTCTTAGTTCTGAGTTATTCAATAATATCGTATATTTTAAAATGTCCATTGATATTAGTATTGACACAAGGAGGCAGGGGGGAATGTTCTCTTGTTTAAAGTATATGGGATAAACCTATTATTTACCCCCTCTCCCCCAATAAAATACGGATAAAACTTTAAGAAAAACAAAAAAAAATATTTAAATTCGATGTTTATTGACATTTTTAGTTGATTTCTCACGAACGAAAATATTTTATATTACAATGTTAAATGACATTATTTCATTATTTTATAATATAACTGATATCATGGTTTCGAAAAACCCCGTCAAAATTGATTATATTCCTGTGACATTATCACTATTCACTACACAAATTATATCACACCATTTATATTTTTGCTTCTCTTCCCCCACACGAATAATAGTTCCTGCGCCTTTATCCAAGAATGATTTCAAGAATCGCAGTTACCTGCAGTATCAGCCACGTAGATGAATAAGAATTAAATAAATGCATATTGTTCATAAAACTAAAGCCTCATAAGTTATAAAATAATTTTTCAAAAAACCGTTTTTATGTTGTGATTAATTTAAAGCAGGAGTGGACGCAAGACAAGAAAAAATTTCAGGGATTAAAAATAATAATAATTAATACCGTTATTTTTTTTTTTAATGATTTATTATATTTTTATTAATTTGAAATACCTGATCCCCATAGTTTTCGAGGTGGGGGAAAGTTGAACCTCCAAGATCCCTATCCGCGTTCGTCACTGATTGAAGGGTTTGTATAAAACGAGTATTAAGTCACAATCTTCGTTAATTTTTCGTTAAGTGTAAAATGTTAAATTATTTGTTATTTCTATAATAAAATTGTAATTTAAAAATAATTAATAAAGAAAATTCGTTTATCTATAGGCATTAATAATTACAGCAATAATTAATCGATTGTAAAAAAATAACCGTAAATATCGTAGACTAAAAATCAATTGATATTAACAATATAGTCATATAGGTATTAATATAATTTTTATTAAATTCCAACATAAGTCAAGTAATTGAAAAACCATATGATTATTTAAAATGCATGTGCGATGAGCTCTATGAATGGTATTCATTTAAATATATAAAATGTTATTGTCTGACAGACTCGTTTTTTTTCGTGATAAAGAAACTTATTCGAATAGGAAAAAAACGACCGTTTCGAACTGTATACGCATCCGAAGGGGTGCGATATGGAGGGTTGTGGATTTGCTCCCCCGGGTTTTCGGAAATATGTTAAAAATCGAAAACTATTGTGCGGAAAAAAATTCACCAATTTATTATTAACTTGGCCCTCCCCCCAATTTACAAATGTCTACTGACGCATATATACGGTTTAAATACTACCGGTTTTATTGTAGCAAATCAAAAAGAATTTTTTTTTTTTTTTATAAATTTGAACGGTTTTATCGTTATGGTGTATTTTCGTGGCCAAGATCCGGCACTTTGAACATTTGCATAAATTCGTATTGTATTATGTCATGGTACAGTTATATGAATAGGTACGCACATAGTGCAAAAAATTATTTAAATACGAATTTTTTTTAAATATTTTAGTCACTTTTTCGTGTCAAGGAATACGTTTTTAATAACGATTCTTTTTTTATTTTTTTTATATATATATATCATGTAATTATATTCACGAACGTGTCGTTCCACATTTGTTTTCAGAATTATTATCCGTTGCTATTTGAAAATAATACAATAATAGTATACAGCTACTCAGGTGCTTCAAAAGTGAAACTTTAATTTTGCATTTTTCGCCGTTTTTCTAATTTGTGTAATTATTTTTTTAAACGAAAAACCGTCGGATCTATGACTTTACTCTGTACTAAAATACCACACAACTTTAATATGATGTTTTAATTCGTTTCAATTGATTATTTTTTTTTTTATTTTTTTTTTTACACATACGTGAGTATAGAATATATGGTGTGTATCCGTAACCGTCATTTGAAAGAGTATACTGGGAAGACCCACTTGGTAGTTTAATAATTAGTGTGTTCATTCGTTGACAACCCCGAGTATTTTTGACGGATATGATAAGAATGAATGAATGGATCAATTAAGTATTTAATTGTCGTGGATTTTTCGATTTAACAGATTATTATTATTATTATTATTTGATTTGACACGATATAAATCATCTTTTGTTATAATTGATATTTGATATACGAGCGTGTGCACGCAATCGTTGACCAAAGTACCGCGGTTAATCGAGTGGACGGAACACTCTGGTGTACCAAAAGGTTACGAACCAAAACGTTCAGTCCGTTTGTTTGAAAAAATTTACTGTTTCCCTACTATTCGTACCGACCAATCACGTCAAAGAATTTGTACCCACGTACACGTACACGTATTTAGCGGAAACCCGCCTTTAGACGTATTCCGGCGATATTATTATTTCACCGCAACCGATACTATAGTGGCGCGCTCCCACAGAATTTGTCGATATTATAACGTAACAATTATTATATTATTGTGTTTTCATCGAGGTGATTAGTAATCGTTTGTTGTAACTGTTTTCACAGCAGAGACCCGGCGGCCTGTAGCAGAAGTCCCGTCGGCACGGCGAACGAATATGATTGCGGTGGGTAGCGGCGGGAGTAGCGACAGTAGCGACGGGGGCAGTCGAGGAAGTGGCCGAGGTCGTCGGCATCCGGTGTCCCGGAACGCTTCGTACCGCCAGCCGCCGGTGACGCCCATGTCGGCCCGTGCGCTGTCACCCAGTCTGCGGTCTGTGGTGCCGCCCGGTTCGCCACCCGGGTCCGCGGCCAGGATGGCCGGCTCCTCAAGCCTGAACTCGACGGGCGGCGGTGGTCTGTTGGCGACCGTTAACCATAAACATCAGCCGACGCAAGACGCGTCGTCGCCGCTCCGGTCCTGGTCGGACGCCGTGTCCGTCCGTTCGCTGGCGTCCATCGGCATGGGATCCACCGACGGCCGAAAGCTGACCATCGCCAAGGTGCCGACTTCGCCCGCGGAACTGCTCAATTTGGCCAGCCCTAAAACGTAATTATCAAATGAAATTCTATAAATTTAAGTATTTTTGGGCTACCTTTGGACTACCTATAATACGTTTAATGCGCTTACCCAACTTTAAAAAAAAAAACAAATTTAAACCGCCAAAAAAAAAAAAAAGGCTGAAAATTCCTAAATGCGCACAGATTAATGCATTTGCATGCATTTCAAAAATCACCGAATTTTCATAAATAAATCGCATCGTACCAAAAACCAAAACGGATTAAAATACTGTGAAATCAATTTCAAAAATAATTTACGTAAACAAAATGACTAGAGAAGGGGTCAAAAACTAAAAACCCAAAATAGTCAAATAAACATTCCAAAAGCGGGTTGATCATGCGAGTATATTGTTGCACAATAATTCGAACCTTGTACTAGGAATGTCTTGCAATGGAATGCACTCACTACCCGCTACATATGCGCATAATACACACAGTTACGAGCGCGTGTGCAAACGTGGGCCCGCAGACAATATATTGTATTTTGCACGTCGGGCACACGTCCTTCCTCAATACCGGCTCCAAGTCCGGTGTAATAAAATCGAAAAAAAATAACCGTAATACCATTTCACCAACCAGTTTTTCGGCGCTCGACTTTTACTTACATGCGCGCGAGGCACGGCTGTTAATTAATAATTCTCCCGTTTCGTTTACGGCACGGGACCAAGGAATTTGTGCGACCGGCCGCCGGGAACGTTACCGTTACTGGTGTAATATCCGTACCGCGGTATCGTCACCGAGTCGTCCCGGTTACAGCCAGGTCACCGCCTTTGAAATGCCGACCCGCGCGCCAATTGTTCATTATGTTTACGCTACTAAACTTACAGCATTCTTAAGTATAAGGGCCGGTTTTTCAATTGATTTTAACTGGCAGTCACGGTGTCGGACTAGGGCTTAACTAACCGTAAACGTTATCTTTCAGTTGATCGACTCTTAACTCTGTGCTATTGTGACGAAAGCTGATATGCGCCAAAAAATCGAACGTTCCGGAATTAAACACGGTATCTGAAAAATGACGTGAAAATTGGATTTATTTTAAAATATGATACCTGTGGCTCTACAACACTAATACGACGTAGTTGTGAAACCACACGACACACATATCATATTTTAAAACAATTCAATTTCCACCTTATTTTTCAGATATTGTGTTTAATTTCAAATTCGACTTTTTGGCACACGACAGAATTTGTCACTAGCAGACTAGATGGATGACCAGTTTATCTAATCGGTACTCATTTCTACGGTTATCCTGATTAAATCCGGGCTATGGTCGAAATTTTTGATTATTATTATTAATTTGGATATTTATAATTATTGAAAGGGCTTTTTTTTTAACTTTTACGCATTATTCTAAAATTGTTTGATATATTTGTTCGTTATTGAATTGTATTCTTTTAACTATCTATCGGTAATTAATATACAATGATACTTATTTATCCAAATAAACATTTTTGAAAATTTTAACTTGAATTAAACATGTACAAATATTATCATTCGATTTTAAGCGAAACGGTAAATTATTATTTGAACGAAGTTCATACACGTTCAATTTAATTATCCGTCGTTTTTGTACTTAAAATTGTTTAAGTAAAACGTACCTGTCATATATACAGTACACACAAACTTGTCAATTATGCACCTAATTCACAATGTGTCAAATGTTTCAATATATTAATTACTATAATTAGCGATATTGCAATATTAATAAACGAGCAAATACCTATGACTTAACTGAAAATTGACGAATATAGCCCACTCCTGGCACATAGTTTTTTTTTTTTTTTTTTTTAACAGAGAACAGACCGTCGAGTAAATCATCATACTTCCTCACTCGAAAAATTAAAATAGTATTAAACATTTCACGACGTTTAGGTATATTGTATGTACGTCGTTTATCATGTGTTTATTGTATAACTCGTAGATATTCTATTAATTTTGGACATTAACACGATACCTACTTACTGATAATTTTGACTTTTCAAATGAAACGGATCTTGTTTAAGCATTTTTCAAATGATATGTTATTTTTTTCTATACATTTTTACTCCCTTTGATAGTTCACGCTTAATATTATAATAATATTCATAAAAATATGTTATAAATAATTGTAAATCAGAGTTAATACGTAAAGTTGATTTGCATGAATTACAATAGGTAGTCGAAAGTTATAATTGTACTGATGATAAGCAATAAATAATAATTGTAACAGATAATAATAACAATAATTAGACATTTTCATTATACATATTAGTATGACCACTTCAAGAAGATGTTGGTTTCATCTTTGACCTTTGATAGTTAACCCGGACTACAGAATGAATTGATAAATCGCATTTTATTTAATCGGGACATTAATCGACATATTAAATTAACTTATGGTTAATTAACTTACAGTTATAATCATTATTGAAAATCTTGCACTAAATCGTCTTCATCAAAACATCAATTAAACTCTTTTTGATTTACGACATGGCAGATGATAGTATTTTTAAGCATTATGTAGAATTGTGTAGAATTGGCGCACAATTTTACACTAGTATTCCTAACCCGATCGCGATTTATCGAATAAAATCTATTTTTTTTATTCATAAAGTAAATATATATATAAATAAAAAATGTATGTATAAAAATAAAATAAATTAATTAATGAAAGCGTCGCCTGGAATATAACGATAAGTGTATTATGTGACCGGTTTCAAATTAAAAATTCATCGTCAAGTATATCACAGTCAAAATGACTATAGTCGCGTTTTACATTTTGACTCTATGTGATGCTCGTGCTTTCCAAATCTAATCCTTCTTTGTGTTCTTCCACGTCTTTCCACCTTCTTCTCGGTCCTCTAAAGATGTTTTTTTCCGTACCACGGATATTTTTCCAGCACTGTTTAAATTATTTTTCTCATAAATCTATTAGGCAAATCCTGCAGGTTAGTGATCTATATGATGCGTAAACGTAAAATACATAGATATAGAATAGGTAACTATTTTGTTATCATAAAAACAATAATATCAGAAATTCTCCTTAGTGTTCAAACAATCAATAGTCCATTATTTATTAATTTAATCGTAAAGCAAAAAAATAAAAACAAAAATATTGTTATTAGGATAAAATGAAAACTAAATAGACTTTTGACAACAAATAACAGACTAGATTATATGATATGGTACAATATTGACAAATGGGTACAAATTTTTCTCTGGCCCTGGCTATAGTCTGATGTCGAGATTATTATTACACATTTTACAGGTATTATAATTGTTCATTGGAGTACAATGAAATTTATCTTACTATTGCACAATATATTATCTATTTTGATCGCACGTCACGTAAATAAAAATTCTGCGCGATTTTTTACGGACGAAATACATATTGACAACATTTTAACAATTATTATTAGACACGAGTAGATAGCACATCGTATATAGCACGTTGTACAGTTTAATATTATATATTTTTTGTTCATCGTGGTTCAATGCAAATAGGTCTAAAGACCGTCACGTAGGTATACAGTCATACATGTAAAGACTATTGTACCTACGTCATGTGTTTGTTTTTATATTTTTTTAACAATAGGTACAAACGAAAAATAAATTTTGTTTTTCATATTTTACGCTAAATTAAATAAAAAACATTGTGTAATATTTTTTTTAAAAAAAAGGTCAATCCACGTCATCAAATTACCATTATACATCATTGAAAACAATGTTAATGTACGTAAATCAAAGTTAGAGGTCCCGATTTTCAAGGCTGGGCATTAACGACCGAAAAATTCAAATGTTGTGTTTATTTTACTTTTAACCTTTGATCTTTTTACTACCTCAACTTATTTATTTTTACATTAAACAAAATTAATTTTTTTTTAATCAACTTATCAAAACTGAGTTAATAATTTTGCCCAGCCTCTCATACCAGTAATTCTTTTTAAATTTAATTTATTTACAAACAAGTATTTTTTTTTTTTTTTGAAATTTTAATGACCTATATATAGTTCGATTGTGCTTTATAAATTAAATTTCAAAAGACTACTTAATCAAAAAGTTGTTTGTAATTTTTGTATTTATAATTTCTACGGCACACATGTTATTTTAACTGCTATATCTGGGTCGATTTTCAAAATCTTGAGATTTTTATTCAAACCATACAATTGGGCAACATTGGGTTTTACATTTTGAAGTAGCCAGTTGCATAAATATTATATATTTACCTACTACCTACCCTAACTATTTCTAGCTTAGGGGTTAGCAGCATAAACAATGCAGACACAGATGTCGCCAGAAACCATGCAGCTGTTGATCTCCTGCGATTTGAAAACGAAAAAAAAGGGTCTAAGGAACGCCTACTTTTTTAAAATATTAATAGTATTGTATTTTATTTTTTTCGAAACATAGATGGGTAACTGAAAAACCTTTTGTTGTTGTGAAACATTTCCAAAAGTCTTGCTCTACAATTATTTTTCCTATTAAGGGTATACGTTACGGTTAACAATTTTTAGAGGTTCAATTTACCATATTCCATTTTCTAAAATATACAGTTGATAAAAAAATTAATTCGTATCTACAGCTTAACTTTCCAATTACAATATTAGGCGTTAATTAAGTCTTTAAGTAATTAAAAAAAACTGTATTAACACTGAAATATACATATCAGTATTATCACTCATATTAATATATTACTATTTATCGTGCACTCAATATGTCATGTTCAAGTGTTAATTTAGAATGATTTTCAAGTATAAGAACTAACTTCCTATCTCTTCGTACGCGTATACATATATTTTTTTTTTATAGATATCGAGGTATTAAACGAAATATTAAAAGTCAATTGAATTGAATTTGAAACTTATTGCTATTATATAAGTATTATAATAACCAAGGCTGTAAACTTACACAATTTGTTTCGCTTATTCTAAATGTTATATAGGTTTTATTAAAATACATCATTAGTTTATTACAACTGCTAAAAAAAAAAAAAAACGAGAAATATAAATACTTAATACTTTGTTAACATGAAAAATACGTTAAATAATCAAGGTTTTCGTAATAATTTGTATGATGAATTTGTGAACGAGTCACGGATACATATGACAATAATTTTATTGCCTTATTCTAGCCAAGTCGAAAACGGATTTAATTTTGTCATCTTAAAAACGTTTGCTTATTATTGTTATAATTTCTTTATTGTTTGCCATATCCTTTCACAAAAATCAGTAAAAAAAAAAACAAACATCAATGACATTAATAATACATTTATTAATGATTTGATATTTTACTATAATCTGTATACAGACAGATAGTAATTTATAATTAACGACAAAACCGGTCGAGATTGATGTTTTAATTACCTATACAACGCGTACATGGTTTTTATGTGAAATTGACAAGGAAAGTCTCAAGCAATTGCTATCTTCAAATCGAAATTGCAGTCGCTATTTTATTATAAACGTGGATATTTTTAAACGAGTAAAATATAATATTCTCTGTATATTCTCTGTACATATAAAATAGCATGTTCTGTCTGACTGACTGATTCATTATCGTCTAGCCCAGACCACTGGACGGATCGGACTGAAATTTGGCATACAGACAGCTATTACGACGTAGGCATCCACTAAAAAAGAAATTTTTAAAAATTCAATCCCTAAGGGGGTAAATAGAGGTTTTTAGATATTTTTGTTACGAATATCTAATTGTTTATATTTCATTTATTTTTGTTTATCATGGGTTACCTTGGTAACATGGATAACAATTTGGTTGTGATTGATGACAACTATTATTATTATTATTATTATTAATATTATTTACAACAGTATTATCTAACAATATTAAAGCATTGTCGGGTCAGCTAGTGCGCATGTAAATATTTCGAGAAAACTTATCAGGGTAATATTATGTATTGTATTATTGTATTATATATGTCTACCTTTTCTACTTCGGACAGCACAACCAAACGAACGCCGATGACGAATGTGCGTTCGCTCGCTCGAGGACATCAAAGACATTTTTCGTTATCTAGTTTGGACACGAATCATCGGTATTCGGTTTGATGTTCACACACAAACCGAACACTATATTTTATTTCATACACCTAAGCGCTGTTGCAAATGTGTGTGCGTGAGCGAAGGGCTCACCGATGATTATGAATTAATAGAGAAAAAATTCTGTTAGGTTTGGATAATGTACCAACGTATCTGAATCGAATCGGCAAATGCGGTAACGTTGGCGTTCGGTTGCCTTCGTTAGCCTTGGTCTAAGGTTTGCAGGGCGCACCATTAGTAAAACTATAATAGCACTCGGAGTATAACAGGTACATAGATAAACTACATATTTTTTGATTTTTATTTCGACTTGTTTGAATTACCGAAATAAAATATTATATAAAATACAATTTTTTTTTTATAATATAATAAATATTATCATTTATCGGACTCTTTAAATACACCATAAATAAATGCATTTTATTTGTATTTTAATTTTTTTTTTTTTAATGGCATATATCATACTGTTATGATGATTATTGGTACCGCATACTATACTATTATTATAATTATTATTAAACTTGATCGTAACAATAAAAATTTTAATTTTCTTTGAATCGCAACATTCTCGGAACAAATTTAGATAAAAGTAAACGAGGTTTAGTAATGAATATTATTATGTACATTATATTATGCATGTTAATAAATTTATTGTACAATAATAATTTTTGAAACTAAAACACGGAATCTCCGCAAACCGAAATATTCGAAATGGTATTACAAAAACTAAATCCGTTATGTAATTATACGACCTGTTCAGAAAATATGATTAGCGATTACCGCGGTATCACGTTCGGCCCATATATATTCCCGAACGAAAACTTATAAACACAGAAATATAAACGCATTGTGGGTAGATTTAAAAATATTGTTTGACGGTCAATTCCGGTTGTTATCCCCTTGCACTTACTAATCATGTGTATTTGTATTAACGGACCTTGTCAACGAAAAACTATTTGATAATGTTTTGTGCTTGTTAACCATTCACGTGTTATAATTTCCGTCCGTCATCGAATTGCGAATAGCACACGCGGACACCGTGTTATTATTATATTATTGTTTATTATTGTTATTATTATTTGTTGAAATATACTGATACGCAAGGATATCATTATCCCGGTAGACGGTTCAAGGTTAGAAATTTCGAGTACTCGTCACGCAGGATTCATAAGAGGACGTGGAGAGGCGAGAGAATGGCAGATCATCCGGATCGAAATCCCGCAGCTGCGAGCTGGCTTATTAATAACTGAGTTTTTTTTCTTTTGGTATCCGGAGCGTACCAATGAATAGGGAGAACGGTTAAGGGTATCATATTCTCTTGACTTCTTTTTTTATAACTGATTTATGGATTTTCTGAGATTATTGTAATTTTATTTTATATTTATTATTGGATATTTGGTGATCAGGTTCTAGGTTTATGCAGGCGGTGATAATTGATATACGATGGATTTTGTTTTTGCCAAAATCTATATGAGTTGTGGATTGAAATTTCAGTTTATTTATTCTAATAATAATTTGAATATTGAAATTTATTCCCCTCTCCCGTGTGTAAAAATTATGCGCACCGCCACTATTATTTGATTTTATAATATGTATACGTACCTATCTGTGGACCTGTCTAACAATGTCTACCTACTCGTATAATAATAATAATTAAGGAACTGATATCGCTTATCATTTGTAATGTTCAATACTGATCGCGTGTAATTAGGTACCTACTTTATAGGCGGTTATTATATATATTTTTTTATTTGAAAAGAGTCGTTCATTAACAGGCCATTATTAATGTATTATAACATTAGGTTACCTAACTATATTATTGTGTTTACTTTTTTTTCAATGTAAAATTGTTTTCGTTTTCCCAAACGGAAATACTTTTTTTTTTTTTTTGTTCGTCAAAAAAGTAAGTACATAGGAACCAGTCATATAATTATACACGTAGTGGTATAGATTGAGTCGTGATAGCAAAAATAGTAATTTTTTTCCTAATAATTATAGGACTAACGAAATTCCATTTACTGTGTAAAAAAAATACATTTATTTTTCGACATAAAATTTAAAAAAAATCACGAAATAAAAATGAATACGCATGTCTAGCTTAATTTTAAAACGCACAACTATGTAAGCATAACCACATCTTAACTGCATACATACATAAAAAAAGGGTGGAATCAAGAATTCTTCACAGAAGGTGAGGGGTAGAGATTTACGACTAGATTTTGTAAAATTTAGTATTTTAAAATGTTAGTTGACCGTTGATCGAAAATGATCAATAATATTTTTGTTTTTTTACGACTGTAATATTTTTAGGGAGATTTGTGGGAATTAGGTAGAAACACCGATGTTCGTAGTTGTTTCCCATGTATTCTATTGTGTATGTTTACTCCTTTTAATAACTAATTTAACAGATTAAAAAAACATAGGAATATGACATTGAATCCATCATAGAAGTTAATAACAGAATCACATTTTGTGTGTATAACTGTGGTAGATACCGCGGGACATACGCCAGTATACAAATATTAAATGAATTTAGTTTTTTTTTTTTTTTAAGAAGACCTTTAAACCACCGCGTGAATATTTATTATTTTTATATTACTATACCTGTAATTTTTTTATGAACAAATATTATTCAGTGATGTATACACCTATATTGCTTTTTGTAACGTCATTGGCCTCAATATATGTTATTATTAGGTACCTGTATTACATTTATGAATATATATATATATATATATATATATATATTTATATTTACAATTAAATAAGACATTAAAAACGTAATTGAAATTTATAGAGATAATGTAATTTTTGTTCAATTGAATACTATAACTTCAGCAGTCGTCTCACGGAAAATTTTTGAACGTTGAAAAAAAAATCCGTTATTAATATTAAAAATAACTAACTCGTCATGACGTGTAGTCTATCGTTCTACCGCGGGCAAACGCTTTATTTTTTATATTTTCGTTTTTTGGCTATTGTACTAGGTATGCATAGGTACCGATATTGTTACAAATTGTATATTGTCTGGTTTGTAATAATATTAATGTTTTAAAACAACAGAATACGAGATCTACAGTCGACGGGGTTAAATAAAACTAAAAGAGTGTATAATGTATACGCAACTATTTAAACTATTTTTTTACTCATCGATGAAAATTCCGTACACTCTAGACTCTAGAGTCTAGAGAACTTATTACAATAAAGCTCTTTTTTAAAAACTATTTTTGGTTTTTTTTAAAATTAGGAATGCTGAATTATAACTTAGTAATGCTGGCATGTTAAAGCACTTTTAATTAACCCCTCCCCACTACGTACTTGCCACAGTAATTAAATGATAAATTAAGTTACCTATTTTAATAATACTTATTTTTCATTTCATTGTGACTTACCGATTAGTTTAATTTTACCGTGGTCTCTATTATAGTAACATAGATAACTTGACGGCAGCTGACGAATTTCAAACATTTCAAACGGTTATTAAACGTTCGGTGCTTACGAATTGGATTTGCTCAATATTTTCAGTCGATCGTTCTGATAGCAATTACCGCAACACAGGTGCGATTCGGGAGCTCGTCCCAAGTGGCATATTCCCGGGGAGCTAAGGGAGTTACCGCCTCCTCCCAAATAAAATGAGATCAGACACTGCAATACATTACATTGAATTAATATCAAATAATTACCAACCTAATATAAAAGTAGTATATTATATATATAAAATAAAAGTAAAAAATAATTTGTTTACTGTTTATATAATTTGGAAATTAACTATGTACAACGCAAATAATAGACCTAACTTAATACATACTTTTTAAAACGGGTGACTGGTAGTTGTGGAGGACATAGTTTCACGAACATGCGCAGCTCACGTATTTGTTGCCCCATCAGAAAATTATTGCCAAAACCGCCATAGGCTCAACTCCCCGCCGTAATAACCGAAATCAAACATAGCCTCCATAGGAAATTAAAAACGACCAAAAAACCTAAAAAATATATGTATTTTTTTTTCAATAAACAATTTTCTAGAGACCGACAGTCATAAATTATAATATAGCGAACATGGGTGGCGTTCATTAAATATTGAAACTCACTTAAAGGTGAACATAGTATAATCAAAATTCAACGTGAGCGCAATTTAAATATTAAGCATTACTATAATGTAGTGAGTACTAACCTTTACAATGCCCCCGATGGCGACTACCGCGCCAATGGATTTCCAAAAATGAAAAGTTGCTCTATAATGTGTCGGATAATATAAAAATTTAAAAATCAAACCGCACGTGTTGAACAATGATTATTATAATAAAATATTATTATCCACGTGTACGACAGAAACGGTCCTTTCGGCATTATTTACTTGTTCGCCTGCGTGCACATAATGATATGCGCGTATACAGGTGTAATTTTTTATTTATTTTTTTTTTTTTCGTATTATTCTCTCACACGCCCAACGAAATTAAAATAATAATAATAATAATACCGCGGGTACTTATACAATATAAAATCGAAGAACATATTATTTCGGGTTCGCCTCCGTCATCCCGTTATTGTCTGAGGCCGATAGACGTTGCGGGCCCGCGAGTATCCGCGAATGTCTGCTATAATAACAGCAGCCACGGGAGCGCACGTCTGTTCGTTTTTCGTCTTTCCGCCGACGGCGCTGCCGAACACAATAATGATAATAATAATAATAATAATAATAACGATGATAATGATAATAATATTACGTTCGTGCTATTCCTTTATCACTTTACAGCTAGTCGTATAATGTTATAGAGACGCCTCCACCTGATCGCGTTCATCCAGTCGTCGGCCGTTGGCTACCGGGGTGTCATATTTTACCATCAAACCGGACCTTTCCCTTTTCCGCCAAAAGAAATATTGATCAGTTTTTATACCATTATAATATCTGTGTGGGTAATGTTGGGAAATCGACTTTTAACGTTTCATAGTTCTACTTTCATAGTTCTTACGTATAGGAGGGGTACCTATAGCAATATTGTAAAATAATTATTTTGCATAATTTTATTATATACATGTAGTAAATAAACACGGTCAATGGGTGGGCGAGTGTTTCCACACCACCAATATCCCTCCTCGATACGTCACTGATTTCAGATAAGCACGAACTTGTGATGATAAATCAGTGATTTTTCATGGAAAAAAAACACGAAAATGAATTGTTTTAATTTCTTCCCGGGTACTCCTTTTTGCTCATCAGGTTCAGTCTGATTTTCGTATCATATAAGACATTATGCGCATATATAAGTCGTGGTCCACTATCGACAATTCTAAGGGTGTATAAGAGCCTCACTCAGCCTAACACACAGTACCGTTACTGTTACCGCGGTATAAATGAAATAGTGCCAGTCATAACGGACTTTTCGAAATTGGAATTTTTTTTTTATTATTCCGTAACAGTTATTCAGTGTTATGTATTATGAGCATAATAGAAAGCGCAGTTAACAACCCCGGGCCTGTGTCGATATGCGTCGAGCGTGTACCTCCCAAAACACGCGATCGGCGGGACTGCACTGACCCGCAAGGCGCGTTGTTATACGAGACCGATGCACCATTATTTTGCATGGCAGATGGGTACTATGGTGAAATTAAAATGAGATGCGAAAAAATTAACCTGTTTTTAATGATTTGATATGGTAGAATGTGTGAGATAGCTACTGAAATTAATTTTACGAGAAATCTGGGTGTTTCGGAAAAATCAAATGAATAAACGATATAGAGTGAGATCGCGTGAAATGTATGAAATAAATTCGGTTTTACTGAAATTATGTAAACAATTTTTTGTAAATCTCACATTTAAATGATTCCGAGATTTGTCTGACGAATGACGCGAATCGACACAAAGAAAACGCATCGGTTTATCATCGAAAAAAAGATATATTAGTAACCATCTTCCAAGATTTTTACTGGATTATCGAGACGGGATAGATTTTTCGCGAATGGTTTAGAATTAGATGATATAATGACGCTATTTATGAAACCAGTAATAATTTTCATCTAAATCACGATGTGATAAATTTGTGTTAATGAATGATATGAACTTGTATTAATATTTTAACTATGTTACTATGATAATGTTATGTATTTTAAGGATTTTGCACATTTTAGAATACATTTTATTTCGTATATTTTAAGTATTATTATTATTATTTTTTTTTTTTAAACCGATTTTCGGCATACTCCAGACTTAAACGACAACAACCATTTTATAGAATGCGTAATATTGGAGGGATACATTTTTTTCGGAAAAATAATTCGTCGCAAAATATTTTCCCGGAATAGTATTTTTTTCGGAACCGTTCAGTATAATTTCATCACTACAAGCACTCCGTTATTGCGTATTACAACAAAATACGTTTCCGACGTAACCCACGGTCCCGACAAAATATTTCCCAATGTTTTACGCGCTCCCTCTCCCTCCCTCCTCCCACCCCCACCCCGCCCAAAAATATTATTACGCGGTATAATCATGTTGATAATTTTTAATGATGTCCTCGATGTCCGATATCATTGGATTTTCCCGATCGGGCGAGTACCACACCGTTATCGGTATTGTATTTCAACGCGCGCGCGCGCGCGAGACGCCTACGGTTCGTTCGGCGCGAATGGCACACGATCGTCTCCCAACGGATCGTCGCAGCGCCGCGCGCGTTGGGAACGCGTTGTCACGCTCGCAACACACGCGCGGGCAATTAACCGCGGTGCTGCGAAAACACACAGCGTAACGCGGCGACAATAGCGATTGCGAACGCCTCGCGCAGCTGTTCCGCCGCGCGTGAACGTCGATAAACACATTAGCTCGGCGCAATACATTTTTAATATCGAAAGCGCAATGCCGCGTAACTCGCGGGCGGGTCGAGACGCAATTGCGCGCGCGGCCGCGGCCGGGGTTGTTCCGCGGCGGCGAGTGACGGGCGAACGACGAGGCGCGCGCCAACGGTCACCGGACCCGACAGCCTGACCCGGCCGAACGGCACGGCACGGCTACGAACGGCGGGCCGAGATCGCGAACGGAACCTAACAAACCGCACGCTCCGTCCGTCCCGACGTGGGCGGCGCGCGCGTTTACGCGTAATTTATGTATTTTCATCCGCGTTCGTTTTGCACGCACCTGTTAATTATTATGTCACGCGCGTCGGTATGCCGTTGTCGTTGCTCCACTCCGGCGTCGGTCGGCCGTATAACGCTGTCGTAACATTAACATAATGATTAGTTATTGGCCGCCGCGCGGAAAATCAATAAATGCATTTTTTTTTCTAAACGGTTTTGCGAAAACGGATACAGCATAACGCAATGAATTACCATCCGATCTCTCCCCCCCCCCACGCCTTCCCCGTCGAATACCTTTAATTACGCGGGCGTTTTTTAACCGTTACGTTTTTACAATTAGGTTTTTATTCGCACATGTGTACGATTAATAATTGTTATAACGCAATACGCAATGCTGTGTATACATAATATATAAACACTCGATTAATTCAAAATAAAATTAATTGCAAGCCGGTCGAAAGGTGCTGTTAGTTTCGTAATTTATAAAGTACAAAACACGTACATGTGTTTGTGCATAGCTGGCAGGTACCAACACGTATAAAATATTGTAATTTATATTTATTTTTTATTTTTTCAGGGTGATTCTGACTTTGAATTATAGAGTTTTAAATATTATGAGGCACTCGAGTACCTACTGCACAGTAGTCTAATCGAAAGTTTACTAATAATAGAAATAGAGCGAGATCACATTATACTATATTATAATGGAGGACATTTAAAAAAAAATTAGTGGACGAATTAGAAAACGATTAATGATGAGGTGTTGTATAATGTATGGTCACAATTAGTATGTCGACGTAGACGACTGATAAGAAATAATACGACATGAAATTTTGTTTTAATTATTCATTTTCATTAAAGTTGTAAATGTAATTAATTACCTATATTATTAACATTCGTGGCATCCGTGGAAATAACTATTCACGGTACCTACAGTTATGACTAATAATATTTCATAAACAATCAGTAATTATGTTGGTGATTTTAAACGACCGTTGGTTAAGGTGATAAATTTCTATCATGTATCGTTGAAAGAGTCCGAATTTTGTTGGTATTTTTTATTACTTATCTAATATAGCGTACTAATATTAGTAACACTAGTAAACTCGTTGTTTTATAATTTAAATTTGACCGATAGTTAAAAATAATGTCGAAGAACAATTAATGTCCTTTACTGTAGGTTAAGTTAGGTTAGTTTAGGTTAGGTCGATAATTTTCACATACACACACACACACACACATCTGTTTTATATGATATTGAAACGTTAAAATATTTTTTTTTTTTAGATCTAATAACGTAAATATACGTCATAATACTTGGTAAACAATGTTCGGTTCATTTTATTCATTACGTTATCGTGGTATTATAGCCTTCTAATACACAAACGATAACTTAATATTATTATCTCTTCTAAAGGTCGTCATACACTTTCGGTTTTTACACCCGGGTACCTACAATGTATGGTATAGTTCGTACACCGATGAACACCACACTTTCGGTTTTAGCAACCGTATACGGTATACAGATACATACAATATAGTCCGGATAGTTTTATCCGTAAACCGAAATTTTCAGTAAATATAGATCATTGTCGTATTATTTTAATGGTGAAATTAAAAAATGCAGTACGTCATAAAACATATTATTAAAATATGCGTAAAAATATATTATAATATATTCAAATGAATATTTAATTAATATTTAAATAAATACAATTTATAAATAAAGAATTAATCTATTGGTGTTTCGTTAAAAAGTAAACATACCATAAACTTTTATAGTTCGGAAACGGAGACGACCACACACCTTCTATCTTGTTATTAAAAAAAAAATATATATATAGAACACAAAATATAGAAAACAAATCAAACTGCTCAGATTTTTTCAATGAACTGAATAAAATTGTATTCATCAAGTTGCATTAATCATCGTCAGATTGTTATTTTCAAACGGAAATGTTAAACTGTCGATTTCTTACAAGAGGACACAACCCACAATATTACTTTGTTACCATATCTTTGTTGTCTATCCTACGCATATACCTGTGCGTCACAAAACTCTAGTTTGCAATTCCAAGAAATATCGCATTCCAATTTAGTTCTGAATACAATTTTTAATGAATCAAGTATTTTACTCTCATAAATATCAAATTTAAAAAAGAGCTAGAAATGCTGATGGAAGTACCACTGTTGTAAGTGAGAACTGGGAAGTTTGATAATATATAGAGTAATTTAATTTATAACTATACGTAACGATCAATCATTGATAATGAAAAACGATTCTGGGCGAAATTCAGTAAATCATGTTTTGATATTTACAAAAATTTGAACTCTATATTACAAAAAAAAAAAAAAACTACTAAATTATGCTTATTTTTTTTCTCGTGCTAAGTACAATTTATGATGAACCTCATATTAGATTTTTGACCAAAACAATTGTATCAGTATAATACAACCAAATAAAAACTAAGAAACTTCCAATGACAATAAATTAACTTAAAAACTGCTAATATGTTCTGGAAATTGTACTGCGTCCATGATTTTTAGACATTTTATACCTCTACAATTATGTTTTAATCAATTAAAAACAAACAAACAAAATAAAAATCGAAAATAACGAAAACCATTATTTCGGAAATTTTTTCCGTTTTTATGAATTGTGGAGAAAACTATAAAGAAAATCACAAAAGGACTGTCTCAATGCACCAACTGGACAAAATATTCTACCAGTAACCATCCCTAAAGTCGGTTAGGAGCAAAATTTTTCGTAAAAAAGTAGTTTATAGATAGAACTTAAAAAAAAAAAAAAACCTATTAATACAAAAAATAAATGTTTCGATAGAACATGGGTATTTAATATTTATGAAAAAAAAAAAAATATACATATTATCTACAGTGTTGTACCGTATTATAATGATATATATATATATATATCTGGGAATATATTTTGGTTTTTTACTAAAATGAGCATGATCTTCGTGTTTCCTATAAAGGTTTATTTTAAGCGAACCATTTTGATGGAAGTCGTTTCAACGATGACATTTCACGATCGTTATCAAATAAAAACACATCACTATTCCTATGTAATGGTAATGTACGCGTACGTTTTTATAACAGCATAATATTATTATATTATTCGTCATTCATGCAAAAAACCATAATATTTTAAACACAATAATATTTCTTATGATTATATTCGAATTACGAGAATTTCGAATTCTGGAGATATTTCACTTTTAATTTTAGGTAGAGAAATAATAGTGGAGTAAAATTTATGTGGCGACATGGCTTGCGGCGTTTATTAATGCTCCACTACTTAACTACACTTGAAAATTCCGAAAATCAGTATCTGAATATATGTATGTAAAATTTAACCAAACAAATGAGGTGAATTTGTTAATGGTTATAATGCTCCGATTTGTTCATGGAATAGCTTAAAAGATATGCATCTGCACGTAGTATTATTTGTTTATAAGTGCAAGTAGACGTATAGGCTTAAACAGTAGGACTTAAGGGGCTTATATAGCGTCTCCAATACTCAGCCAAGCCTTTCCGAATCAAGTCCTCATAGTTAAAATATAGGTCACTGTTTTGTATTTTTTTCCAATCGAAAGAATCGCCTGAAAGAAAATTTTAGTTTGTAATGATTTTTGGCACCCAATGGCAAACATCGACGTTTCCTTGACACTTGTACATACATGGCTCACCAACCCTGAATTTGTTATCAATATTTATGTTGACGTTCACACGACTATAATGAATGTTCCTAGGATTCGAAACAATCACGTTATGTAGATATTATAGATTATTGGAAAGTTACATAATTCCTCGCATAAGTTATTGGTATTTTTTTTAACCATGGAACTTTTTTTTAAAATAACTATGTTAGAACCACGTTCGATTTTACACTATAATATATTATAATAAACTGTAATAAAGTATCTGCAAAATCAAACATGTAATGTTTGCACCTGCCATAATAATAATTATTATTGGTGAATTAAAGATAGGTAGGTTGTTTTTTTTAATATTATAATATTGTTATTCGCATTTAGTATTATAATTATAAAACAGTTTTAAAACTAAAATCGAATAAATTACAGCTCAATATATTATTTATTATTATATACGTGTTAATTAATAATCATACTATGGCCATATTATAATAGTATTAATATACCTACGCACCGCGGGTAGATATTTAAATTTGTATAATATTATTAATATATCGAATTTGTAGGTATTCCTTTGCGTAGTCGTGCGCGAAAACTGTTACGATTAAAAATTATTCAAATTCGTCGGTTTAAATTTGTTCATGTCTATTGTCTAGATATATGTAATATTAAAATAACCGTTTTTTTTTTCAATTGCGGATGCGCGTAGTTATAGAATTTTTAATTTATAATAATATAATGTATTATTTATTGTTTTACAATAATAATAATAATAATAAAAAAAAAATGTTTCGCAAATACGTCGTGTCGTTTTCGATACAATAAAATGTGCTTTGAAACGAAATTTGTATTAATATATATATAAATTGTTTATTAAGTCAGGTTTTTAAATAAATCAAATTAAATTATAATTTGTCAGACAAAATTTACACGCTTTTTAAGATTTTGAGTTTTCGGTCTTTTACCAGTTAAAGTATGTATGTTAAAAATACAATGATATATACGTGTTTGTTTTTTTTTTTAAAGTCGGAAAAATACAGGATTTTAATATATTATTACGTTAGGATTTACATAAATATAATTGAATCTAAAATGTATTTCGATTATTAGATCAATGTAAATATTAAATTTTTACCAACGTAACTTCTACAAAATCAGTTTATAGAATCGAAATAGTTGTGTACACAGTAAACCCGTGAAGCTCAAAATTTCCATTAACGGATATTTTTTCTTTTGCATTTATTTATTTGTAGTCAATATTTTCTGTGTACCGTAATTAATCAAGTACTTTTCCAACTGAAAAAAAAAAAACATTGGAAAAAAATGTGACTATGTATAACAGTGTATTGTTTCTAACAAGAAATTGCACGGCATTGAACTCGTTTTAGAAATGATGTATGTAATTTTTGTTAAGAAAGTTTCTTCGTGAACCAACCAATAGGCAACGGTATGGCTAATTACTCGGACAGTAAACGCGTATATTGACTTGTTCGTTTATTTGAATGTTTAAAATACGTATTTTTTAAACCGGTTGAAAAGAATCCTAAAATGTATTGTACACGTTAAATAACGTACATACTAACACTGATGTTTTTAGGAAAAATGGAATATTCGAGGAGCTTAGCTATAGCCTACATTATAATGTAGGTACCTGATATAAATGTCCTTATTTTAAATAATCGGGAATCTTTGTAATATTACAATGCATTTTGCTATGTAAAACACAACATGTGAATTATTTAAATTTCTATTGACGATTTTGGATTTCTTTCGAAAAAGTATCTATTTCATAGCTGTGATAATAATATCAATAATAATCCAGTAAACATATCATAATACACGTTCGTATGTAATTTTATCGTTTTTTTACACGAAATATTTTTCATTTTTGAAAAAACTACCAACTACTAACTGGACACACAACTGTTAACTTAAAACATATCTATAATATGATACCTATAATTCGTTCTGCTTGGAACTATTCGAAAAAATAATTCTAACTGTCTTAACTTGTACTAACCATAGTGACTACAATCATATTCGTTTTTTTTTTTTTAATTTTATTTATTTATTTAATATAAACACTCAAGTATGTAAGACTCAATTCAGATACATAAGTTAACAATAAATACAACTGAAAATCTTAGTTTAAAACCACAGAAAAATACTTAAATTAAAATATAAACTTAAAGTGAATGAATACGTTTTATGATCATATTATTATGTATAATAACCAACAATTACAAGAAATATTTCGAATTATCTATTGTACTTATGCATTACAAGTAAAGTAAATACCTGCATAAAATTACACATCTCTGACACTAATATAATACTTGTATAATGCACATCATAGAATATTGAATATTATTTGTCGTTTAGGTTCATTGAAAAGGACGATGACGGCGATTTTACAGAATGCAGCAGTTGTTCCAGGTCGATCGCCGAATCACTATCGAATTTTCGATCCAGGACGAGGACTCAGTACTGGCGTAGCAAATTGCAATTTATTTTGGCCTGTCTGGGCTGTACCGTAGGTCTGGGCAACATGTGGCGGTTTCCGTATCACTGTCATAAAAGCGGAGGAGGTAAAAGCTGTATAATATTAGCTACGTTTTTATGTCAATCAATTTGCGATTTACGCCAGGAAACTTAAAATTAAAATTATTACTGAAAATTTCTCGTGAAATATTATTGCACCACTGTTTTTATAATAATAATAATATATATAGGAAGAGGCCAATTTATCGCATGGGTCGAGGGAGCCGTGTTATTATTAATTCAGCTATTCAGGACACCGGGAGCTATACTGCAGCGCTATATTAGTGGTATATTGTTTTAAATTTACCGTTGAACAATATTATTAAATAGAAGTGTCGAATATATTTACAAAAAAAGAACAAACAAAAAAAAAAAAAAATGGGTTTATTGACGCACGATAAATAAATAAAAACTCAACGGAAACGATATTTTAATAAGGAAATTCGAAACAATCAAGTTTAGCTTTGTTTCCATATTAAATACATATTTACAGAGTTTAATATTGATGTTTAACATTTTAGTAGTAACTATAGTATAGGCAATTAAGACACGTACGTTGCCCATCTCAATTAAAGAATTTAAATTTTTTTAACGTAAAAATGATGTATGAATTCACACAATCAATTTCATAATTTGAACGCCAACGAGATCAGAGTAATATGCAAAATCATGGGGAGAAGCTGACGTCACTTTTTACCACAGAACACAACTAAACGTTGGCACAAAAAAAATTGAAATCCGTTAAGTGGGGATGTGGGGCTAGTATAATGTACGTAAATTAAACGACTAGTTAATTTTTTTATTTTATTTATTACAGGTATATTTTTAATCCCATATTTTTTGGTAATGATATTTTGCGGAATACCTTTACTATATTTGGAACTGGCCATTGGTCAATTTACGAAAAGAGGACCAGTTTGTGCCATATCAAAATTTTGCCCGATTTTAAAAGGCAAGTAAATAGGTACTTATTTAGCTAATAATTTATTATCATAGTTTATCAATATTATGATACAAAGTTGTTAAATTCTGCAATTACTCAAAAATGTACATTTACTTTATTAAAGTTGGGTAAACTAGTATTTTTTTTTTTAAACATTCTATTATTGATAAAACGAAATAATATTTTTATCTTAAATGTTAAAAACGATTTATATACTAATAATTAGCAATACATAATTGTTATAACACGTTTATTATCCACAATTTGTTTAAACATAATATACAGCGATTGGTAATTGACTTTTACTGATACAAAGGTCAGTAATTTATAGACTAATAGGTCGTAATGTTAGATTTATAAGTTTATAATTGATGATCTATACGCGTGTTTTCAAATTAGTGTAAATTGCTATTGAATTTGTGAATGACGTTTTACTATTACCTATTATAATCATTAATGTTTAAACGGATAACAATTTAATACATTTTCTTGAAAAATTATTATTCTTATTTTGTATTATGAAATAAAATCGTGTTAAAAAAAAATATATATAAATAGGTTTAAGGTTAATCTTGTTTTACCTAATAATAATAGGTACATGCAATTGTAGGTATCTACTGAAAAACATAATAGGTATTTAAATTAATAATAAATAAAATTATAATCACAATAATCCGTTATGTACATTTGATAGGATTTACAATGCAGTTGTGTCGTAAATCAAAATATACATAATAATATAGTATTTTATAGTATGTACCTACACATTAATTATCTCGAGTTCAATTGCAAATCATTTTTTTATACTTTAAATATTTTATGTAGTTTATTAATTAATTTTAAACGCGTTTTTTTTTTTTTTTTTAAGTCTTTCGCTATTAATAAACGATTGAAAATTATTAAAATATTATTAAAATACTATTAAAGTTCGAGTCCAATATTTTCATATTAATTTTATGATATTAATTTATTATTGATTGATATTGCCACTACGATTATTAATACTAATTACTGATATATTTTATACTTCTATATTTAATGAAATCATTATCATAATAATATAATATTATAGATCAAATATACTAGATTAAAATAATTAGTACCTACCTATACATATTGTAAGTTTATTATATTAGTAAACATATAATAAATACGCTGATCACCGGGTAATTATTAATCACGGATTTTTACCAGCTTAAAACCCATTAATCATCGACCCGGATAATAGCGTTTTTTTTTTTTTTTTTCTATAATATCGTTTTAGGTGCCGGTTTAGCCAGCGTCGTCACGTCATTCTTCGTATCCGTCTATTATAACGTAATAATCGCATACACCCTGTATTATTTCTTCTCGGGGATTCAGGACCAGCCGCCGTGGGTGCACTGTAACAACCGGTGGAATACGGATAGCTGTTGGACGGCCGCCGACAATACTACCAGGCCGCCGGACAGTAGGAGTCCGGCCGAGGAGTTTTACAAGTACGGCTATCGATTATTAGTAATAACCGAACAATAACAATTCATTACTATACAACTAGTGGTGTACTTATGTAGGGTTGATAAAGGGAATCAATCCCCCTACTTCCGTAGGTCGTGATTTAACGAATAATTATAGTTATCCGCCATACTCGGTGGCTTCACAAGCATACTTCAAACCTTAAGGGGGCGGCGGGTCTCAAATTCTGTAAACTTTGAATTTTTTTTTTACATTTTAATGATTAGACTTTTCCACTAACTTATTTCCCGATAACTACTTAAGGGGAATCGGTACGGACGAATATGCCTTTGTTTAGACCAAAAATCAAACAAACTTGGAAAAAATGTATTTGGTGTATTTAAATTTTGAAAACGCATCAATAGGGTTACTAAAATACGTTAAAAAAATGTGTTTAATTTTAATACTTATCAACAAAAATAAAATATAAAATACTTTAAAATCGTTTTTGAATATTTTTCAAAAATGCAATCAACTTTGTTCATGAGTTCCGGAAAAATAAATAAATGTATATTTCCAACAAATTCTATAAAAAAAACTTAAAGAATCCATAATCTGTTTATAAAACTGAAATCTGTCAAACACAAAATATAATTTCATCAGAATGTATCAATAAGACTACCAATGTCCAATGTTTAAAAATGAAATTTTAAAGTTCACATTTTGTTTTATACCTAGTTTTATTTAGGGAATTTTAAAAGAAATTTTGTTTTCTATTTATTCATCAAGTTGTGATTTATCAACATTGTGCACAACTTTTCTGTATTTTGAAATTTAAAAGTGCATATTTTAAGATTTTAACTTTTAAAAGCTTCAACTTTACCGTCCTAAATCCTAAAACCAATAATTTTTTTTGGATTTTGACGTTTCTGTAAAAAAAAAAAACCAGAAATACACTTTGTTAACATAATCTTAAAACGCGTTAAATATAATCGATGTATTAATAACAATTAATACGAAACTACGAATTCACTAATGTAGGCGAACACTTATATTATAATAAGTTTATGTCATGTTCTCGTTATTAATCGAAAACAGTTTTAATTTATCATCGCCCATCGGTTAAATCTAAAAAACGTCAAATGTTAATTAATCGTTCTATATTTGCATAAGTACTCTAATTTCGTTATTGTTTGTCTTCCCTATTTCCATACCCCGCTCTTTGAAAATCGGTACTAAAATCTTAACATCGATAAATTATGATAAATGATATTATCACACGTGTTGGAGGCGCAGATAGAGTTCAGTTATATATTTGGTTGATACGTAATAAATATGTAGCTTATTTTCCTCCTCCTTTTCGGATCATCAAAAAATTGAAGTGTCATCCATAAACTAAGTTTAAAGAGTAAAAAAATGCGATCTTGTGTTATAATGTTTACGGATATAATAAGTTAGGTAAAAATGTTAATTTATGATAATCTTTCAATATTGTAATCATTGCGAACCTAAATGCATTTATGCTGAATTCTTATGGCAGTGTGTTTGTAATTATGTATTGAATATATGGCAGTTGGAGGGTGTGAGGAGCAGTCTCGGTTCATTCTTTGGAAAATTATTAGCCCTCCTCACACGACAAATTTCTGAATACGCTATTGACTGTATACAACACTGCATTAGATACCTATTATTATTATATTGCATGTTGAGGGCCATACCACTTTATTATCGACTTATGTAACGACATTATAAAAATAAAAAAAGAGAACAGGACATACTATATTTTAATCGACACTAATACATCTAAAACATCATAATTTATGTTATTATTGTTATCATCATGATATTATCATTTGTTTATTTTGTATACACCTATATGTCATATACATCCGTTAGATATCATAATAATAACCCACACGTGTCTATATAATATGTAAACGCTGTACAAGTTTCATGATTGTTATAAAGACCTTTTGACTTTTAATGCAATTTCAACGGATCGATTATATTTTAATTTTAACTTGTAGATATAATCGTATCGATATCGTCATTTATTATACATTTTTCTTCGCCTGGGAATAAATTTCAAACAATGCGGGCTGAGAGTTTTTGAACTGCAGAAATATTTAATTGATAATATACCTATACAGGAGAACTTTTTTTTTTTTTAATCTGATTTATAGCGTTTGATTCGAAAAGAATAATAAAAAAAAATAATAAACAATCAATCCGTTTGAAAATGTATTATTGTGATTATTTTGTTATTACATTCTCAATGTGTCGCGAGATGTGAAATTTGTTCGAAACGGTTCACCGTTGCACAAGATTTTACGAAACACTGATATATTAGTAAAATATACCCGTCATCACTGTGTTTATGTACCCTATTCCCGTGCATCACGTAAAATGAGTCAGTGATGAATCAGTTACATCAATGGACTCCATAATATTATGTGCAGTGTGCATCCTACATAATATAATATGATACTATCGAAATTCAGAGAAATAATATATCAACTACCAACTATATATCTTATATTATAAAGAAACTATATTAAATTCTGAGCGGAGTGAGGAATGTATTGGTTTTACAATAATGTTTATTTATTTTTATTTTTTTTTTAATGTAAACACTTTTTCTACCAGAAAGCTTACTCCGATCATCAAGTATAACATCTTTTCTGAAAGGAAATGTTCTCTGGGTGGTACTTTAGACAAGTAATTTTTTGAAATTCTCATTAATATTTGTGATAATAAGGAAAACCGTGTTCTTTAGGTTAAAAAAGATTGACAAATTAAAATAAGGTTGTCATATATTGTTGACAAAGCAACACTATCAACTGAATTCTGTTCATAATCGTTTTTTCGTTAGCAATGGTTTATCGTTGCTTACACATATACATTAAATTTCATTTTTATATCCTACCTTCCCTACTTCCCACCTCAACAGTGACTGCACCTACATGCGATTTTTTTTTCGTCTTTTTAATTTTATTTTACAATAAAAATAAAAATGAATTTTTTGCTATTATAATATGTAGATCTAATGTAAATAGGTTGAAAACGATGTATATATATTTTTGTTACGTTCGCATAATGCAAAATGCAACAAAAATTATTAGACGCTTAAAATAAATACAGTTTAATCCTCGGAATAAAAATAATTAATAAGTTACTTAAAATTTTAAAACGTTTATTTGACTATTATCCTTTTTTCTGGGGCCTTGCGAAATCTATCAACAACACTTCATACTCCACTCGACCGGTTTTCGGATTTTTCTGGTATCAGTTATTGATATCCTTCCGTAATGTAGTTCGTATGCCCACGCATACATTCACCATTAATGGCGAACCCTTATTATCGATTAATGCTAAATTTTACATTCATTAATCATCAATAATAATTCAATGCCTAACTATTAATGAAACCGATTTATCACTCTCTAAACATTATATTTCGATTAATTTGCATTCACTATTAAATTACACTATTAAATCACTATATCGTTTTACTTCCTCGTGTCTTTTCTTTTCGCGACCACGAAACGTGTTTCCCCATTATCATATAAACACCACTATGATTTCCAAATAAAAACCTTGATACCAACTTACAATAATTTGCGAGTAACATGTCTTCACTCACAACCACATGCCCTCCTTTTAAAATGGCTAATCCGTTACTGATATTTCATACACAGGGTAGATTAGGTTAAGTTAAACAAAACAGTCAGGACTGTCCTTGGGCGGGGAGGTGGTCAGAGCCGAAGCTCTGGGCCTCACGCTTTTTACTTAGATTTGAGACCTCGCGTTCGAAAATAATAAGAATTATAACAATATAATAAAATATGAAAATATTGAAAATTTTGCTCTGAACCTCGCAAATCCTAAGGACGGGCCCGGCAAACAGGAATGCGTCCGTCAAAACGATCCCGTGGCAAAACCAATCCAGCCCACCCTCGACTATTTTATTAATCACACTATATCATTAGGTTGTTTTTATTACTGTGTCCGCAGCTTGAAAGTGCTGCAGATCACGAATGATCCGGAAAAGTTGGGGCGCATACGGTGGGAGCTGATCACGTGCATGTTCATCATATGGACGGTCGTGTACTTTAAGTTGTGGAAGAGCACCGAGTCATCGGGCCGCGCGCTGCATCTAACCGCCATCCTGCCGTTCGTCATGTTGGCCGTGCTTCTGGTCCAGTCACTGATGCTGGACGGAGCCAACGTCGGGCTCGACTATTTCCTGTTCAAGCTCCGGTGGGAATTGCTCCTGGACTCAAAGGTTAGGGTCATTTGTGCGCGACGTGTTGCGGATGTGCCATAAGGTCACCCGCAATGACACGAGCAGCAATAATGGCAGGACATCATCCGCATCGCCGCGCGTTTATACGACCGTGATGGCGGTCATTACGATCCGATATACCCGCGGTTTCGGTCCGTAAATTTGTTTAACGATAACGAAATTGCAATGTTTATAAATATTGTCCCCGAAAGTTCTATACCTTTTTTTCGTCAGATTGTAACAGTGGCGTATACGGGGGAAATATATGTTCATAAAGTGTGCGTGTATGTATAAGGAGGGGGAGGTGGAGGTATAATTGTCGAGGAAGAATGAATACGAAAATTAGTACGCAACATAATATAATTTATACCAATAATATTATTATTGTCCAGAAATCTGTCCGATCGATGTGCTGAAGTGATGAGAATTCTGAAAACAACTCGGCGTTAACAATATATTATATATAGATATATGAGATCACCGGTCAGGCCACTTTTTCAAATTTTAGTTCTTGATTTCCGAAAATTCCATATGAAGAATTTTAAAATTTATATAAAATTTAAAAAAAAATCTAAACTTAAATTTCACAAAAAAAAATTATCCTGACCGATTTCATGTATACGCTTCGCACTGAACTCAAATTTGTTTCCAGAATTCTAATCACATCGCTACTTCAACCGGACTAATTGTCGGCAAATTGGTCTAAATTGCTCTGTTGAGTATGAGTTACAAAAAAAAAAATATCGATATCGAAAAAATTTAAATTTTAAAAATACCCATAGACAGTTTCAATTTTTTTAATAATTTGAAAAACGTCGACTTATGTATTAATTATTTTGGGAAGTTATCTTAAAATCGGTAATAAAAAAATGTCAATCTTCAATTAGTTAAAATTAAAACTATGAGTTTGCCCGGCATTAATTTCGCCTAGTGTATTATCGAAATCGTCAAAATAAAATTAAAATTTACTTTGAAAATTTAAAATTACTAAGTACCTATTATAGTTTACTTATAAGTTATAATTTTAAAATCAGAAGTTGATAACAATGTTTTCACGGTCTTGATTAAAATTCCTACACTTTGCAATAATCGAATAGTTAAAACTTCAAAAAAAAAAAAAAAGAAATGCATAAAATTAATAAATCATTAAACAGGAAAATCACAGTGAGTCAACTGGACACACGTACCTATATTGATGATCCGCAGTCACATCCGTCCCACTTTCACATAAATACATATATACGAAGTATTATATTATGACTCAATAATTCCACCCCCCCCCCACTCCCGAAGAATTTACTATTTTTTTTTTTTGTATAGGAATTATCGTTTTCGATTTTGTTCGTTAATTACAACGCAAAAATTAACTTCGAAAGAACTATGTAATCCTATTTTTAGTCATTAGATAACGTTCGTTTAACTTTTTCATTTCTAGAAACCCATCACGCCTCAAACGTTCGATTGTACGATTTTTGACAGTAAACTCGAATTATTGTCTACGGGTAATTTTTCTCTTTGCCTAAGTCAACGAAACGCGACATACCTATTTGTCATTATTATTATTTCTTTCGCAAGATTCATTTTTAGATCGGTATCACTTTATAAATAATTGTTTATAGAACAATACTTGATAGGTACCTAGATAATTATTTAATAAAAAAAAAACACACACATTTTATTCGTCATTATTAAAAAAGTAAAACGATAATGACTTCTGTCTTATTTAAAACGAGTTTAACACTTATTATAGTAAATATCTATCATACTTATAAAACGATGATACCGTATAATGTTGTAGATCAGTGTTTCTCAACCTGGAGGCCGCCAACTTATTATTTAAGGTCGCCAAAAATATAATATATATATATATTTAAGGGTCGCTAAAAAAATTAAATATTCGTATAGGGGGTGGTGGCGGCAAAAGTTCGAGAAACACCGTTGTAGACGATAAAAAAAAAATGTAAATTATTGTTCCAATATCCTTCATAGTGAATAGAGACCGAACAGGTGCGAACAAGTTCCGATAAAAGACGTAAATTGATAAACGTGATATGAAAACAATAATAATTAGTAGACCGTCTGCGTTCTTTATCGCACGCACATTACCTGCGTATGTATTGATGTTTTGATCCGCGAGCGACGAGTGTGACGTGTAAACATCGGCTATTTTGCATTGAGCACGTGACCTTAAATTTCGTACGTCCGTGATCGTATTAACACGGCTGTAAATGAACTAAAAAATATTATTTATTTATCTAATCTGAATGCATTTATGCGGTAAGTAAACGATACACAATAATAACTTCTTTAATATATAAATCGGATATTGGCGTCTATATTGTATACGTACATCTGTCTACCGACTATAACCGTATAAAAATTAGACTAGATCAACAGTCTGTAGAATTATATATATATATATATATGTTGTATTATATTATGATCGTAGTATTTCTGGCTAATTATAGCCGTTGGATTAACGTGTTTTTGGCCATCCTTGAGACTCGAGACGTGTTCAAAAATTATTCAGCATAATGTCCAAACCGTTTTCGTATTACACGGACGGTATTAGGCGCTTAGAACAAAATCATACTTATTCAAAACTATAGAACGGAATTGTCGAATAACATGAATGTAAATAATAATTGTTTAAATTCACTTATTCCTCTATACGTATGTATTACGTAGTGGATATAGAGCGTATATATGAGCGAAACGAGGAATGTATGTTTTTACTGTAATGTATGCGATTTTTTTGTTTTTTTTTTTTTTTGTCTGTCTGTCTGTCAACAACTTTTCTAACGAAAATATTGATCCAAACAAAAAACGACAAGAGACCTTATCGGATTTTGAATGTAATTAGTGTAACAGAGAAGTTGTTTATTTTCCCAACGCTTTTTATAATAATTAGAAAAAAAACCAGATAGGAAAAACGGACAAATATTTGCGGAGTTAACGATTTTATTAGGCAAAATGTTGTCTTCTAATACAGTCAGATTTTGATTTTTGTAATAATTGATCAAAAAACGAGAACGTTTACAACATTAATGGTTTCAATATTTTTGAATATTTTTTTTTTTTAAATATTTTGGAGATTTTTAAGCTAATTATAAGCATTTAACATTTTCAACTTTTTGTTTGGTTTTAGGTCGATATAATTTTCTTTTAAAAAAAATCCTTGAAAATGTACACAATGTTCATTATAGTTAGATATTACTTGGTGGAAAAAGAAAAAAAGTTGAGCATTTTAAAAGTTTTATATATAAAATAAATAATTTTATGTATTGTATCTTTCCCACTTACAACAGTGACACCGCACACATCCCTAGTATCGGCTCTTTTTTTTATTATATATTTTGTATTTGATTGAATTTTGATTAACAAGCTAATATTGAGGATTACAAATCTGTGTATAGTAGCTGCAGTTTAATTAAGTATCAAAATAGATTTTATGCATTTTTCAAATGCCTAGTTTAGAGTCATAAAAATCATTTAAAATCATAGCATTTTTGGGGGGTATGATAGTCTAATATAGCCAATAAGTAACAATTTTTTTTTTAAAAAAGACGCATATTTACTAAAATCACAACTTATTTGCGTACATATTTTTCTTTCCACTTATATAGAATTAAGACTCAGTGAATATTTGAATTTATCTTGTGTGGTTAAAAATATGCTTTTGTTGTGCTATGTGTTTATAAATGTTTATAGTTGATAACATTACGGTAAAAAATGAGGAAAGCGATCATTTGAATCTTTCATTTATTTTAATTATCTACTTCAAAGATTTATCTTGGAAGCGGTTCACGAATTGTTCATGTAGGCCAATGGTTCTCAACCTTTACTGATTCATGTCACCCTTATCCACAATAATCCAACACTGAATCGCCCTACCAATGCATAATCCATTTAAATTATAGGAAATTATAGCAGCGGTATAGTTGAAAAGTGAGTGGTGGAGAGGGATCATACTATGATGTTCGGACGGTGTTAGTAGTTAGATGACGGCGACGGTAGCAATACGATATTATTCTAAAAAATTTAAAAATAAAAAAGTTCTCTTATTTTTTTTTTCTTTTCTCCGATGATTTTATGTCATTTCTCACCTTTACACTGAGTCCATGTCACTCCGGTTAAGAACCACTGGTGTAAGTATGTGCACCTATTCGAATATTCATATTATTTATTTTCGTCGATAGTTACTAACATTATTTTTTATTGATTTTAATTTAGGTTTAATTCTAATCATAAATCCTTTATATCATTGTCTGCATGTGTGCAGGTATATAATAACATGCATACATAATCGTATAAACGTGTAGCATAATAATATTATTGTGTAAGCGAGTGGTTAATTTTATTAGGTTACTTTTTGTGCGCAAACGAGTTCCAGGATTTAATTGAGAAATTTTAAAATGTGCGCAAACTTGTAGTTGTAACCCGTTTCGAGTGAATTAAGTTTTCAATTAGGTGGCCACCATTTCCCAAGTTTCTCCTAAGTACGTCTCTAGATAGTGTTACGGGCGAAACAATTATTATAGTATACAGTAAGTATCAGGTACTTACAACTATAATTTGCTTTACATAACCGTCGAAATTCTCAAATATTATGGCCTAATATGTGTACATTAAGGGCAATTGTATAAACTTAAAATGTATCATTATTTATTTCAATTTTATTTATTTTTTTCTATACAATAATGGCTTCCATCACGTATTATTTCAACTAATAAATATAATATTAAATAAAAAATTACCGCGGATAAGTACAAATTCACACGTGTATGTAACCACAAAACGTGTGCATTTTATCATAATATACGAATTTTACTAATTGTCACTAATATTATTATATAGGTACTAGTTATACAGTAATATTTTACATATTTTAAACTTCTTATTTTTATACAATTATTTTAAATTACTTATGATGAAATCCGTGACTTCAACGCTGTATAAACTGTATCCATAAAATTCTAAGGCGCATTAGTAAATATATTCGGAACTAAATATTTTATCGATTACTGGAAATTTTTTTTTTTTTTTTTCATCACATCTTAGGATTTTTATTATTACCTTTTTTCTTATACGATATACCTACCTTGAAGTAACTATTAACAATTTATTACCTACCATGTTTTGTTATTATTTAGGCAAGTACACACATTAATATACACGCACATACACAATTACTTACACGACATGAAAACTACCGAGTATTAATAATCGTAACCCATAATTCCAGTTAAAAATTAAAAAATATATGTATAGATTAAGTTAGGTTCTGTGTTAGGTATCTAGGTATTTAATATTTCAGAAAAAAAATAATGAATTTAAATAAAAATATTTTTCAAATATCTCTTTTTCTAAATTTATTTTTTATCGTGATTAACCTGTAATTTAAATACCAGCTATAATATTCTGCTTATAATTAAACTATATAATTATTTATTTATAAATAAATAAGTATAAAATTAAAACACAATTGGATAGTTGGATTGTAAAAAAGTTTTAGTTAGTAGAAACTATTAGGCAAATGATAATAAGAGGCATAAAGCTATAAATTATTTATTTGATGGAATGACGGTTTTTGACTATCAAATTATTTGTAATAGGAGCGAATTGTAAAATAAAAAAAAATTTGAACTCCTGTAGTAATTTAAAAATAGATGATAACCTCCCACTCTATTTACGTCCTTGATTGTAAGAGTATCTACCTATATGTTTGAAACACCAATTAGATCGCATTAAGTACGAGAAATCGGATGAACTTAAATAAAATATTATAATGTTAAATATTTGGACCTCTCATCTAATACAAACAAATCAAATACTATATTGCTAACTTACTATTGTTCTGAGTATCAGTTTATTCGATAATAAAAGTTTTAGGATTCTAAACATAAGTTTTGAACATATCCCCGTTGTTGTGTCCGTCCGACTATATATAGTTAATATAAAGTACAATATAGTGAAGGTTGTTTATTTGACTGACAAGGAGATGCATATTATTACTACATTATTATTATTAGGCGTCATTATTAATTTGAATATGAGTATTAAATATGAAAAGGCTGATATATTGTTGATATATCGTGCCACAGTTTAAGGAGGAAAATTGTAAGAGAACATGTACTTAGAGTAATTCAATTTATATCTGTAAACAAAAAACGATTCTGAATAGAGTATTATTAGCCGTATGTTTCTCTTGTTGTCAAGATAACAAAGAACAATACAAATTGTACAAAATTAGCGAGTTTTTCTCATTTATTAAAAAAACTTCAAAGAAAATTGAATAATGACTACCAATCTATCAACGAAATAAAAAAAAAATGCTAAAAACTATTTTTAATTGGACTAAGGTTTCTGGTAGAAAAAATGTTTACGGACAGAAAAAAAAATTCACACACTAAACTTCATAACATGATAAAATCAATAGGTACCTACATAAAAATTTACCAAAATATAAATAGGTAAGAATTTCAAAAATGTCCTGACAATAATTTACTAATGAAGATTTTTAATTTATTTAAGTTTCTATATATCATACGCATAATATATTATATTACCAAATTCTTTCGAAATTGTATATAACCGGGTACTTTGCACGTTCGCAGAGTGGACTTTACTAATTTTGTTTTTTTTTTCATACAGATGTAAAATAATACTTATCCTTTTCGGTCACCTTTGACTTGATTTATCTGTGTAAATTAAACGATAATTTGAAATTTATGTTTTATACGGTTTATAGGTTTGGGTGAGCGCCGTCGGTCAGAACCTGAGTTCGATCGGTATCGCTTTCGGTCTGGTCATATCGTTCGCTTCGTACAACCGTTACAACAACAACATATTGATAGACACGGTGACGATATCGGCAATAAATGGCTTGTCAAGTTTTTCCGTGGGATTGTTCACGTTCGCCACCTTGGGCAGTATGGCCAAAGAGTACGGAAAGTCCGTGGAAGACGTTATACCGGACGGTAATATAAAAATGCATTCATATTACGCAACCGAAATTCGCAAAAAATTATTAATTCGCCTAATCCAAACCGTTGTGTTGTGTCACCAGGACCTGGAATCGTGTTCATATTGTTCACAAAAGTGCTGTCCGGCATGCCGTATTCCACGTACTTTTCGATGCTATTTTTCTTCATGATGTTTTGCCTGGCCCTGAACAGTGAGGTATTTATAATCATAGCGCTAACTGATATTGTTCTATGATGCAATATAGTAAAACCATACTAAATATCATATAATTTGACCACTAATTCATTAGTAAACGTATATATTTAAAAGGTTAACACCCGAATTCGTCAGATCAGTCAGTTTCAAATTAGTGCCGATAATTTTATGTTGACGTTGTTAGTTGGTTGTAAAATAGAAATACTGAAACTGATTGGGCGAATTTAGGTAGCCACTTGAATTTAATACCCCCATAGTTATGCCTAAATGGAACAAAAATTATAAACTATAAAAAGGTAGCTCTCATTTAAATGCAGTAGTGTAGCCAGTGCCGGCGCTAGGGGAGGGCAAATGAGACTTATGTCCAGGGCCCTGCGCTCGTTTCGGTTTTATGGGCCCCACAGTTTATTATTATATAAGTATACAATCATTAATTACCTATACTGAAGTCACCACTGTACTAAAGCATTGTCCAGGGCCCCACAAAACCTAGCACCACCACTGGGCGTAGCCAGGATTTTGAATTTGGGAGAGGAGAGTTAAATACTTTTTTTGAACGTAGCTTTGTTATCAAAAATGATAAAAAAACTTAAAAAAAAATTATTAAATGAGAATGTATTATGTTTAATGTCTTGACATATCTTATAACTTACTATACTTACTACACTCCTTTGACAGAGAATTTTGAAGAAAGACAATAATTATATCAATTTTATAAATGCCTTCTGTTTTATTTATAAATACTAGCCATGATTAATCCATTTATATTTTATTTTCTGGCATAATTCTCCTCTTTACATACGTTTCCATACTGGTCTACGTAGAAAACGATCTGCATTTAGAAGTGGAATAACAGGAAGCGTAGTTTCCGTAATTTATCGTAAAATATTATACGAGCAGGGAGGGGGGTACTAAATCCCTCTTAGACCTCATTAGCTATATACGCTTTTGTTTAATTAAAAATATTATATTGTATATTTATTTTGGATTTTAGTTCGCCATCGTTGAAGTCGTGGTGACATCCATACAGGATGGGTTTCCGTGCGCTGTCAAAAAATATCTAGTCTGCCACGAACTGTTAGTAATGGTTGTTTGCGTTGCTTCATTTGTACTTGGAATTCCACTCGTCACACAGGTTTGAAAATTATTATTTAAATCTAATTTATAACGATTTTGTAAAAATGTGAATAATACCTGTACTATTTTTCTTTTGTTTATGATTTGTTGATCCTCTTATACGGAATGTTTTATTGAGTTTTTTATTTTAACTGCATCCCCTTTATTTGCTTTGTTTTACTCCTCGCAGGGTGGTATATATTTGTTCCAAATAATTGATTATTACACTTCAACGTGGTCGGTAATTTACATTGCTTTCTTTGAAGTTATTGCTGTATCTTGGATGTATGGAGCTAATAAAATGACGCAGGAAATCCATAGAATTACTGGAACAAAACCTATGTGGTTTTTCAAATTTAGTTGGTATTTTACAACCCCGCTTTTACTCATGGTAAGTACAATACATGTATTATTATTAGCTAACCGACATATCAATAAGTGGTTTTTTGGGGGGAACGGTAACTTCTCTTGTATTCTCAGATATATAATATGCATCTAATTTAATCGTTATGCGTGATAGAACTAATCGAAGCTTAACATCTATATTACCTAAATTATGAAACCCACTTATTTTTTTTTTTTATTTTTTTTTTTTTTTTAGTTTGTATGGATTTTCAGTTTAACAGACTACGAGCCACCGACCTATATGCACGGAACCCGAAGTTTTCCTGTCTGGACTCATATAGTGGGATGGTGCATGGTTATGATCTCATTGGCATGTATACCCGTAGTATCGGTTTATACGTTCCTACATTCCGAAGGAATGACATTTTACCAGGTAAAAGCTAAATTAGCGCTGAAACTGCATAGATAGTTCTATCAAAAAATTGTTGAAAAAACAAAATTATATATAATAGGCGGCAAGAGCGGATTAGAAAAACATTTTGTCGTGAAAACCTGTAAGGCAAACCTTATGAGACATTTTATTAGTATTATATTTTGAACAACACGATTGATTTACAAGGAAAATAAATAAATGTCACAAATTGTTTGTATTCGAATTTTTAATGGTACCTTTGATCACCGTTTGGAGTATAGAAAAAATTCCCAAACTCCTGGTGGGAGAATTTACCCGGTTAGGAATGGGGTATTTTGTATTATAGTTAAAATCAGTTAATTATACGTACAGTTAATACTAGTAAATAATAAATATGTATAATGTTAATAATAATTTTTGTTTGTATGTATAGAAACTGAACAAATCAATAAAACCCAGATCAAATGAATTTGGTGAATTGCCAGTCGGATCGAAAGACAACTTAAAAGAAATGGACACTCTCATCGAATGCAAAATGACTCAAATTCCACCAATTGTTGTCTTTCCAGAAACAGAAACTGTTCAAAATACAGTAATAATGAATGGCCATTGAGTACATAATATAGATATTTGTGATTGTTATTCAATAATAATATTACCTAAATCTAATCTGTTTTACTGTTTTAACTCTTTTAAATTTTAAATTATATAACACTCACATTCCATGCCTATATAAAGTGATAACTAAACACAGCTAATAACAATTAAATGTGCCCATAACTCTAAATATTTATTGTAAGTTGAATATAAATTATTATTTGATTAAATTATTTGGTTTGTTTGATTCGCAATCTTGTAAAACTATTGAATACGAATACTTAAATATTATTTAAGTATTTTAGATTCGGCGCGTAGCGAGAAATGTATTGGTTTTACAGTGATGTTTACTTTTGTATTTTTATTTTTTTTATCTATAAAAGACTATTCTACCAGAAATCTTGCTCCGATTTTCAAGTTTAGTACCTTTTTTAAAATTAAATTTTCTCTAGTTGGTGCATTAAGTAGGTCATTTTTAAACCTAGACCTGTTATTGTACTTATCATAACTTATCAGATTTATATAGCTGTATTACCCGGCTTCGCCTGTGGGCAATTTTGTAGCTTACATTTTTAACATTATTATATTACCTGTATATTGAAATTGTCATATCATGTTTGTAAATATACAAATTTAAAGTCTAAATAATTTTGTATAATTTGTTGTTATAAAAATTGTACAGTTTTTGCCTGTGACTTTATTCACATTTTCATTCTTTTTTTCTTTTTTTTAATGACTCGCGCGCTACCTATTTGTAAAAAACGGAAACCTATTTAAATCAAATATCCATAAATAAGCTTAAGTGTTTATTTATAATTTGTTGAATGTAGAAATATTTAAATGCATATCAAATGTATTATTAAAAAAAATGTTTTGAAAATTATTCAAAAGTATTTTTGTTTAAATTCAAATACTTAAAAAAAAGTGTTCAGAAACTAGAAAATTAACGATAGTAGCAGAACATAATGAAACCATTATTTTCGATTCAAATTTTCTTGTTATAATTTGTTTTAGAAACAAAATTGATTTTCTACATAATATTATATACCTAATATGTGGCACTACAAAATACAAATAATAATATAGGTACGTACTAATTAACTACTTAAGTAGTACATACCTATTATGTGTACCGTGTACGTATTACAACCTTCAATAAATGTATTATTTTTTTAAGTAATATGTATACCACACGCAAAGGCTCGTATATAAAAGGCTCATACAGGGTGTCCAGGGTGTAATTCTTTTATTGTGATCCACCGTTTTTTTTTTTTTTTTTTTTTTTTTTGTAAGCCATTCTAAACCTATTGAAGCTTTATTTTAATACCATTTTCAAATTTTTACTCCATTCTTCCTATACCGTAAATGAAAATGATTATTAACTATTGAGTTTCAAATGGTACCTCCCCTCTCCCATTTTTTCAACTTAGATTCCAAATAATTGTGTTTTTCTAACAAATTTGATATGCATAAAGTGCAAATATTAGATCATTTATGAATTGTAATCAATGACAACTCGCTTGATGAGGTGAGTGAGGCAAGTACAGTTTTTATAACTGAAAACCCGTGACAGCTAAGAAGGATAAGAGGACTATATGATTTGAGAAAGGAATAAGTTCCATGTTGAATTGTATAAAAACGTATTTAATGAAGAACGCTACTTCACAAAACAAACGAACTAGTCATGGTTATTATAAATTTAAAAAGATGGACATACTTCGCATGTGGGTAGGCCACTGTTGTAGGTGAGAAGTTAAGAAGTTTATAGAGGAGAAATTTAATATAAATCTGTACGCAACGATTAACCATTGCTAAAGAAAAAACGATTCGGAACGAAGTTCGGTTGATAGTGGTGTTGCTTTGTTAACAATATGTATTATATATTTTCTTTAATAATATTTGTTTAATATTGCACACATTTTCTCGTTTTTTCTACTTTTTTCCCCAGTTTTTCTCATTCATTGAGAAAACTCCTGGCGAAATCAAAAAATGACCTCTCTAAAGTACTACTCCAGTCAGATTCCCTTTCAAAAAAAGTGCTATCATTATGAATCGGAGCAAAATTGCTGGTAGAAAAGTTGTCCACTGAAAAAAAATATACATCATTGTAAAACCAATATATATCTCGCTCCACTCAGAATCTAAAAACAAGACATTACTGAAAATTATAAAAATACCTGTTTAACATTATTTTAGGATGCCGCTGTCAGAAGCGCTTATTAAATATAATTACAAAATATAATAAGACATATTTCCGTATTTATTATACATGATTATTTTGTTATCAAAGTTTTTTTTTTTAAAGGTATTGCATTGATGCAAACAATTTTCTGTTATTTTTCTTTTTTTTTTGCATGGTGATTGAACTCTCTTAACCTCTCTTACCTATAGCTCATAATTCATGCAAAAACATAATTACCTCCTCCCTTCAATTCAAAATCCTGGCTACAGTGATCACTGAAGCTTAAAATAGCGGTTGTAGATATCTATTATAGTAGTTATCTGAAATCAACAAAATAATAAAATAATAGCCACTCGTTTACTATTTTTAACAGGATATATTTGTCTCTCCATACATGTTTTTAAAATACATTATTCTTGCTATTTTCAAAATATTTTCCTCGCCATTTATAAAGCTCACGAGCAGCCACTGGTCATAATAGTTTAAAATTTTAAATCGGGTATTCGGATAATAAATTGATCAGTGTTATTTCTATGACGGATCGTGATCAAAAAAAGTCACTCAGCAATCTATCTGTTCCACAACACAAATGGCGTTATGTACAAGTACGTCACTACTTACAAGTTACAAGACGATGAAATACTTGATTATTTTTTAAATAATGGTTGAAAAAATGTATCGAAATATTGTTGGTAACGATAATTATACACTATACACCTTTGTGTCGTGCGTACAGTGGTTTACGCCCATCGCGTAGATACCTCATGTTTTTTTAAACACAGCGATGTTGTTGTTATTATTATTCAATCAAATTAGTTGTATAAAAAACAAATTACAACCATATACACTATAGTCGTCTGGGCAGTGTTGGACAAAAATTTAAAAATTCAGATAAATTTAAAAAAAATTGTAAGTGATTTTTCTCTTAAATTTTTTTGTAAAATAAGATATCTTATATATCTCTTAGTTGTAAAAGTTGAATTTTTGTAACGGTCCCTCTTCTCCCTTTTTACTTAACTAAAATCAATAAATGAGATATCATTTTAAATATTATTTTCCCCTCTTCTGACGAGTCGTTAATTTAGAACTGTTAGCATTACATCTAAAACAGACCAAGGACGCCCGCATAAATATAAACCGGGGAGGGGGCTAAAGTCAAAAGTTTTTCTACAACTTACAAGTAATCATGGCTTGAATATTTAACCATGTAAGTAATAAAACAATTAATATTAAATATTAACTAAAAAACCGGGGGGCATGGTCCCCCAGCATCCCTCTGTAGGTGCCCTTGAAACAGACAACCTTGTTAATACTTAAATACCGTTATCTTTCTTGATAGCATATTATACTCTGTCTCAAACTAGAATACACCGGATGCCGACCAGTTTTTGTTCGTTTCCGCGCATCTGCTGTAAAGTAATCGACTGCTGCTTTCCGTATAGTGGGAAAGGGGGGGGGGAAATCTGGCTAAACCGTCAGTCACGATGCGCAAACTCGGTGTATTCTAGTCTGAGTATAGTTTAAATACCCAAAGATTATTTGAGGTATGACTTATACTTAACATTACATACTTAATAGTAGGTAGGTACATAAATAATAATGTTAAAAAAATGGTAATACCTAATAATAATAATTTATTCAAACATAAAGTTATTAAATAGTATAAAATATTCCAACGTTTCTCATCGTAAAGACAAACGAATATCAAATCAAAATATTATTATAATTGAAACAATTAGGTACCTCATTTCATTGCAGTCACTTTGATAGTCTCAAAAGGAATTCTGCTGTTGAAAAACTATAAATAAAATCCAAGTTTCATTTGAGAAATTCAGAAACCAAACATAGATATTTATATATTAGAAAAAAAGAAAAATTAAAGTCACTAGTTCTGGACAAGATGTCGTTTCACTTTAAACATGCTTGAAAAAGTAGGTAAAATATTTGAAACCTTTTGTATTAAACATGTCAACTAATGATTCGAAATGTATCAAATCGTGCATGAGTTATTTTGAATGCTCTGTGCAAAGCTTTACTTCCTGTCAAGGTATGTGCATTAAATATTATTTTTTATTTTTTTTATTAAATTGATGTTATAATGTTTGAAGAAAAATGTAAAATATCTATGCTTCTTTTAGAGGAAAATGCCCCTCCTCCCTTTTTGCGCTTCCCGTATGACTCGTTTACATTAACACCGTTATAGTATTGATTTTTTTTTTTTTCGTTAGACTTTTGGTTCCCCTAAAACTCTTCATTGCCCCTTTGACCCTCGACAATCTATTTCTCACGGTATAGCACACTTCGTGGACTATAATTATAACATGTATTATTATCACAGGTAGTTTGTATACAGTTACCTACTTTGATACGCGGCAATTTAAATTTCGATTGCACGTGAGGCTATTATTATAAAATACAGGTGCGCCAGAAACTGAATCTACTACAGTAATTATCACTGAAAATAAAAAAAAAAACCGGGATATATCCCAAGGCTACGTTGTCAATAAAAAAAATGTTAACGGCCTTGGTTTACGTGTTGTTAATATTGTACGTAAATATTAAAAGAAATATTATTAAATACTGTTTTCAATCGATTTTGCGTAAGTATAACATTTCCAAGTGTATACATAAAAGGGACGTACACACTTTCCGGCGGTCCAGTTATGGTATACCTGCTCGGTCGTCGGAAAACAGGCGGATACTGAACAGCGGGACATGCACATCTTGAAGTTTTTTCTCTGGATGGCCGGATGTATCAGTACGTACCAGGATGACGGTAGCTGTGGCGCCGACTTGCCGTGGACCGCGTACCTGACGTACTTGGAATACGCGGTCACGTTAACAATTGTCAGCAGCACGATCGTGACCACCGTCGTCCAGGCCACTGATGCCGGGCAGAACCTGTCGGTCCTGATGCATGGCGTACTGTGCATGCTCATCGAATTGTTCATGTTGCTGTGCATACCAATGCGGTTCAGCGGCCGTTCCCGATTAGGTTTCCGGGAGATGTTCCGGTTCGCTGACGGCTCGGACATCCCGGTTGGCTATTGGTCCGCGATCCGGATGATCGTCCGATACCATCTGATCGCGTCCAACACGTTCGTGAGCGTGTCCGCCCTGTACACCGCCGCGTTCGACTCGGTGCATCCCGGCGACCCGTTCACGTTCCCGTTCATGGACGTGCTGCCCATCGACACCCGGAACACGGCCGCGTATGTCTGCAAATTTGCCGTGTACTCTCTGCCCGTGTACATCGCGCACGCTGAAGTCTGTTTCCTAAACGTGACGTTCGTTTATTCCGTGGGCGTGATTAAACGCCATTGCGAAATCCTCGTGCAACAAGTCCGGGACGCCATGGTCAACACTGATGACCACCAGAAACTGAAAACCGCGATCGTACACCATCAAATGCTCTTAAAGTGGGTTTCGCGGTCACTAAACTGCGTATAGCAATAGATACCAAGTACCTATACGAGGGAGATATGCCTAGTCCCGTTAACGGCATCGTGAAATAGAAAGACGTTTGGGAAGAATGATGTTGTGTAATGATGAGGGCACAATAATATTATTGATTGAAGCTCGGGGATTAAACTATTAATGGAGTCAATCAGCTCTGTTTGTATTTAGGTTCGATGTAGCGCAAGAGAATGGAGAAGACGGTACACAATAATATAAAAACTATCAGAAAAATTAAACAAATATACACTACTGTTCTTTTCAAATTAATTATTCAAAATTTGACCGCACATTTAGGCCTTTCCTTGAGGTTTTTTATGGGGGGGAAGGGGGTTAAACATATTTTCAACGCATACTATATTTAGTTACCAAGATAATGATTATTAAACTTGTATTATATACAGTCAGTTACACCTAATCCTAACCTAACCTTTTTCTTGTATGGTATCACTAGGTCCGATAAGGGAATCGCGTTAGCATTACTTCCTCCCCGGTTGATTTCTTTCCCCGGAAAAGCCTGCTGCCTTGGATATCACGTCCCGCGACTCCTTTTCTCGGGCCGGTGTGTTGGTCCGCCGTCCTCGAAAACCCCTAAACTAACCTCACCGCTAGCTCAACCGAGCTTGTGATCATGGACGTATTATTTAGGAGGCCTGTGGGTTAAGCTTCTTACCAATGGATTCAAGTGGAAGAGGTTGGCCGGAAAAAAGGTTAAGTTAACGTAAACATTTAGGTTAGGTTTGGTTAGAGCATGAACATATTCGTATGTGGTAGTAAATGAAGCAATTTTGTTGGAAGCTGTGGGTGGTAATGAGACTAATTTTCGGGGCGGGAGAATAGAAAGGAGATTTTATAACTTAACACCTAAGACCTAACCTGTGTGATATTATTTCAACGTATTTACGAATAATTAAAATATGCAATCGATTTAAAAAAAATTAATTAAATAATTACATAGTATATACTTGTAGGTACCCTCAATGTTACTGTTTATAATTATGTATACTTATGTGAATTTAAGGCAATTCAAAGATATGAAAAGTTTATTCAGCCCACCGATTTTATTAGTAATAGCCTTCTGCGGCTCATATTTTGGATTGTCTGCTTGTTTCGTAATCCAAGCCATTCAGGTATGTATTACCAGTAAGTGTGAAATAAACTTTATATTATTAATACCTACCTATATTAAGTAGGCACGATAAACCTCGTACTTACCTTTGGTTGTTTTTTTTTTTTTTTAAATAAATAAATAAATTATGCTTAATTACCTAGGTAAAATTAAATATATTATTTCACGCTAAACTTGCATAAGCTGTCTCACTCTAAGGATAGGTTAGATTGACGGGTGATATAGCAATACCTACCTTACGCAGTCTGCGTAGAACTCGGTTAGTTATGGTTTTAGAGTAAAGCGCATATTAAAAAATTAAAAAGAGGACAACATTCCGGAGTGCAAGAAGATGCGGTTTTTTTTTTTTTTTAATTATTAAAAACAATGTATTGGGTTTTATTCTTAAATGATGTATTATAATCGGAATAATAATTAGAATAATAGAAAATACTCATAGTTTTGACTTCCGGAATATTGTCCTCTTTTAATTTCATAATAGGTGGATGCAATCTGTTTGGATAGCTTTTTGAATGACTGCCGTGCGTCTCTACTAAATATTTTCCAAATAACCTCAAACTTTAAGGATATTTTTTTTTTTATTATGTAGCACAACATAGGCGAGTGTCCTGAAGGAAATTTTTGAATTGGCAAAATAAGGACCATCCTAGGTACCTATCACATCAAAATGAACACAACACAAATACAATGCTTACAATTATTTAAATTTCTTTATGAAATTTCTAATCAAATATATAAAATATTTAATACATTAATTGTAATATACCCCTGCCTACCCACTTACTTATATTATTCTAATAATTTCAAATTAATATTATAATCCATATGAGTTTATTTGTAGAAATATTATTATTTGAAGAAACTATTAAAAATTAAATTTAAAATGTTAAATATTCTCATTTAATAATATTATATTAATTATTTTTAAATAAATATTATAATTTATGATTATTCCTAACTTAATTTAACTGATTGAATTTAAAATTTCTTTGAATTTATTTTCCTTCACTTTTAACTATTAACTAAAAGGGGTTTTTTTTTTTGACTTACTCAAGTTAATTATTTCCTTTAACTTATTGTCCACATTTTATTAGAAGTTCTTATACTATATCCATTAATTTTAATGAAGTATAATTTGTTTAGGGTTACATTGATAAAATGATATTGGGAATATGTCTCACCAGCAGTATAGCATCCCTAATAAATATTATTATTTATTGTGTCTGCACGAGTAGTATATACAATTTAGTAAGTACAAATATTGGTACCAACAAACAGTTGATTTATTTATATTTTTACAACAAATTTGCAGCACAATGAAATATTACAAGAGTTTAACAATGAACAATTATTTTCTGCGGACAAGTCATTCAAACGCCTCAGTCTAATTATGATGGCAAGACTATCGATACCGTTGGAATATGAAGTCGGTTATATTTGCACTATCAATTTAAACTTACTTGTCAAAGTAATTTCTGATTGTTTTTTCTTTATTGAACAACCTAACAAAATAAAATAACTCTTAATTAGATTAAGTACCTATTGTATAATTATATTTTGTGTTTCAGATCATAAAATTTTCATACACATGGTTGAATGTCTTATTAGCTTCAATAAGAGGTCATCAACTGACATAAATGTCAGAACGCAAAGGATTTCTATTCATAATATCGTAAATTAATAGATTGGAAATTACATTTTTTGTTTTACCTAGTCAAGAAATTAATGTTAATAAGTTATTATAAATACTATAACATTATTATTATTTGTGTTATTTACATTTTAATAGCCTTAATATAGATTTTAGAACAAATTAACAGTAAATATTCACTGTCTATGGGTGATAATTTTTATAGAATATGAAACACACTATTGCAAGTTATTGTTTTTCTTATTGAAATACATATTATATGGTTTTTATTATTATTATTATTATTATTATTCATATACTAGTTTCCAAGATAGTAAACAAATTGCATTTAATATTTTGTATCTTAACATTTGTTAAAATATAATATTTATTTTCCAATGACATTAAATAATTTAAAAAAACTTATTTCTATATTTTAGTACTTAATCATTAATAATAAAAGCTATTATACAGTATTGACATAAATAGGTCACATGTATTTGACAAATGCACAAATAAATATTTTTTTTTTATCCTTTGATAACAGCAATTGGTCTTAGTTTCACAGTTTTCTTACTGATTCCTGCTTTGTGACAAGTGTTAACTACATCAGTGACATTTTTATAGGACTCTGGTGCTTCTTCCATAACTAATTTTGGTGAAGCTACTCGAATAGCAATACCTTGTTGTTGTAATTTTTCTAACACATCATTATAGTCAATATTCCTACGAGACTTGGCTCTTGACAAGGCACGTCCCTGAAAAAAAACGCGTGTTATTGATACCCAATAAATTTATAAAAAAAATAAAAATACTTACGGCTCCGTGGCACGTAGAACCAAATGTTTCATTCATTCCCTGTTCAGTTCCAGTCAATACATATGAACAGGTACCCATGGTTCCGCCAATCAATACTGGTTGACCGGTCAGTTGATAGTCCACAGGAATAAGAGGATGGTAAGGAGGGAATGCTCTAGTCGAACCCTGAAATATAATAATGGCATTATTAAAACAACCAATAACCAGGGTTATGCAAGATACCAAAAAAAAGTATATTCATACATAATAAAATTGTCTTATGTATCTTGATACAACAAAATACACTACAAAACTAGAAAAGATACAAGATACAAGTTTCAAAGATACTTCTCATTTTCATAATTCATTAACAATATGTGGTGAATATTTGATTTTAACTCAATAAAACTTATCTTAATTTAGAATAAATGAAAAGATTGTAACTATAGCAATATACAATTTTAAAAATTAAAAGTAGAAAATAAAATGAAAAAATTTACACTAATAAATATTACCCTATCAATAAATTTTTTTTTTTCGGTTAGGTTAGGTTACGTACATTACATAAATTAAAAAAGTAACAAGATACAATATACTTGATAAATATAAAAGATATTTTGATACATGTGTTTGTGATACTGCTCAACCCTGCTAATATGACTATTAAAACATTTATAACACATGTTTGAAATACCTTTCTATGGACTAATAATTTTTTAAGTTTTCCATCAACATAATGCTGTTCCATTTTTGCAATATTATGAGAAACATCATAAATGACATGCATGTCTAAATCGTCTGGTGTCAGTTTAAACTGTTTTGCAAATGCCTTGAAAATAATAATATAATATTAATCAATAAATCATTATGAGATATAACCCGTTAATACAATTGTTTTACTTTATTCATACACATACTTGACGTGCTAAAAATGTCATTGAACTTCGGTTCACCCAGGCAAAATTTGCAGCAGCTGACATAGATTTCAAATAATTTTGACCTTCATTTGAATTGATACGAGCACAAGCTAATTGTCTGTCATTAACTTCAATTTGATCACGTTTCATAGCCTTTTCCATTTCCAGTAAAGCATCTAACATAGTCAAGGCTTTAAATAAATTTCTTTTCAAAAATTGATATTGTTCAAATTATTTTATTAATTTCTGGAGATTGTGTAATTATTCACAAAACTATTAAAATGTCAACTTGAATAATATTTTTTTTTTAAATCAATATTTTTATGAGTAATTCTTAATATATAATATATTTTAATAATACAGTAAATATGTAAAACCTGTTGCAACTTGGTGTCCAAAACCACGACTTCCTGAATGTATCATAACACATACTTGGCCAACATTTTCAATACCCATTTTTTTGGCTGCCCATTTATCATAAACTTCATCAACAATTTGAATTTCAGCATAATGATTTCCTGCTCCTAGTGTCCCTAACTAACAAATAAATTAGTATTGAAGTATTATAAATGGTGTATATTATTTAAATATTGATAAGCAACTGAAAACAAAATTAATATACCTGTGGTAAACCTCGTTTCCTAGCTCTCATGCTCACTTTTGATGAGTCTGCATTCAACATTCTTCCATTTTCTTCACAATGCTCTTTATCTTCAGCCCATGCATAACCTAACACAAACATTACATTTAATAATAAGTATGAAGAGTAAGTTTATATAATACCTTCTCTTAAAGACCAATCCATTCCCATTTCAAGAGCTTCTTCCAAATCATTTGCATTCATTGGAATAATTCCTTTAGAACCTACACCAACAGGAATATGATCAAACATGCTTTGAGCTAATTGTTCCTGGGTACAAAAAATACAACATACATTATAGTTGTATTTTTAAAATATATTAACATATATTATAGATCATAATAATAATATAATAATTAATATTTAATTTAATATAAAAAATTAGGGAGTTGGAAAACATCTATTTTTCATCCGTTTGAAACCAATATAGTACACATAATATGCGTACATATGTAAACATACTTCTCAATATCTGATTAAAGTATATATGAATTTTTTGAAAAATGATCTAGATTATTCAAGAAATAAATTTTTAATTTTCAATTTTGAAGACCTCCAAAACTAATTATTTTAGAAAATTCTGTGAATTAATCATATTATATTTATTTATCTTGGTCATACCAAAATTTAAATTGAAAAATTGACTTCTCTTGACAATTTGTTGATAAATGTATGAATACTTAAAAAACTGAAATTAAACACTGTGAAGTATATCTAATTTCTTATCGCTAATTAGTTTTAAACATAAAATTCGTTCTGTAAAAACGGATTTACATACATACACAGTTTTACCCTGTCCATGGGTATTAGATAAATAAAAGATTGATTTTTAAATTTCATTTATTATATAACCAACCAATCGCGTCATTTATCAGCCATAAATTCAGTTTAAAAATCAGATAAACACATTTGTTTATTTTGATAAAACACTTAATAAAAAATAAAAATATATTTTTAAATTTTACAAAATTGGTAAACTTTTTCCAATCCTCTTAATGGTTAAATGTATAAATTCTACTAAATGTAAAATAATTATCAACGCCTAATAGTATAATTACTTTGACAGGTTGAACATCTTTTTCAAATAAATTTGTACGAAGTAATCGTACACCACAATTAATATCGAAACCCACACCACCGGGTGAAACGATAGATTCAGGATCATCCATATCAAATGCAGCCATATTTCCTATTACAAAATATTTTAATATTACATCTAGGTATATTATTAATAATAGGAAGTGTCTGTTTGTTTGCTTTTACAGCCAAATATATCGCACATAGAGGTCTTAAAATTTACTAAATAGTAATTACAAACCTATGGCAAATCCATAACCTGAATGGACATCTGGAAGACCAATAGATTTGTGCACAATGCCAGGTAATGCTGCCACATTTGCAATTTGTTTTACACCAGGTAAAAAACCGCCTATCATTCCTGGTCGGCATGCGTTTTGTAACTCATCCAACATAAGTTTTTCTAACACTTCATTGACATAAAATACACCTTCAACCTACGATCAAAAATCTTTATTCATTTAAAGCACAATAATTTAAAATATTTCAAAAAAAAGTCTATAGGTAACTACTACCTACCTTCATATTCGGTTGAAATCCTTTTTTTATTTCCCATTTATACGGAGTTTTTTTTTCTAAGTATTCTAGCTCTTCCTTATATTGTCTCACAACCATTTTGACGCAATTAAATTTGACAAGTACTAATTGAAAATTAAAATAAATTTGCTAAAGATACAGTGTTTGTAAAAAATATAATGTATGATTGTAATTTCCAACAATATATTATCAATATGTGTTATCACAAACCGGTATAAGCGTCGGGCACTTTTCCGAGGATAAGATATCACCATAGATAACAATATATTGAATGTTATCACAGATATATTATATCTGTACTGTTACTATCACGGTATAATATATACCATAGAATTCATTTTAAGTCACACTTGTGGTCAAAAAAATTGAGTGTAGTATAGTATATTTTATTTTTATAGGAATTTTTAAATCAAGTATTGACGAAAATCTTAAATTTGACGGCCTTTCAAAACATATACAACCGAACTTCGCTTCGAATCGTTTTTCATTATCAATGATTTACTGTTGATTACAGGTACAATAAATATATGCATGTATCATACCTTCCCAACTATACTCACTTACAACAGTGGTCGCACCAGTCCCCAATATCGACTCTTTTTTTTTTCTGCCTGTTAACAACTTTTTGAAAAAAAACCTTGCTTCGATGTATAGAGTAAAGTATCTTTTGCTCCAATTGAAATATGATTAACGATCGATTTTGTTTCATCAACTAGCTACTGACAGAATAACTCGTTTATTGATATCTATAGTAGTTTTGATAATAATTGAGAAGAACTAAAATTACGAAAAATACGATTTTTTTAAATTACGACACAATAATTTCATTATTTAAAATTTGTCTACTAGATATCCAAACTCCAAGTTTCAGGAATAGCATAATTTTCTATTATTTGTATTTGTGTCTTGTTTGTATACAAGAAAATCGTTGTTTGATTTTCCGTATAGTTTTCTTAATAATTACGAAAAACCAGAAAAATCGTAGAGAAAACGGCAAAATGTATAGCATTTGGTTTTTTATTTTTTTTCGGTTAAAAATTATCGCAGAGACCTGTACTTTTCATAGAATACTGATATTGGCCTTTTTCGTAAAATGTTCAAAATATTATAACTACTTTTAGATTATTTATTAGGTACCTATTTTATATTTTCGTGTTTATATGTAGTTTTATTTGGTAGGCACTTATCTGTTTTTAAAAATTATATGACCTAAGAGAAATATTTGACAATTTAACACATATAAAGTTATAGTATAAAAGCAGTTTTTTTTTATATTTTATGTTAAATTCAGTGTTTTAAAAAACAAATATGAGTATGATACTTTTTTTTTTTTTTAATAAGCCTTAAAAGATCAAAGTATATTGACAAAAATCGTAAAATGTACAGCATTTCGAAATATATCTTACCGATCTCGCTCCGAATCCTTTTTCATTACTCATTAGCAATGGTTTATCTTTGCGTATAGAAATAAATTAAATAACTTTTTGTATCCTACCAGCTACCTTCCCGATTTCTCACCTGCAACAGTGGCTACACCCGACTCCAGCTCTTTTTTTTTTTTGCCTTTATAACAGTAATTTGCAAACGTTCAAAACAAATAAATTTGTGAACTATTTAAATATTTATTTATTACTACATTATCATCCAAATTATAATAATTACATACTCGTGCATTGTTTTAATTCCCCCAAAAGTAAAAATTATAACGTATAAATACTTAAGTAGGTGTTCGAACCTTTAATATCAACATAAAATCTATTACAGAGAAAACAAACATTGTATGTTTATTTAATCTAAAATACTACATTTATTGATTTTATTTGATTTATATAAAAAAAAAACACGCGAGATGCTATTGTGATTTGAAAAATCAACACTACAATAATGAATGAAACAATACATTCCGTTTCAAAAATATAGATATTTATTCAATATTACTATATAGGTCCTATATCTTAATTATTATTATTCGTATAACAAAATTAACGGTTTAAAATTTAAATATATTTAATAAATACATCGATACAATATCGATTTAATTATAATGGAATATTGAACCCTATAACTAACTATAATACTAATTTTATTGAATATTTTTCACATCATTATTGTCGCAGTAAACTAACGCATTACATTCCATTAGCTGTAAACTCATTCTTTTGTCGATCATCTTCTTAGTTTCCCGTTTTAACTTTATTCTGGAATTGACTTCAGGCACGGGTGTAACGCCTCGTACGAGTTTCTGTAATGAAAATTTAATTTAATTTTAACAAACACCGTTCCACTACTGAGAGGACAATCGCCATTTAGGGATCTAGCTATCTAGGGGGGCGAAGCACGTTTGGACCAGCAACGTTTGGACCACTGATAAAACTGCAACCCGTTTGGACCAGAATTTAGTGAACCCGTTTGGACCAATACTTTTAAATTTCTATAAAGACTAGCTAAATAAACGTTCAGTTAAACTACGAAAACTAGTTTTTAAATTAAGTAATAAGTAAATTATTTAGGTTTACATACAATTTCTATGTATCAATTTAGTTTTAAAACATACCGACAATTCAATTATATTAAATATATGCCTATATCCATTATCTTTATATTATAATATATATCTGTGTTTCAAAGTCTTATATACGATAAGACAACACAGATAAAATACTACTACACATAAAGGCTCGCTAAATAAACGCCCGGTAAAACTAATATAAGGAATATTCTAGTCCAAACGGGCTGTATAAAAGTATTATTTTTTAGCCCAAACGGGTCTTCAAAATTGGTCCAAATGGGTCCTGCCCGTGTAGACAGTGGCGCAGACCTAATTTTTTATATGTGTGGCAATAAGCAGTAATTTATACCCATATGCCTCTACACGGTATTAAACCTAAGTCGTGGGTGGCATAGCCGTTGTTGTATATTTAAAAATATATTAGATACTATTGGTTGTTCATCGTAAAACTATTAATTAAATAGTTATAGTTAAATAGCTATTTGCTTGTACTCATGAAATCACACAGTACACGCTACGACAGTTTAGGAATAGACTATAGTTCACGTTATTTTTAATACTATGTCTACTTCTCCTTGTATTAATTGTAAAATATACAATGTTTTATACTTAACTATACCAGTTATACCCACTACTTAGATAACCACCTAATGTACATGTTCGGCGCCACTGAATCTAGGTACAAGCGATTTTAGTTGAAAATTATCAAGTAAATACTGAAGTACCCATTAACGAGGTATGTTCAGAGACAAAACATCTTTTTTTAAAATACTACCATGGAAAAACATTTAATCCTACTTGTTTTAAAGTCCCCGGTTCCGTTATCAAGTAGTATACAGCATACAACGGTATCCAGACCATGGACATCAAGGATATTATTATTCCCAACCCTTCGCCCCACCACGGATACGTGTAATGATTTCCGTATGAGACCGGTTGGTACTTGATGACGTAAAATATAAACACCGTCTGTGAAAATATCAAATTTAGTCTAATTTGTCCACAAACCATAATTTATACGAGTATTGCAAACAAATATCTCACTATCATGACGAAAGGCGCGAGGTATACCCAACAGATGTACCAAAACAGATTCGGTCGGAAACCGAGCATCTGGTTGACGCATTCGCGAAATCGGTCGGCTCCGAAAAACCACGAAATCGATATTGTCTGAAAGAAACACACCCAAAGCAACGATATTCCCGACGCGGAATACGTGTCCATCAATTGAAATATATACATTCCGCCCTGCCGGTGAGTTTAAAACGTTCAATAATATTATGCGAAATATAATCGAAAACAACCATCATACTTACGTTAGTCACCATGGACGAACTCAATACAAACATAAACACGCACACCAGTAATGTAAATGTTTTCCGTTTGGCGTGTAAGTATTTGGGCCACTTGTCCGTCAGACCCGTTATGAACGATTCGACGTTGCAAAATTCGCTGTCGATGCCAATCATCTAACAATGTAAATATATCGAAAAAACGCATTTTATTCGCACGGAACACGGCAATAACCGGGCAGTTAAAAACGGCCATACCTACAGCGAGCATGACGAAGAACACGACCGCCCAAATCCTGGCGCCGGGCAACTGCAGCACCACCTGAGGGTACGTAATGAACACCAAGCCGGGGCCGCTTTCCACTACATCGCTGACCGTGGAACCCTGGGACGCGGCGATAAAACCCAGTATGCTGAAAGTTATCACGCTCGGTATGATTGACGTGAGCGTGTTGATAACACAGGTCAAAACCGCGTCTCTGTATAAAAAATCGTTTTGTTTTAATTTTTTCGTGACACATTTTGCTCGTGTTCCTCTATAGTTAAGTAGGTATACTGGCTAGGAAGCCGGTAGATATTAAGTATTATAATATTATAAACCTGTAACAGTTGTGATTGAATCGATTGAACGATCCGAGTGCCGGCAGGGTACCCACGCCTACACTATATCCAAAAAAAATCTGCGTGGTTCCCTCTATCCAAGTATCCGAATTCATGAGACTCTCCCATTTTGGGGTTATCAGGAACTTAATGCCCTCGTCGGCACCTTCCAACGTCACCGCTCTTATTAGTAACGAACCCATTATCAGGTATGGGAACATCGCTATGAACCACACGATCTGTTGGAAATAACCACTGTTGTTATACATATATAAGTATAAAATAATTGATATGTCAGATATTAAATATTACTTTTCCACTTTGACTGAGACCTTTGCCCAAAATAATGTAAATCAAGATCCACGACAATCCTAATAAGCACAACAGTTCCCACTGCATGCCGCCGATATTTTCAATACCACTGGTCAACATGAGCACTCTTCTCCTAATCGGTATAACATAATCCATGAGCATTTAGCGATAAATATATTAAATAAATAATGCATCCTGAAACGTTTTAACACTAAGGACACGTGGGGTACGAGCCCAGCCTGATGGGGGCCCCGACAAAAATAATTTTCATCTTTACGTTAAAACGTATTGACGTGACTTTTTTCAACTAAATATTTTACTGTCAGACTTAAATGCTTTGTTTTAATTTTAAAACATAGTAAATTATATTGACTCAAAATTTAATTGTTTCAAAACCGTCAATTACTCTTTATACATGCAATAAACACGGTGACCGCTGTACAGACTACTGCAGCGGCTGGCGGCTACACAATTATTACTTATTATTAACTGTTATTAATAGTTAATTAACAATTAATATATCGTTTATAAAAGTCTATGTACATATTAAATATCTATGTAAGATTAAAAAGATATTATTTTCCCATAGGTCATTAAACAAAAATTAATATTGGTTTTTCATTCATGTTCTTTTGGCTTCTAAAAGGCCCCCAAATGTTGTGTGCCCAAAAGCCCCTGCATAGTTTAAGACAGCCCTGAATGCTTCTCATCGCAACTCACTCCCAATACTCTTCAGCCGGCGTGACTGTAGTCCCGTTAAAACAGCTTCGGAGTTGATTTAAAAATTCTATACTTTTCTCGGGAACTGAAAGGATGGAAGATTTATTTGTTTCGGTGTCGGAAAAATTTTTTAGACCTTCAGCAGATAGGGACTTAAGTGTATGACAGAACGCCGTGAGTTGACTATCGTTTTTAAAGAACTTATCGCTCGCCGTGTATGATTCGTTAAAGTAAATCGTATTCCAAGATTTTAGATTATCGTTGAGCGTCAAGGATGTGTTGAACATTCCTTTTATTGTGTCCGTCCAGAAAAATTTTAAAGTCGAATTACCACCAGTTGGTTTTAAACAATTTTCTGTATTCCACCAATTATCTGAAACATAAAATATTATAACAAAATCATAAATATAATATTGAATACAAGAACAGTGACTCCGAAGTACATCTTTACTGAATCTTACTACAACTGTCCCACGGTAAGGTTGGAAATGATATAAAACAACTTGCCAAGTAGAAAAACGTCCAAGCAACAATGACGCAGTAATATACGTCCAGTAAAAACACAATTGTCATCGTTGCGTATCCTGTTCCTGCAAACAATGTGCCATAATATTATTGTAATGACATCGTTCTTAATGCTGATTAAAATTAAAATACTTAGTTCAAATGTAGTAAAATGCATTAAAACGCTATAACAGTACTATAAATAAACAAATAGAAATTTTACCAGTGAGTATTGGACATAGCTTTCCGACCAGCGTCATTCCGCCGGTACCCAAAAACTGTCCGATGGCAACTTCTTGAAAAAAAATCGGTACACCACAAAATACCATGGCTATAAAATATGTCACCAAAAATGCCCCTGAAATGTTTTAAACGATATAGTACTAACAATTTAAAAGAAATTAGTATTATTAGTATTATTATTTTTTTTTTACGAAACAATTACAGTTCTGAATATTACAATAAAAAATGCCTTAATATTAATTTTGTTTTACATTTTTTATTTCAATCGTGTTTTGTGCGAAGGGGACATAAGTAGAGAAAATTGAATTTTTATTTTCATCCTCTAATTATTTAAAAAAAAATAATAACAGAGTTTTTAGCATAGGGATAACACTGTAGAATACTCTGTATATTTAGAATTTGCTGCACCCAGCCACAAGCTTTTGTTTTAAGGTTGGCGCCATCACTTTAAAAAAAATTGTTTTTTTTTTCTTACTATGTTATTATTTTTGTTATGGCACATAAATAGTTATTATTAGGCATTAAATGTATAAACGATTAACTATAATTCACGGAGTGAGATACACACAAAATTATAAATATGTAAGATTTAAGTTTGGTTTACATATTAAATTAAATTAAACTTTGGTATAATAGATTACTGTATCAGAAAATTAGCATGTTGATCCATGTAATATACTGATTATTGTATAAATACATACGCATATGAATTAATGGTTTATTATTGGAGTCGACTTTTTTGCCCAGAATAATATTATTACGATTAATGTTGTATTGTCCTTCCATACAATAATCGGTTATTATCCAATCAGTACGTGACGTATATATTTTACATTTTATTCGTCATAATAGGTGTGTCAATGGTTTTATTTTTTTATTATAATAGCAAATTACCAGTGGTACCTAAGGCTGGTGGAGAACTATTTATATTTGCGACCAATAGGTATTGTCTCAAATCCGGCGTCAAAAACGCTACCATCACTAAGAATGCCAGAAGTATCTAATCAATATACTATTCAATAATATTAGCTAGTGACTAAATATATAAACCTGTACCGCTGACGTGAGAATTTCATAATTAGTCTGAAATGACAAAACTTAAACTGTTTAATAAAATAAACATTACAAAATACAAATGATAATTAGGTACCTCCTATTGATATATGGACTTTAAAATTATCGAATAACACAAAAATAATCGAATTGTGTGTTTCTTTTATCATAATATTTTATCAGTCTTGTTAGAAATACTTTTCTAATTTATTCAGTATACGTGTTTTAGTACTTGTGTAAGTTGTATTCGAATGTTTTTTTTTTTTTTTTTAAGTATTTGAACATAAATACAAATAATAATACAAAAATATTCAAAATACTTTCTTTTTCAATACAGATATGCTTTGATCGATTTCTGCATTTAAAATATTACAAATAAACACTGATTTAATTTAAACGGGTTAATGAATTTCATATTTGCATATTAACAAATGATTTAATTATTCATATTACTAAATGAGTTTATTGAATTGATTTTAACTAAGTAGATTATATTATTATAATGAGTTATTGAGTTATAACAATCAGTTTTGATGAAATCTTATTACACATTTTTAAAACTATTATAAAATATTATTTTAGAAACAATAAAAATATAAGATCGTGAAAAAATCAACCAAAGTACTTAATATTTTGGAATATAAAAACGATAAAATATTTGTTTATAAGTAACCAAAATGTATCTGTAAAAATGTGTTTCTAAAGTATTTAAATACAAATATTCGAATACTTAACAAGGTTGTATTTTATCAAGAAATTATAAGGTTTAAACAAATATTTTATAAATAAAATATTCCATGATGTTTTATGGACATCGATAAGATAATATTATGTGAACAATAGATCATCCATGTTTAATCGATTCTAGACTGACAATGTCAACACGAAGGTATTATAGGATAGACATTTTACAATAATGTAGCCAACTCTATTAATAGTACTGTCGGTTTATAATTGCCATAGGTAAAATCATATAATTACACATTTTACCTATTCAATTATGGGTGAGTACCTATTATTTATCATATTAGCTCTACATACGCGGAAGGATATTTTAATAGTTTATATGTTTTAATAAAAAAATTTAATAATAACAATTTTACCAATGTTCGATATATAATATAAAACAGTTATTTTGATTTAAACTCTATTTACTGCCTAAACTGGTATTAAAAAGTTGTTGGAACTGTTTTTAACCCATATCTGTTTTTTAATGTCTGTAATTAAAATAGCGGAAACGATATTTCACTAGACACGAAAATACAATTTTGAACTATAATTAATAGATTACGGATTTGGACGGCATTAATTTTAATTATTTTTTATTAGTTCAAAATAAATTTTCGACTGTTATAAAAATATGATTCATATAATACAAGTAAATAATATTTAGTGATTATTGCCTATAAGTACACTAGGTAATTGATTTTACTTTTTAGTGCTGATTTTGGATTTTATATGTTTTTTATATATTTTTTTTTTTCCAATACCCTTCAGTCAATTTTAGTGTGTCTAAATGTAGCTATACATAAAATTGTTTTAAGAATCCGATCCGAATCTATGTAAAATAATTTAATGTAATGAGTTTAGTCGTATAATTTTTAGTAGGTATTTCAAAACGCGTACTAGCTAAACGGTGACTTTATAGATTTAGGTATGACTTATTTAATTATTACTATACACCATAAAAATAAATAAAAACTACTCACCTCCGCCGTGTTTATAGCACAAATATGGAAATCTCCATACGTTACCCAAGCCGACCGACACGCTTATACACGAGAATAAAAAGTCCAACTTGTGGCCCCATTCTTCCCTCTGTTCGCGGTGAGGCGGTTGCGGTGATGATTTTGGTTGTTCGTATTCGTTCAACTTGGTGCATTTTTCTTCTATGTCTATCATACTGAAATGTAATAACGTCAGTGCAGGTAATTGGCAGGTAAAACGGCAGGTGCCAATAAATAAAATATTATCGTATAATATTTAAGTGTTCGCTGCGATCAGGCCGGCTGGGTGGCAGATATTGTCGCGTGCCATCGGGGGTTTTTTGCAAAATAACTATCTAATATGGTATAAATTATACGATGGTAATCTCTTCTGGACTGCCGAACACACGTTTCGGCCGAAACAAGACTAGTGCGTAGGTAGGTCGGTGTATTACAATATAATCTCTCCGGACACAATAAATCGTGTTCGGACACGAGTCGAGAGAATTCGCCATCCAGCCCTCGTTGCAGGTGTGTGCTTTCGAGGTCGATCATGTGTGTGAGCTTTTAAGAACAATTTATCGTTAATATATAAATACCGTCGCGGTCTTGACGTTATAAATATATAATATTGTCGCCGGAACTAATAACTAATACACACGTGTCGCACCCGCGCATAACATATAATATTAAAAACAATATGTGACAATTTAGCGAATACGTTCTTTACAAAACGGCATTCGATATAGGCACGTTTAGTTTTCATCATTTATTCGCCCGCCGACCTAATTAAAATAGTTAATATTTTTTTACCAATTTTAAATTCCGAGTATAACGAAGTAACTAGGCATTGTAGTGTAACTGTATGGGACGTGTGCTTTACGGAAAATCGATTTTTCGATTCGTAAAAATGGTCGGATTTTTTCTTGCAGTGCCGGGCGATTCATTTAAGCGGGTACACTCATTATGTCGGAAAGTATTAATTTTTTATGGAATTTGTTTTCTAGAACATTCGAGAAATAAGCAGCTCTACAATTTTATATTTATGTTAATTTTCGATCCATCATTTTCGGGGGTAAAACCACTACCTACTTATGATTTTCAAACCTATATTAAAAATTCTATAAATAAACGGAGTACTGGTTAAAATAAATTTTAGTATTGAAATTTTTAATTTCCGTCAATCCGTTGACGATTCCACGTTTAAGTTTGGGTCGGAAGAGAGTAGTGGAGTACCATTAGTGTGGCGGTACGGTAGCATGTTAATAATGCACCACTACTCTCCTCCAACCTAAAATTAAAAGTGGAATATCTCGTAAACGACTTTACGGAAATCAAAAATGTCAACACTAAAATTTATTTTAAATACTGCTCCTTCTATTTATGGACTTTTTAATATAGGTTGTTATTTGAAAATCAAAAGTAGATAGTGGTTTTATCCCCAAAACTAAGGGTGACAAAAATTAACATAAATATAAAATTGTAGAGCTGCTTATTTCTTGCATGTCTAGAAAACAAATTCCGAAAAACGTTAATACTTTCCGAGATAATGAGTATAACCATTATGATTATTATACCCATTCATGACTTAAATGAATCACCCGGTATAAGTGTCTACTTTAAAAGATTCAAATTTTTACCAGTTTATCGAACTCCGCGCAGAATCGTTTGTAATACGGGTACCCGCAGATAACTGGCGGGTGGTCGGTTCATCGTTGCTTTCAGTGTTTTTAATTATATATTATTACATCTTCACGCTTATAACATTGATGACTGATGACTTACCCATTGAATATGTCTGGCTTTTAAATAATGATTTTTATTGCGTTTTCTCGATTCGAAGTAAATTATAGTATAAACAGCGCCGACCAACACGATAAATTGTGCAAACACTATACAAATTAACTATACATACGTAACATTTAACAGTATGATTGTACAAAATAGATATGATATCGGTAAAATGTACAACGAAATACGCGTGTATGGGCAATTTTTGCTGACAGTATTATTGTTGTCGAAAATATATTATAATGACGTATACACCAGCAGGTATAAACATAACATTTGTCAAATTGTGTACACGAATTCTAAAATATATAATAATGTATACAAACAGCCGACTAGGTATTTGATTATTTTGATTTCCTTACGAAATTTGTGAAATAATTTCTAAAATGAGCTTTTGGCACGCGACCGTGTATAACTTTAACCTTTTACGACTTTTCTGATTATCTATACTTATGGTTTTTTCCTTTCAGACTCGTGATTATAACATGTCTATATATTATTAGTTTTATATTTTTTCTCTCGATACAAATCCTCATACAAATAATATGTTATTTATTTGAAACGATTCGTAAAGTTTATCCGCCAAATCGTTCACATCTATAAAACCGAATCGTTTGTGATTTTTTCTGACAGTCTGAAGTAGCTGGTATTATATATTTTACAAAGAACCCTAAAATAGATTTTTATCGCATGAACTTAAAAAGGCCTTTTATAAACGGTCATTTTTTTTTTTTCATGGTCGTTTACTCCGTCCGCTTAATATTTCGAACAATGACAGTTTTCTCGATTATAGTTTTTTTTTGTACAATATTATTTCAAACATTTGTTTTTAAGTTTTCGAAAGGCTTTTTTTATCGTTTCGAATCAAATATGAATAATCAATGGTCATCGGTGTTTTGAGGACGTACATAAGGTATTGTATTTTTCTAGTGGTTTGTCGACCGGAAAATAAAAACGAACTTTATTTTAAATTATAATACCCTTGGCGTACCTATATAGTCTATGTAGTGAGGTGCCAAAAAAATGTTATTGCTAATAGACTCGACACGAACATTATGACTGTATGCCCATCGAGCGGCGTGTTTAGCAATAATGAGCTAGGCGTTAGGAGCTTGTCATCGACGGCGCTATGAGATAGTGGCAATGTAAATTATTATACCGTAACGATTTTTTAGTTGATAATATACTCGTATTATAATATTCACCTTTATCGTCAAACATGTTTCAACAGTGACGAATAATTTATTAGCATAAGTAGAAGTTTACGTTTTTTTCCCGTTGAAATTTTCAATGGCCATTTTTAAAATTTTGACAATTTCAATTTGTATTACGTGAAATAAATTTAAACCATAATTCATGTCGCGACAATGAGGTGCCTATTAGTACAATTAGGTTCAATTATATAAACCGTATATAGAGATAATATCGTTACATTAAGGTTATAAACTACATGTATAATACTAAAACGATAAATGCCAAAAACATTTAACCGCTCGAATATTTTAAAAATAAAAAAGATACGGACATACTTCGCGCGATGGGTGGGCCATTGTTGTAAGTGAGCAATTCGGAAAGTAGGATATAGAGAGGCGAATTTAATGTTCCTACACATCTTCGTAACGATACATATTTTCTAACGAAAAACAATTTTGAGCGGAGTTTGATTACACATGTTTTGAAAGACCGTAATATTTACGATTTGAAAATAATATACTTCGTAAAATTTCCAGCTTTTTCCGATTTATTATGAAAATCCCTGGGAAAATCAATAAACGACCTCTTTAAAATATCACGCTGGTCAGATTTTTTTTCAGAAAAAGTGCCACACTTGAAAACCGTAGCAAAATTTCTGGTAGAAAAATGGTTCACAGATAAAAAAAAATAAATAAACATCATTGTACAACCAATACATTCCTCGCTCCGTTTAGAATCTAAAATGAAAATATTTTACTATACAATAATGCAACTAACTGTATAATTAATGAACAATTAATGTAGATCAAACATGGTATAATATTTAATTTTGAAAAACTAAATAATAGTTTTTGAAATGTTCATGAAACATGAAATTACCAACGTTATAATATCGTACCTGTAGTCGAATAATATATATTATTGCGATCAATAATTTAACAATGTCGTACATTTAATAATTGTATTAGTGAGTAAGTGAGTATGATTACAACGACCATTGCAGTGAATTAAATGCATTCGATTTTATTATTGGGCAGTTGATAATTTTATTAACGAATTCAATTTTTTTTTTTCAATAGTCGCGTATTACAACACAACTGAGTACAACCTAACTTAACTTAACCTTGTTAAGGGGGCGCAGCAGTAACTTTTTCCGTCTCTATCTATTTAATGAGCAATGTAGCAAAAATGTGTTTTCTTACTTCCAATAGTATACTCGGTATCTATAACAGACCTAAAACAAAAATGATTTCACCAAATTAAAGACAACGTTTACTGTAATCTTTCACTAGAAGATTACCTTGTTGGTATTTATTTTCCGGATAAACTATTCGTACTTCAAAATTTAGAAAAAAAATTTTTTTTTTCTTTATAGAAAATTGTACAATGAATATGTATCAAGAAATTCCTCCTTTGAAGGCGTAGTAAATATTTTTGCCTTTAATTTGGTTAAAATAAGTTTATTAGGATTTTGAGTACTATTGAAAGTACGAACAGACATTTTTACTATATTGCCTGTTTGATAGACAGAGGTGGTGAACGTTACTCTGACTCCTCTTAAGATTTGTTAAATTAAAATTTATGAAAACTGTATGCTTAAAAATTAATTTATATTTATCAAAACACCAATCGCTGTTCCCTACAAGTGGGTATATGCGGTATTATTATTTCATACAAATCATTATTCAGATCGTAATGTCGTATAATACAGAGACTTAAAATGTGCATGGTTATTAGATATCTCAAATTACCGGGTGCTACAAAAACATATTACTTATAATTGTTTACTCAGTCAATTTTGTATTTTTCAATATAGACAAGAAAGATAATTTGCAATTTATAATAAAAATAATGAATATTGATTTGTATTATTATACTTTACATACCTCGATTATTTTTAGATTATGATTGTGCTTTTTTTTTTTTTCGATTCTCATCCACGGGGAGAAAACAAACATTGGTTGCCTGTTCAATATCGTAATATAATGTTACCTTTAAGTATTTTGTGATCAGCGAAGGGCCAAGTTAAAATATTTTGTTTGCTTCTGCACATTTGTACTGCACCGTTTGCCAAAACGTGTAATATAAAAAACACAAAACTATATGATTTTGTCCAATATTTGAATATGCGATATAGCATATGCTGCAAATTTTTTTTTTATAATTAAAACTGTATAGGGGTAACAAGGTTTAAAAACGTGTTCTAATACTAATATATATATATATAATAAGCATATATTATATTATACTTTGAAATGTATTATTTTGTTTTAAAAACGAATCGATACCTGTTCAGTATTTTATAGAGTTGAGCATGTTTTGTTCTTTTGAAATTGAGTTGAGTCGAATAAAGTGTTAATTTTTTCGAGTCAATTTCAAAAATCGACTACTCGACTCGACTCAAAAACACTAGACAAACTCGAGTTGAAGACCAACTCTCTATTATTTTATACGCAAGATTTGAAATGGATATTTTAAACCAATATTTGAATTGGAAATTAACCTAACCAACCCTTTACTACACTACCCAAAATGTTCAAATTTCGATTCAAAATTAAAATAGTTTCGTTTTTATAGTTTTGGTCCGACTAAAAAGTTTCGCACACACAATGACATTTAACTGTGGACACCTGCTTTAGTGAATTATGCAATGTAAATATATAGACAGTATCTAAAAATCGCGTTGATTTATCGTTACTCCGTAATATTATTGCAATAATATAGCTGCAGTTTGAAACGGCGATTACAATGGAACGCTTCGCCACTAACCGTTCAAATAATTTACCATCAATTGTTTTAATAAAATAATAATAACGCAATATTGTATGCTTGTACTTACGCAAAAAAACGGTGCGGGTAAATCGTCAATAAAACACAACAATATATTATTATAAACTGTACGAGCTCGGTTGTTCCCGAGACGTTGACAATACTGTGTACGCGTGTTATCCGCTGTACGACCGGGAAACGAAACGAAAATCGACGGCACGAGAATGTACCGCGACGGAAAACGCGTGTTAATGTACGCGTATAACGATTTTTCGAAATTCCCGTGCGCTTCTCGGGATACTTGTCCCGGACTCCGCGAGAAATACTAAATTACAACGCGGCCGTTATTGCGTCACGTACGGTTTTTTCGTGGTTGTCCATCGCGCGGTTCGCGTACTGCTGCAGCTGTCCCGTCGGCGTACGACCGTTCCGAGCGCCCACATGACGACTGAGGAGCGCAACGAACCGTTCGGCGGGTCGCGCGCGAAATACCGCACACCGCGCGCCGACTCTTGACGTGCGTAACCGCACCGCAATTGACCAAGTGCGCTGTTGTTGTTGTTACCATCGATATTATTATTAAACACGATAATATACGTGTACGGCAATGCAAAAGAACGCGTACTGCCGTTCGCTTTTGGCCACTGTACCCTGCATGCCGGAGCCCGTGTCGCGCGGGTCGGACGCTATGCGGAAAAAGGACCAAAAAAAATAAAAAAACCTATTCACGACAGTACCGTCCGGTAGCAGCGAGTAAATCCGTTGACAAAATTAAAACGAATAGAAAAAAAAAAAAAAAAAAGCAGCGTCGATGAACTGCTACAGTTTACGGATATCGGGCATGTATTTAGGACGGTTGGGCGAAAATAACAATCGCTCATTTTTAATTTTTCCGACGGCACCCCGTAACCGTATAATATTATGTATTTTTTTTTATTTTTTTTTTTGTTTTTTTCATTTACCATGGCCTGGTAAATTTTTTCGTCTGTCGGTCTGTAACGCTTTTTCCCGTATACTTTGAACGTTAATTGTAGCGTCTAGGTTGACATTGGACACGGATAAAAACATTTAAAGAGGAGAATATTTTTTGAGAGCTGTTATTCTTAAAAAAATTATCGTGCCAAAAAGCCACCACCGTGTTTTTTTAAATAAATTTAATTCTGTAAATGTTATTATTCGTGATGAAACTCGAATTCAAATCTAAACGCCACAGTTTACGTTCGAACTACCTAGTGTACCGAAAAATTGTGGATTTTTCGCAGGTCCCACATATTTATAATTTATTCTTTGTAATAATTACGTGCATCATAGGCGTGCGCACAGGGCGTGCCAGGTGTGTCTGGGCACTATCCGAAAATTGTATTAAAAATATTATTTTTTTTTTTGTTATTATGTTGACATATGACAACACTAGGTACAAGTTTTATATTTTGTAAAATTGCCATCACTTTTTTTTCCATTAATTTCAAATTTAGTTCATATATTATGACTTCACTGCCAATTTCATTTTTGTCTTTTACGACAGTTACCAAATATTATACTGGCTTGATTGCAATATTGTCCAAGTTATTTATTTATAGCTTGTGATTATCGACTGAAGATTACAAAGAAACTTTTACTTTTACTTTTTTGGAGTTTATGATATTTAATCAAGTAATTATAGTTTATATAATTATTATGAAACTAATTTAAAGACAGTGTATAAAATTAATTATTATTTTTTATTATATAGTATTGAAAGATAATACAAGTTGATTGGGGGGAAGGATCCACCTAATAAATTAATTTTCCTCGGGCACGACCCGAAATTAAAGTCTGGGCACATCTTTGATCTGCATTCAACTTATAGTGTCATATAAAGCACTCAGTTTCCTAAATTGAAAACGCACATCAATAATGGTCGTTTGCAGTAGACTTATGTCAGATGAATGCGATTGGACGTACAATAAATTGTTGTCAGTTAATCTTTAATAATTTAATACCATTTTTTTACATATTAATGAGCCAGTTCGCAGTTTTCGTATTGCGTACGAAAACTCCGAAATGATTGTTCCGAGGTAAGATTTTGCCGGAAACGTTGGGTTTCATTAATTTTCGTACGTGAAAATAGTTGTCCCCCAGCATTCGGGTTCATAGCGCTAAAGCTATTTTAAACACTCGAATGGCCGTTATAACCATTCGCCACGTGTACCGCGACGGGCATTCAACTATCATCATTATATTATTTAGGTGGTAACCGTGTTCCGTTGTATCGGACGCTGCAATCTATCCGATAACCGGTATCACTAACAGACGGAGGTGTCGGAACCAGAGCAGTCGAGGGTGGCAGTAGCCGGTCACCGACCATCTTTTAACGGGCGGTTGGACGGCAACGGATCCGTGACGGGTGCCTAAGCCATATTTTTTTTACCGAATCGGTATTGTGTTGGTAACATTAACTGAGCGCGTTGATCGGCGAGTCAGAGCGCGGGTTTGTTTTTCGTAAAACGGGCGGTGGTCCGTACGGCTTTCAACCCGCCCCGCTCCCTCTTAAAACACGGTCCGGCGCCACTGCAGCGAACGGAACAGTCGTTCCGTCGCGTTTCCCGTATGAGCGAGCGACAGTATTGCGAGGGACAAAACTTCGGAGCAAGACGAATGAAGACGGAAATACGCCGGTACAGCACGTGGCATTTTCCCGCCGTCGCCGTCGTGGCTTTCGCGGCCCGGGCGAAATGTCTATTATTACACCGCCGTCGACGCGGATTTGTTTCGGCGCCAAACCCGCGGGGAAACAACATTCGCACACGCGCATAATCGCGGCGTGCCGAGAAGGTCACGCTAAGGGTGTTTCGCGCGTAACATAATAATGCACTGCGTTATAAGGATTCGCCGGCGCGCGTCGTAATTAATTTAGCCCCGAAGACAACGACGACGCACTGCTGTACACAACAACGCCTTGAACTCTTTTTCGCGATCGTTTATAATATTTCAATACGCGCGCGTAATACCTACACGCGTATCGTTGTCGTTGTAAATGCTGGCGTACACGTCCCGCACGGCGCGGTTATTATAATATTTATCGCGCCGACACCGTTTGTTCGTTTCGTCTGCACTACACTTATCCGCTCGTTCCGGCCCCGCGACCCGGTTTTTAGCCGATTCCGAGCGTAGCGGGGGGGGGGGAGAGAGAGAGCTATTGGTTCACTGAGATGTTTATTTTTCTCTCGTTCTTTTTAATTGTAATGATAATTGATTTATGTCCGTGCCGTAGGTATATTTAGGCATTGTTAAGTTGTAAAAAAAAAAAAAAATGTTAGTGCTCATATTTTTAATGTCTCGTTATTGAAGTCAGATACAGTTTACGAAATCATAACGATTCATATCCGCGCGTAACCAATGTAGACCAATATGGAGTTGTGTTAAGATACATTTTTGAGTACATAAATAACGACAAAAGATCATTGTTGGAATAATTATCAAGATGAATATCACAAATAAATAACAATTTAATTACCTACACAGATAAAGATAAATAATTCGCAACTTTTATCTAGGTAAACAAATTTTTTTTTTTTATTAAATCTATCATAAAACTAAATGCTAAAAGTATACTAATTAGTATACTGTTTTATAATAAGTTTGATTAAAATTTATTTCTAATGTGTACTGTGTGGATATATTTTGTTTAATTTAATAGCTAATTTATAATATAAATTCCGTTTCAAAAAAAATTGTTTAATTTTTAAGTTACTTAATACAGAACTTATAATACAAGGGTCCAATTTAATATTCACAGTGAAGTACACGGGAACAGTGACGAATCCTAGACCAAGATAACGAAGGTAGGGATTTTTAAAATTCAAAGGACATACTGTTATGATAAAAACTTAATGTTAACCATTGATATTAATGATGGTTGACATACAATTAAATACATTTACTGCGATATAGTCATTTTTAAAGTATGTATTATTTACATGCATATAATATATATATATATATGTATATAATAATAATAATACAATAATATATGTATATCAATTAAGAGTGATAAAAAGTATTTTTTATACTAGAATTAGTAATTTCATTAAAAGTCACGATTCTAACGGGTTTTCTTTTAAGAGCAGAAAGAAGGGGCGATTGCCCCTCCCCTTTTTTGATCTGTTTGTGAGAACACGATCTAATTTTGCTTCCCCAATTTAGTTTAAGTTCGTAGCCACTGGGTAGGTTAGATTAATTATAAAATACTTGAGTCAACACGAAAATAATAACAAAATTAAACATTAAACGATATTTCTTTATACCGTTTTGATACCGCTTCACTGCGTGATAATATTATTGAAGATATAACGATACGAACGGAATAAGTAAAAAATAAACAACCAATCCTGGTATTCATTATTTGTATTATTGTGTAGGTTAGGCTATTCTTGACTTACTAACATTTGAAACACTATTATTATTGATTTTCTCGGACCTCTGACACCAGGCCGAAAACATAATAATATTATTCATTAAGTGCTGAAATATAATGGATTTTTTAATATATTTATACTTCGTAACATTTATATACTTATATTTAAAAAACCAAAGCATATTATACATCTAGACTGTAGAATTTGTAAATCTAAAATATATATTGTTTATTTCATAATTTATAATCGGTATGGTCATATAATTACCTACTTAGTGTATGTTTTTTTTCTTAGATTTTCTCTACTCGTATCAGCTATTAATAAATTATATATTACTTCAAAATTGTTTAATTATGTAGGTATATATTTTACTATTAGTAAAGGTAGAGAGAGCAAGTAGTTTATAATTTATTTGGTCTACGTCATACACGTATAAAATAATTTATAATTTTTTTTTTTTTTTTTGAAGCGTTTTTCTCGAATATGAACATAAAAGTAAACAAATTATTCACTATATATTGTCTAGACTTGATAGAAGACCTGTTAAAATTAGATTTTACTGGGTACTAAACTTTTTGTCTGTTAAACAATTTATTGCCTATAGATACCGTACCTATATTTTGCGAAAAATAAAAGTGTGGTTATTAAAAATAAGACGGGTGTCCTTAAAATAATTCTATCAAAATTTAAAAATTACGATTCATTAATAATAATTATATTTTTATTTTTATTAAACTTAATAGGTATCATTTTTAAAAATCAATGCAGGTAGTAACATCTAATATTGATTGTGTAAATATTATTAATAATATTAGGTATACTAAAAGTATAGGCGTGTTTTATAATGTAATTTATTTAAACGTTTTCGATGCATAGTAATTCACTCCAACCACAATTCCACATATTACGACTTTTGATAAATAAGTATGTATCTAAAACAGCCACGAAATGGACGTAATAAATTTATTACTTTATTAGGGTGTGTATACAAAGCTATATTTAAATGGACATTGGCCTCGACCTGCAGCAAGTCACGCAGGGGAAGGTACCTACCTACTTGGTAGTTATCTAAAACAAAAATATATTTATGTGATAATGTATTCAAATAAATAATATTCATCTCCAATTGCTTAACATAAATATGAACTAATTAATTTACCCACCGATGGTCTGCAAGATACAGACAATCGCACACCGAACACATTCAACTAGGCAATTAAAAATAACCAGTATTCTGGGAATCCTATATGGATCACTAACAAAAGAGAAAGCAAAGAGTAAAGAGTATCATTCACTTGGGCGAATGGTTGAAATTTTACCTGAATAAAGCCTATCCAGGTAAATCGTTTGAGCCAGGAATATTATTATTTTGTGTTTACAACTCTGTATGAGTAGGTACCTACATACTTTGTGTAACATAAGTATAGATATTTGGGAGGGCAGTGACATATTATACATGAACTTTTATAATATTTACTATCATTTAAATATGGGTAGGTACTTATATAAAAAATATCAAACCGGAAAATTAACAACAATCGCTTAAATTAAAAAAAAAAACCAACATAACTCGCACGTGGGTACTAGCTATTGTTGTAGGTGAGAAGTTGAGAAGGTAGTAAATGGGAAATTAAATGTGAGTATATCTCTAAGCAATGATAAACTATTGCTAACAAAAAACGATTTTGAGCGGAGTTCTATTGAAAGGGTTGCTTTGTCAACAATATATATGCCATATTATTATGGTAAAATAATTGCATAGGCATTATATAATAATGTATTAATATAATATAATAATATTTGTTTAATATTACACCTATTTTTTCGTTTTCCAGTTTTTCCCATTTATTGGGAAAACTATTGCGGAAATTAAAAAAATTACTTCCTTAAAATAGGTGCCTTCCCATTCAGACTTTCTTTTAGATAAATTGTTATATTTATAAATTGAAGCAAGATTTCTGGTAGAAAAGTTGTCCACAAAAAAAAACCATCTTTCTAAAACCGTAAGCTTCTTCGCTCCACTTAGAATCTAAAATAAATATGAGATACTAAACTAATAAAATACTTTATTTAAATAAATTATAAAAAATAAGTCTATTCTATTTCTATAGAGCTGTTTTAATAGAACTTGGCTGATAAAACAATATTTTAGACTTTTTAAGTCTACAAATGGTATGAAAATGTATTAATCATAACCGTATGACAGCGAAATGATATGTATAAGTTCCACCAAACAAAATATGATTTCGGATTATCCACCAATTTTAATTCACTCAGTACAAGTACGTACTTTTAATACCTATGTAAATAGATTAGATAATATTAAGAAATATTTCAGAGTATTGTTATGCTTAGAAAATTATACTTCAATGCGGTGCTTATCAACCTTTTTGATTCATGTCACCCATATCTATGACAATCCAACACTGTGTCACCCTACCATTACCATACCATCAAATACATAAAAAGAACCCCCGTCCGTTACACAATTAATATCAATCTATCAAATGTAAACAAAAAATAATAGGTACTTGTAAACCTACGTACCTCATAGACTTACTACTATAAAAACGGTTTTCATTTTTAAAACTAGGTACCTATTAGTATCATAAGGTAAAAATCAAAATACTTACATAAGGTCAACTTTTATGATAAACCTTTATTGTTCAATAATATTAAATGTTTAATTTTAACTATTGTAAAATCACTTTTGGGTCAAAATATAGTAAACTTCAATATTATAAAAACTCAATAATTATGAAAATTACAGTGAGACATTCAAATTGTATAGTAGGTATAATATAGCATTCTATAAAATACTTACAAAAAGTTAAATTCAATAAAAATATTACATTATATCATATGCTTTCATTTAACTTTTTGTTGAACTTAACTTACTGAATAAAATACTCTATTACTTTAAAATTCTACAGAAAATATCAATCAAAAGTCACAAATTGATAAATTATTTGTAGATAGAAAATAATTGTTGTTAAATATTTTATAACTGTATTTGTTTTTGTACTCATATATAATAAACAACAATGAACAACATATTATGAATACGTAATAGGTATCAATAAAGTATTAAGTATAATTATTTTATATTTAATGGTTAACAATTTGTATTCAATCTAAAATATTAAAAACCATTAAAAGTATATGTACCTAATACTTTAGAGCACCAATGGGACAATGGCTAGAGGTTGGCAAATTACTAGACATTGGACCACATAAGTATTCATATTACAATCATAATACAAATTTAAAAAAAAAAAGAATAATCACATGAAGTAAATACACGCACAATATAATAATAGGTATTAAAACATAATAGTATTGCTTCTTTAAATTACAGCAAATTTATTAGTTTAACACTTCACAGTCACAACACAGTTTTTATATACTTGTACAACCACAGTAAACATATTAATGATTATGATAGAACTTTGTGCTGTCTTAGAGCTTAGAATCTTGGACGATTATAACAAGGCATCAATAAGTTCTTGAAAACTTTCAACATACCACTGTGATTTAGACTTGACTTCTTTGCGAACAACATTACCACCAAACCCTAATTACAGTAATACAATATTAATATTTATCAATTTCAAATGGTACAATCACACAAATGCAGATGGATGTTTTTTTTTTGAAAAACTAATTAACTACTATGATGATGTTGAGATACTCACCGATGAATGCATCTGCTGGTGGACACGCTTCCAAATCAGTAATTCCATCTCCAATCATAAAAAGCTTGGTATAACCATATTTTTCTTTTAAACTTTTTATTACTTCAGCTTTACCGCCATTTTTTGATGTTGGTTCTTTCTCGTCAAATCCAGCATATTCACCTATACATACAATTCAATAAGTACCTAATCGTAATTTTTAAGCCTAGATTAAATACTATTATTATAAGTTGATAATTTAATGTTTTAATAATTTATATTTTATTTAGAAGAAGATTAAACAGCCCATGACAAAAACGCCATTGACTACGGCCACCAGTCGCGCTTGTCCCCTGTAATCTCATCAAGAAATAGAGAGAGTTTGAATCATAAATAAAAATATAATGAATACATTTTAGTCTAAAATGTTTGGTTCTTGAATGATAAGAAATCAAGGCGATTTATACGAGCTAAGAGCGCACACAATACAATCGGTTTGATAATTCGTCTCTGTGGACTGTGCCTCTTTTGAGACTAGTATGTGCATGTCCTATCTATTTCTGTTATCTATGGGTTGGACTGGCTAAACGGCTCAATCTGCCTGTGTGAAAGCGGATCAATTATATCGTGAATAAAGTATAACGTTATTCATACAAATGTGATAACTTTATAATTAAATGCATACTACACTAAATTTAAAACTGTATCAATAAACATACAGTATAAATAATAGAACTTCAAAAAACTCATAAATGGAAAAATGCAACCCAAAAATAAATTCATTTAAATCGTTTAAAATAGTCTGTGTGGATATTGCTAATCATTATAAGAAACTAAAAACTTTGATGTATCTAATTAAAAATATGTTTAAGACATTGATAAAATATTTTAAGATATTTTAAAATATTCAAACTCAAGTTACGTTTCGTGATATTTATAACAAATATTGTACACATTTTTTTTCGAATAAATAAACCAAAAATATTTAATGCACTTACCGTTTAAAAAAAATTTTAACTTATTAGCATAAATGTGTTGCAGAGGAATGCTCAGTTCGATAGCTATCGGTCCGATGAGGCCGCGAAATCCACCGGATATCAAGTACACGGGTACGTTCTTATGTTGCAATAATTCGATTAATTCCCTATATAACAAATTATATTTTTCATACAGTTCTTAAACAGATTTAATAATATGAAATATAAGTGTGGTATTGTGGTATATATGTATATTATGGTTATTTACTATTAATCATTTCAATTTACCTTATGCCCGGAGTCAAGTTGAACGGATGGTGTTTGATGAAATCTCGAATTTGATGCAACGACGGTTTGATTATTTGAAGTCGAGCAGACAGTGCTTCCCGGAAGTCCATATTACCCGACATCGCACTGCTTGTTCTGTAAAATACATGCGTACAAAACTAATTACAAGGGATATTATATTCAATACTCGAAACGGGTAGTTGCGCTGGTGAACGGAATATATTGATTATGCATACTTAATATTTATTTGGTAAGGAGTTTATTTGAAAGGGGCTTGATTGAGTTTTGAGGACTAAGCCCCTTCCTACTATTTTCGCGCTAAATTTAATTTTAAAACATAATGCATATATGTACAATTTGAACAAATAATTTGTGAAAAATGTATAGGTAATAATTATTATTACACTATTAAAACGTATAAACATTGGTTATTAATTATTAAAAAAAAATCGTGGCACTGACTACCATTATCCATAACAACTAGGTATTAGGTATTGTAGCCACAATACTTGAAAACATACAGAGTGATTCACTAAGTGTGCTCACTCTGTTTTTTGGTTAAATTTTACATATGTTCAAATTCTGATTTTTGGAATTTTTAAGTGTAGTTAAAGCAGAAATTGTCAAATACTTACTACTTAGATTTTTCACAACACTTAAGGAATATCCTGTGGCGATACCAACTTTGTTTTTTCAAATGAGAACCTATATTAAAAATTCCATGAATAGACGGAGTACTACTTTAAATAAATTTTGGTGTTAAAATTGTTGATTTCTGTTAACCCGTTTACGAGATATTTCACTTATAAGTTTATAGGTAGGGGAGAGTAGTAGAGCATTAATAAAACACCGCGTACTGTTCCGCCACACAAATGATACTCCACTACTCTCCCCTACCTAAACTTAAAAGAGGAATATCTCATCAATAGATTAATGAAAATCAAACATGTTGACATTTTTTTTCCTGGGGGTACCTATATCTTGATGAACAAAAAAAATACATTGTGATAACATTTTGTTACTATGGAAAATCCGTTTCTATCAATTTATGAAGGTTGTCTTACCTATTAAAAAATAACTTTAAAAATAAAAATTTAACGAGTTAATTTATTTGTTTAGGAACTTGTAAATTAATTAAGTTACTTAATTAAGGGAAAAAACTGTAACTAACTTAGTGACTTAAGTTGAGTAACTTGCCTAACAGTGTTTATTCGACCTAAAAAATAATCATTTTTTGTATAGATTACCTAACACAATTATATAAAACCCCTCGAATATTATCTATGATTTACCGTTTTAATACCCATACAATATAATACATACATACCTAACATTTTATCTAAAACTATATTTTATGATTGCTTCCATATGTATACTTTTTTTTTAGATTTTGATTTACATTAGGTACTATGTAATTTTTAAGCAATGATAATGTTTAAATAAAAAAATAAAGATTAATATTATATTAACCTCAGCTATTTCTACGACACAAATGATGGTATATTAATCCATTGAAAACCAACGTTTTTATCTTAGTAATGTAGCAATCAAAATTAATATTAAAATATTTTTTTGGGTTTATTCTCTTGTAGTTACGTCACGTTTCTGCACAGGACATCCATCTAAAATATTACGTAGGAAATATTACCAACGTATAAATAACCAATTAAATTGTCACGTTTTCAGGATTATATATTAATATATAATATAATATATATCAATATTTCAATATTTTGAAATTGATTACATTTCACAATATTAAAATATCCGAAATGAACAATGTTTTCTATTTTTTTTTTTTTTTTTTTGAAAACTCGTAAAAACGTCAAAATAATTTTTAAAAATATTGAAACATATCAACGTTCTATTTCTAAACTATAATGATGACATTGTGCGTATTATAAGTATATTAAGGTGGCCCTTAACCTATAGATGTTGAAAATAAATGCCAAATATTCGAATTCATGAGCACGGAATTCTGTTAGGTACATTGTAAAAATAATTTTTGCAATTACATGTAAAAACTCGAAAATACCAAATGCTTATAAATATCCAAAAATTCTCCAGAATATTTAGAACATGTTAAAACAAAAACAAAACCGAAAATGATGAAATGGTTATTGCCATAAAATTTCTTATTTATCCAATTATTAAAAAATACACAAACAAGAAAACATTTTCTTTCAGGAAATATGATATATTTGAAAATCGGAGCAAAATTCCTGGTAGAAATGTTTAGACTGAAATAAACTTATAGTGAAACTAATATATTTTTCGCTGTATTCAAAATCTAAAAAAAAAAAAAAAACAATAAAATATCAAATGTTGTCTAAATCTGCAAGATCTTTACGTAGAATTATTATCACCGCATAAACGACATAAAAAAAACTTATATCTATCTTCGTAGAACTTTTTATCACATATAGGCAATAATGATAATTGTCACGCTATACCATTAAAATGATAAATCCTCGGAAACAGATAATTCTAATGAATAATGATGAAGCCGTCATAGATAGTTAGGTCAATTTGACTGTATGGATAATATCAAATGAATACCAAAATAACCTACAAAGCTATACCAAAGCGGAAAAGCGAGTAAGTCAGGTTCATAGATTTTACGACTAATAATATAGAAAACCAACTCCAATTTCATAAATGATGCTGACACACCATTACGTACCAACATTTTTGTATAATTTTAGTCTGTATAATAAATTGTACTCCCATCTTATCCAAGGTTTATTTGCATTTTTTAAGGCTTGACATATGATAGACGGGCATCACGAATTGTATTTTAGTAATACGAGAGTCGATTACCTAGTTAGTATATAATATAGGTATTAGGTATGATGTATATATGTATATATATTTATTATATATAAGGTAATTGGTTAGATATTAGGTTAATAGGTTAGGACTAACAGGCTCAGATTAGTTTCTAATATTATTTTAGACATGCTAATAACGTCATGTTAGCTCAATAAATTTGAAATGTACCATTGGATTCGTACGTATTGAAAAGTTATTAGCATTAATTATAGTTATTAGTTGATACTGTAGAACTATAGACAGCGGTATTTTGGATGGTATAAGGGTATACAGAGTATACCCATTTACAATCCGGTGAATTAGGGTATACCGTATACCCTTTACAAATAATACAAATACGCACGTGTACGATCATATACCTTATTTATATATATATATATACCTATAACTTGTAAACAATACAGGTATACTCTACTCATGTATATTCTGGGCATTCATACATAGATTTAAAAATTAAGCAATATATATTCTGTATAATTTTTTAATACATTTACGACATTTATCAATTATCTATAAGTTTCAAGTTGGAACTGTGTAACAAATGGGTTAAATAGGATTGGTTATTACCACGTATTGGTTAAAATACATTATCTTTTATGTGATTAAAATTGCATATTATCGCTCATTACAAGGTTTGTTTTTTTTTTGTTATACCACCCATCTAAAAAGGTTTCAAAAAAAAAAAAAACATTTATTTTTTAAAAAATAAATATTATTTTAATACATTTTTTCATTTCATAATTACATTCTTTTGTATTCAATAACGGATTTTATATTAAATTATGTAATTATTATTTTTTGGGGGGACGTTATAGGTGTGAGTTTATCACTTTACAAGTTTCATTTAGATAGTGAAAAATTAGTTAAAAAATTGATTAAGTTAAATTTTATTTGTGAAATGGTTTTTAATACTTAGATGCAAAAATAAAAATGTACAAAACTGAGTTACAAAAAAATTATTTTTCTAAAGTTTGCGGATTTGTGAATATATCTTTTAAGAACCTTATAAAAGAGTTTTTTGCGAGTGAAGTAATCGCATTTTGAATTAATTAATCTAATTAATTTTGTGCTTACGAATTCACAATATTCGTTATCATTAATTCATTCTATAGTTTTTTTAAAAAAAAAAAAAAACTCTAATTATAGGTATATGGTGAAAAACCCGAAAATTTAATCTGTTTTCATGATAAAAACGTCAAACACTCAAACATAACCAAAGTAATTATAAAACGATTATAGGTTTATGTTATACGTTTACAGGTTAAATTGCGGTGCATGGTTTAGGTTATCACTATAATTAATGATGAGATACCGTCGATACTAGTATAATATATTCATGAAAATTATTTTCGCATTAGATATTTATATAAGTACTTATATTAATTGAATTGAATTATATCGAATTCGTTTTAGGTTATATACTACGTAGCAGACATAAATTGTATAGTTTAGGAAAAATTCGGCGGAACAATGTACTTCCCACCTACACCTAAATCCGGTATAAATTATAATAATAAAAAATATGTACAGGTACCTAACCTAACCTACGTAACTACGTACGTATATTATGTGGATAATTACTAAAACTAGTATAGAACTTGCATATATACACAGTGCACACATTTGTCATTTCTAATTTTCCGTATACTGATTTCATATTTCCATTTCCTATAATGGGATCGTAAAAATAAGAAAATTATATTCAAATATTTTTTTCAAACACTCATGTCAAAAAATACATTTGTTAGCAACTTATAAAATAAAATTTGCAACACCATTGAAATACCCCACAGTGTATTGAAATCAGAACTGTTATTACTAATATATTGTATAGTAACCTATAGTTGTGTTTTTTTATCTGTAGTTTAAACGTGACCTTGGTTACTATTTCAAGTTTATGTCTACGAGTCGTATTCGAGTGCCGGTCGTATCTCGAGTTTTCCGGACACACGAATCATAATTTAAAAATAATAACATTACAAACTAGTCATTCATTCTTATAGAGTTCAGATCACACCATACATCACTAACAATTAATTTTAAATAGCCTAATTAATGATTATTAATTTTAAATTGCCTACACCATCACACCATCACACCATATTATTATACAATTAGCAATTAAAGGGGACAAATGATAAATGTGTTTTCTAACATTTTTAAAATTGTTCAGAAGGGTGATTTGAAACGAAAAATTGAATGCCTTCATCCACAGGAAAAAAACAATAAACAGTAATCGATGTTAACATATACTAATCTAACTTGAAAATGGCGTTGACATACTGTAATATCTTTATCTATAAATTAAAACTAAAAATTATAATACGTAACATAACATCACCTGTATCAATCGAAAAGCGCCATAAATATGTTTTTTTTTTTGTTCAGAGATTTTGTATACATCAGTATATACGTCGAAACAGGCCGATTCATGAAATAATATCATTTTTAAAAAAGTTAGTTAATTTCTTTTTCCATTGACTCCTTTAATTTATAATTAACATTGTCAACAGTCATCGTACCAAATAGCAAAAAATACATTAATAAAACTACAATAAATATTGAAATATATTTTATGAATAAGTAATAATAATATGTATTTATTTCCTTACAGCTCTTTAACTTCTGGTCCTTTATTGCAAAACTTAGCCACTTCGTCAATTGCTTCTTCCTGAATAACCGTAGAATCGACGTCGAAACAGACTGCATCCGCATCACGCCAAAGCGCTTGTATGGTACTGGCCATATCGTTGCCTATATTAAAAAAAACCCAATTAACATTCTTAGTTTATCATGTTTGTAATTTTGTCTATTGTCCAATAGTTGACTATGTTTATTCAAAAAATATTGTATAAACCCTATATAAGGAACTATAATCGTCAAAATTTATTTTATTTTTTTTTTGCTAGGACAGTAAAAAATTATAGCTAATTATTTTTAGTAGGGCTCGAATTTTTAAAACAATATAAACAAAAATAACACTGAAATGTGATAAAAATCATTTAATTTGTATAAAAATCAATTAAAAAATATAATAGGTTAATGTCTAATTTTACTAGTTTTTATTCTAAAAAAATTACCATATATTTAATTATAATTATATAATTTACATATAGTTTCTTCTAAAAAACTTTAATTGGGCATAAAATATTTGTTTACATAAAGACCGAGATCATTATCTTTTATAAACGTTAAATTAACTTTCCATACCAAATAATGATCTCCCTAAAGTACCACCCCAGTGAGATTTCTTATCAGAAAAAGTGTTCTCATTATGAATTGGAACAAAATTTCTGGTAAAAAGTTGTTTATGGGAAAAAAAAGTCTTAATATTTTTATTATTAATACTTTTACATTTTATAAATTTTCCCATTTTTTTTCTTATTTATCGAGAAAACTTCTGGGAAAATCAAAAATGACCTACCTAAAGTACCACCCCAGGAAAAATTTCTTTTCAGAAAAAGTGCTATACTTAATACTTCAGAGCAAGATTTCTGGTAAAACTTTTGTACCTATTCGCTACACTCAGAATCTAAAATTTGAATTTCATTGAATTTTGATTCCAATCAAAAAAAAAGTGTTAATTAGTTCTTATGTTATTAAATTATTATATCACTATTCACTTGTATCACATATACGTAATTTTGTTAGTGTGAGGCTCAGTTAATTTGAAATACTTACTACCAGCACCTCTTTTACGAACAATTTAGTACTTAATTCTCTATTATTACTTCAAACTCACTGTAGTTCTATGATTTTGGAATTACACTACTAGCTAGTAGCGTTTTTGAAGGGGATAAAGTGGCGATCACCTCCTCCTCCTTTACAAGATTTTTTTTCAAATTGTTACTTGAATTATGTAGTTATATCTAAAGGTTATAAATGTAGTAGGGGGTTCAGTGGTGTACATTCAAAAGTAAAAAATATGAGTATATAGTACTATAGTATTTATCTGTTTACTCCCTTAAATTCGTGCTTCAAATTCGTGATTACTTTTACCACTTACAATCCATGATTCACCCATCAACTTTGGTTGAGACACATAACTTAAAAAACAGTTTTCATCAAGCCATTAGTTGCATAAAGATATGGAGTTGTTCATTCAATTTTGCATAATATCATGCTTCATGCAAACAGAAATAATAATTTCTATTATAATTGCTGTCTTCCAATTCAAAAAAATAATTATTAACAAACATAGTAACATAGTGAGGCCATGCATTGTTTCATTAATCAAACTGCAACATATCTACAACAGTTTTATTGTTTTTTGATCATACGACCGCTAAACAAAATTAATTTATTAATACTAATTAAAGACTATAGTATCATTACTGCGGTAACACTTAAAAGTAATATTATAGTTTAAACTAACCAATGGTAAAGCAAAAATAAAAAAAACTATCATACTTCACACAATGGGTGGGCTACCCTCATTGGCTATAGGTAAGAAATGAGGAATTTAATGTATATCTGTACACAACGATTAGTCATTACTAACGAAAAATAATTTTGAACACAATTTGGTTACACATGTTTTAACAGGCCCTAATATGTACGATTTTCAGCAAATTCGATATTAAAATACTAATAAAAAAAAAAGAGCTGATATTGGAAATGGGAGCGGCTACTGTTGTAGGTAAGAAGTTGAAAAGGTAGGCGGAAATTTAATGTATATCTATAAGCAACGATAAACCATTGCTTACGAAAAAACAATTCTGAGCGGAGTTCAGTTGATAGTGATGTTTTGTCAACAACATGTATGCCATATTATAGTAAAATAATTAAAAATGGGCTTTATATATTTTTTTTTTAATAATATTTGTTTTATGTTGTACCGATTTTCCTGGTTTTCCCATGTTTTTTTTCGGTTTTTAACATTTATTGAGAAAACTAAGGAGAAAATCGATAAACGATTTCTCTAAAGTACCCCAGTGAAATTTATTTTTGGAAAAATTTCTATCAATGTAAAAATCGTAATATTATAAAAATATATTTCGCATATTTTCCAGTTTTTCCTCTTTTCTTTAGTTTTTTTTTTCTGTTTTTCACATTTGATGAGAAAATTCTTAAGAAAATCGAAAATTGACTTCCTTAAAGTACCTCCCCACACCGATTTCCTTTCAGAAAAGGTGTTACACATAAAAATCAGAGCAAGATTTCTAGTATAAAAGTTGTTCACAGAACCAAAAAAAAAGATATTTGTATAACCATTACCTTCTTAACTAGGCTCAGAATCTAAAATTACGAAAAAATGCCCAAAATTAAAATGTCTATAAATAGCTCAAAAATGGCTCAAATGTTTTGAAGCCTTTTTAAGGTTTTTTAAGTTTTTAATCCTTACGAAGAATCAGTGGACGAACATAGGGGGATTTTGGAAGTTAAACCTTATCCCCCCAAAAATTATGACATTTCGTATTTCAAACACAGAACCAATATAAATATAACGAAAAATTATTAAAAACTAACGTTATTAATTTGTATTTTATAAATCCCTCCCCTCCGAAATATTCTTTGTCCGCCACTTATGGTATGTTAGTAGGTAGAACTATAGTGTCATATATAGTAATATATGCAGAGAATTAGATGGAACGCTGTAAAATTCCATCGATTATTTCATGAATATGGTAACTGGTAAAGATATCCGTTTCTATAGCATCCGAGGAAAAAATATCCAGGCGGAAAAAATATAGAAGTGAAAAATATATACGAGGAAAAAGTATTAAAGTATATAAATAATTAATAAACAATATGTACATATTCATATGTACATTATACATATCCATATACATCCAATATAATTCTTGACAACTCAGTTACAATTTAATTTATAATACAAAATTACAATATTTAAAAATCACATTCGTCAGTAAAAATGTCGAAATATCAAAACAATATCTCTCTTTTGTTATATATATATGTATGTATGTTTATATGAATAAAATGATTATTTATTAATTATTATACGTTTAAACTTTGATATTTTTCCTTAGTTATTTTTTCTTCGTATATTATAGATCCGGATAATTTTACCTAGATTCCATGAATACATAAAAAAAAGTATATATTAATTATTATATAATAAAATGAAAAAGACGGCAATTGAATCATAATAAGCCACAAGTGCCCCACGTGTAAGTTAAACAAGACATGTTTTAAAATACTATATTAGCACACTTATCATAATAATATATTATGTGTATACGACCACATGCAATCAGTGGTTTTTATTCTCAATAAATAAATATTATCTATTATATCTATTCTCAACAATATGTACTCGGATCTCGTGATGGGTACATAAAACATAACATATAATATGTATCTATCACAATATGCACCTTAAGTTTTTTTTTTTTTTTTTTTGTATAAAACTTCAAACAAGTGAAAAATAATTTTTATTTTTTTCAGTACGAGAACACAAAAATTAAACAAATCTTTGGGCGGGTCAATGAACGTGAGCCGGGATAGAAAAAAAACGATTTTTAACTCACAATTATTTGTTTATGATGTTTAAGAGGTCACCGAACTTGCATTTACCGTCTCTGTCTATCTAATGGGCAACACAGAAAAATGTGTTTTAGTATTTTAAATATTTTAAACTTGATTTTTATACTAAAATAAACACGAAAAGTTGTACTAAATGTCGTTAGAATCGGTTTATTTTTTAGATTTTTTTTCAAATGGATTTTATTTATGTTTGGACATTTGCTTTTTTGAAATTAAAAAAAAAAATCATAAATTCGGCAAATTAAGATTTCGAAAAACTGTTCAGAAAATATTTAGTGTAGAGTGTAATAAACCTGAGGTTTATTAGATCAAGTACATGGACGACCAACGTATAGTCTCAGTATCCAATACTGATCATCAGAAGCTCGGAAATCCATTTTTGCTGGTTCCAATTGGGTACAGACATTCAGAGATGAAAAGTCAGAGATTCAGAGTTTGACGTTCTACTCTCATAGAATATCACAGAGGTATTAGACGCCCTTTAAATAAAAAAAAAAATGCTATACAAAGTCACCTCGTAACGTTGTCGGACTGGATTCCGTTTCGATAATCCCGGGAATGGGAGCGTGCGTGATCGTCGTTCCCAGTTTGCCTCGCAAGAACGACGACAATTTATTACAAAACAACAACTTTATTCGAACACGTATTATAACGATTCACGTGAATGCGGTAGGCGCACTGCAGAGCGAGGGCTGGACGGTCTGATCGTCCGTTCCGCTGTCGGCAAATTAAAGAGCAGTAATCGATTTCGCGCACCTCTGACTGCGGAACGACGGTCACGACTGCGCGCGCACGATCCGGTCGTGGATAAACGTATTATAAACTAAGAGTACGATAATATTTTATGTATAGTACAATATTTTCCGATCGTCCCCGCAAAATCGACGAAATCAGGTCAAGTTCATGACCAATAATTCGCGTGCGGTACCAGGGAGTCCGGGACGTGGCGGGTGTGTGTATTTGTGATAACACGATGAGAGGTCACTAAAAACACATTTATTGTATAGATACTATAATTTAAAGACTATATACAATATTATTATAATAGTATATTACCGGTGCACAGTATTACCAACACATCGCGGTAAAAGACGTACTATACACGATGATACTCGTGTGTGTGTGTGTGTGTGTGTATGTGCATGTGTTTCAGATACGTCACGAAAAGACGTGTGCGTGTCCGTAGAAGAGTGTTGTACCTGCTTGTTACTGTGCGCATGTGTGCAATGTGAGTGTCGCCGAAACTCCCGCCAAAACGTGCGCGTGCCTGTTCTAAAGACAACCACACACTATATAATATTTTATTACAAAGTTGCAGCAGGCTCTTGATATTATTACTTGTTATCATAAGGATGGTAGTCTGCACGATTCGAGATTCATAGCAGTTGTTAAGCTGCATTATTTAAACCGTCAAAATAAGCGTTTGAAAACCATAAGGTACATACGCACACACAAATGAAAACTTTGAAAACGTTAAAATTAAGCAAAACTCTTTAACTATTATTAAAATAAGATAAAGCTGATACTGATTACGCGTGTGGGAAGTTAAAAAAATAGAAGCTATTTTAATTAAAAATAAACAAAATTAAAAAGAGCTGATACTGGGAACGGGTGCAACCACTGTTGTAGTTGAAAAGTTAGGAAGGTAGGATACATAAGGTTATTTAATTTATATCTAAACGCAACTGTAAACCACTACTGACGAAAAACAAATTGGAACGAAGTTCGATAAGGTACATTTTTAAATGCCGTAATTTTTACAATTTTCGACCAAATTTGATCTTAAAACGCTTATGAAAAAACTAACGCATTAAACTCAAATTTATTTATTATACCACTAAGTACAACTTATGACGTAACTTTTGTTCAATTTTCAAGCGTTTATCTAAGTCATATAATTTTAATTAACAGGTTAATAGGTATCTACCAAATAAAAATATGAAAATATCAAATATCTATAAATAGTGTAAAAACAGTTAGAATATTTTGAAAATTTTATTATGTCTATAAAAGGCCAATATAAATATTCTGTATAAATTTCAGGTCTCTACAATAATTTTCAACGGAATAACAACAACAAAAATCAAATGCCGTATACTTTGTCGTATTTTATACATTTTTTTCCCCGTTTTTTCGTAATTATTAAAAAAACTATGGAAACAAAAAAAAACACACCATATTAACGCCACAATCCGTATCTAATAATGAAATCATTATTTCAGTAAACTTTTCTATTTTTTTCCCCAATTATTAAGAAAATAACAAAAAAAATATCAAAAATATCATACTTAATGCACCAGCTAGTTTCGAAATTCTTAGTTGTGAAACGTTGGAATAATGCAATGCAAAAAATTAGACTACATGAAAAGTCCTTGAACATTTTTCAAGTTTTAAAAACTCTTTATTTATATTTCATAGCAACGTGTCATATGTTATTAGAATATAAAAAACCGATGTAAAATAAGTAAAAAAAAATGTATCAATTTTTAAAATTACTATATCCTTACAAACACTTTGATCTTTCAATAATAAATATCCTATATGACGGCTTATAATTAGGACTAGTAGAAGAACACCCCAAAACTAAAGTCTATATCTCCGTTTATAAGAAAATGTCGAAAGTGCAAAAAGGCTCTAAAATTTTGTACGAACGAAATATATATTCAAAAATTAAAAAGTAGTTACAAAATTTAGTTCTATAGCAATATATATGTGTATTGTGTAGATAATTACAAAAATAATAATACAATATCCACATCAGTTGCGAATTGTGTATCTATTATACCATGTCTCATCGTATAATAATACGAAAATTGTTAAAATTTTAGAGGTTTTTATGCTACTTATTACTTATGCTACTGGCATTTATTTTAGGGAGGCATTTGGTTTTTGAGTAGTAGGAAGAAATACTTAGAATAACCTCTGTGTGACACGCGACTAACATCGCGGGACTAATGGAAAATATTTTAAACAGGATATTTTTTAAATTTTATTTTTGGTTTACTAATTTTTTTTTTTTTACAATATGTATTTATTTTAAATTATTTAATTAATTATACTCAATAAATGACCATTATTAACAGGTATTTGAATACAAGTTTAAAATATACAGTCGCTATGTGTTTCATTCATAAAATATAATTTATACCAAACCGGTTAGGGAACGGAGTTTAAACTCCCATATTTAAACTTTATAGACACTTAACTGGATACGGGCAATCGTGCTACAGCTCAGTTAATGTTGTACACTTAACGCGACATCATAAAATTAATAACTTTTCGTACAATAGTAAAATCGTGTGAAGTATTATTACAAACATATGACTATATTATGTGCTATATTATCACTGTTACAATGGACATGATATTTTTTTTCGAAAACAACAATGAAATAAACCAAATGCCTAATAAAAAACAAAAACCAAAAATAAAGATTATCACATTTATAATTGCTTACGGTGACTAATGAAACAAACGCTCATAGTAAAATCATGCAAAAAATAAAAAGGTATGCCAGCATTCTATATTGCTTTTATAAAAATGTATTATCTTTATCATGCTATTATACCATATATTGATCGATGAGAAATGAAGAAAATCAATATTGCCAGTACTTTGTTAACACGAATAATAATATACACAATTTTAAAATACAACGAAAGCTTACAACATTTATTATTTACTGACCTCTTTGTTTAGTGTGTTGTGTTAGGTATTTGTTATGAATGCTATGAAAGATAATGGATTTGATACCGACAGCATAATATAATATATTATATAAACTGCATTCTGTTGTTTTTCTGTTTTAGAATCCGAACAGAAGTGATTTTTTTTTTTTTTGTGTGTGTCTGTGAGCAACTAAAATGACAAAATACTTTTTTTGTTATATTTTCGGATCTAGTTGCTAAATTAACATTGAGATCACTTTGATTTTCTAAATAAAATAAAATATTTTAAAAATAATTGGAAAAAACGTAGGTATAGGAAAAACGTACAAATATTTAGGGTGCACCGTAGCGTTATCGATTTCATTATTATTAATTTGTACGCATTATATTTTCTACCAGAAATATTGCTCCAAAAAAAAATCGATAAAACATCTTTTAATTGCATTTTTAATGTAGTTGGTTAGTTGGTTAATCTTCTTTTTTTCGATTCTCTAAGCAGTTTGCATACTATTTGGGAAAAACTGGGGAAAAAAGTAAAAAAAACAAGACTTTACAGAAATTATGGTTTCATTTTTTTCATTTTTTTTTCGTTGTAATTCGGTTAAAAGTATTCGTAAAGACTTGAAGTTTTCACAAAAAACATATTTTCCTTTTTAAAACATGGCAAAATAAATGTTAGTTAAAGTTAAATAAAGATATTCATATGTATTTTATGTTAACTAGTTTTTTTATGTAGTTTTTATTTGGTAGGCAACATGTGGATATAATTGATTGACCAAACAGAATGCTTAATCTTTTCATTATAAGTTGTGTTATACATTTTGATAGTATACTGTAATATTCTAGATTACCATATAAAAACTGTATTTGTATTTTAAGAAACCACGTCTGTGGTCTGTCAGCAAATTGGAACTTTTTTAATTGTTACAGATATCAGTTTACGCGTCGGTAAAACGTATAGTCAACTAATCAGATGTCGACAAGTCGGACCAAAATACTCCAATGCACCAACTAAACCTAAAATTCTACAAAAATATCTAATGTTATTTTTTGATTAAATCGATTAAAGCAAGATTTCTATTAAAAAAGTTGTTTACAAACATAAAAAAAAAAAATTTAAAAAGAGTTAATACTGGGACGGATGTGCCACTGATATAAGTGGGAGGTTTGAGAATGTAAGATACATAGTTATTTAATTTACACCTGTAAGTAACGATAAACCATTACAAACGAAAAACGATTCGGAACGAAGTTCGATTTGAAAGGCCGTTATATTTTCGTTAAAATTTTTATATAAAAAAAAAATGCCACATTACACTAAACTTTTTTTTGACCATTAAATACAACTTATAATGAACCTACTGAGTAAAAATTACGTAAAAAAAGTCGCCATTTTACGTTGTTTTTCAATTTTGTTTAGTAATTAAAAAAAAAAAACTACACGGAAAATAAAATAAAATACTCATTAAAATTTCAACAAAAAAGGTCTCTTGTTATTTTTCTATAGATCAATATTTCTAGTAGAAAACATAAACCGTAAAACCTAAAATAAAGGAATCATAATGTCGTAAATTTAACAATTTTCATATTTCATCTTTTTCTGATTTTACCGAAAATATCGGAATAACCGGTTCTCATTCTCTACTCAAACTATTAAAATTGGAATATCTGGTCAACTGGTTGAAGGAAATCAAAAATGTGTTCTATTCTATCTATTTATGGGATTTTTAATATAGGTTGGTTTTTGCAAATTAAAAATAGGTAGTCGTTTTACACCCAAAAATAAAAGTGACAAAATATAATGGCAATGTAACATTTCAAAAATTTCAGTTTCTAAAACTGTCATAGAAAAAAAAAAATTACGAAAAAAGTTAATTCTTTCAGAGATATTGCAATGGATATATATTCGTAGGACACCTGCACATATATAAATGTATAATAGACGTATACAGTACAATAGTTTCTATTATCAAGGAAAACTCGATAAAACTATACCTAAAAAATATTGTAATTTATATTCCTTTGACGTTTCATTGTAAAGTACTCACCGACGCAACAGTGTTTCAACACCACAGATGCTACTTTCGAGGAACGATCATCTTTACTACATTTTATCGGTTCCATGCAATTGGCGTGTTCGCCGCACAGGAAAATAATAAAAACCACATCTAACACTACAAAAAACCATTTTACATCAAAATATATCATGTTCCTTTTAATTCCTGTTTAATACTGCACTGTTTGTCAACTGCGTCACATTAATATAATTATTTATTGTAATCAATAAAGATAATTAATAATACCTTAAAATATTGTTTATTATCATTATGTCAATTTCGTTTTATAATACATTATTATTAACCATATCATTGGTTGTATAACCAATGCTATTATATACAATTTTATAATTTTATCTAGTAAAAAAAAAAACTAATTTGTATTAGATAAGCATGAACATGGTAAAATAGTTATTTTATTTAATGTTAATAACTACAACTTATTATCGCAATCAAATATGTTATGATTTAAGATGTTTACATATGTTATGTATGTGAGATGTTATGATTTATCTTACCTCCCGTAATGCGACTATAAGAACTATTTTGTGCGGGAAAAACTACTAAGATTAAGCGACCGCTGAATTGCTCGAAAATTGAATTTGCTAGAAACTAAATATTGTATTGGCTCCCAATACAATTTTGACCAAATGGTACTCAAAATATAAAGTGGTTCTATAAATATAAAAATGGAATAAGTATGAGAATTTTGTAATTTTAGTGATAGTGCCCAATAACAGCTGGAAATTATCTAATTATTAATCCGAAATTATAATTACAATTTTACTACTAATTTCACTGATATCGTTAAACGCAGAACTCGCAGTTAATCACAATCGTCGCAGTTCGTCACAATTAGTCGCCATTCGTAGCTCTATAGCAGTGGTTTTCAATCTTAACAATGCGGCACACTTCATCTCCAACACAATTTTTTGCGGCACACCGATCCATATAATATGTATACACATATATATACATACATACATACATAGATACACTGTTTACAATCTACTCTATTAAAGGGTTAATTATTGTGAAGTAAATAAATACAATGATCAACAAATGTGTTAGCAGAAATAATTATTATATGATACAATGAAATAAAAATACATCAATTAATCAGACATTAATTGTGCTTGACGTTTAGTGCACAAGTGTTTTATTCGAGAACGAACTGTCGACACGCTCACTCTCAGTTTTTCAACGGATCGAAGTCATTCTCTTTTTTTACTTTTTATTGTTGTGACTGCTGAGAATCCTTGTTCCCATAAATACGATGTGGAGAATGGTAATAAAATTGTTATTGCTTTTATAGATATTTCAGGAAATTCTGCTTCAGCATGTATCTAAAAAATTTTAACGGTTATTTCTTTAAATTTTAACTTCAATGTTCGATCATTTTTCGGCGAGATAAAATTGTTTTCTTCGGCGAATGTCAAACCAATCACCTCGTTAACTGATACACTGAATGGATTCCGCACCCAGTCATAGTCTTCAACATTTATGCTGGAAAATTATTTCGTCATTTTGTCACTAAGTAACATGATAGATTCTTTTATTAACGATACAAGAATAGCGTCTACATTTCGCTCTGCAATTCGTGGGAACATTGTCAATTTTTTTTGGTCAACTTGAGTTTTCCACAGAGTTAATTTTTCATTAAAAGCCATAATTTTGTCAGAAGATATTAGAATATTTTCATTACGACTTTGCATGCTTATATTTAATTTATTCAAAAGTTCAAAAATATCAGTTAAAAAAGAAACTTTTGTCCACCACTTTTCATCTTCGAGAAACTCGAATTTCGATTCTTCTTTTGTTAAAAATACAATTATTTCTTCACTCAAATCATAAAAACGTGATAATATCCGGCCTCTTGATAACCATCTTATTGCATTGTGAGAAAGTAACTTTGAGTTATCGGAATCCATACCTTCACAAAATTTTTCAAACGACCTTGACTTTAGTGAACAATTTTTAATATAATTTATCTCTTTCACAACTTGATCAAAAACTTTCCTTAAATCACCTACCAACGTTTTTTTCACAAGGGCTTCTCTATGTAGGAAACAATGGATGAAAATTATATTTTCATTTTTTTTCTTGGCAAAATAAATAAAATCTTCGACTGAACCAGTCATCGCAGGAGCTCCGTTGGTACATACTCCAATGCATTTATCCCACGATAAATTGGCAAATTTCAGATAATAGTCATTTTTTCAGATTGACGTGTTTCTGATTTTAGTAAACATTGAAAATATGAAGCATTTTTATCGACCAAATGAGAATGTTTGATGGAAAAATGACGTTTTAATTCACTTGGAACTATTGATTCATTGGATAGTTTTTCGCCACATACAAGAAACCATGGACGAGGATCATCTACATTACCAGACCAAGAAAACTCTTGTTTAAATAATCTTCATGAATTTGACGTCTGATAGTCGATTTAGTTTTTTTCTTCGGTTGTTCACACTGAAGTGCTCTCAGTTAGACGAATTATAAATTTATCCCGACATAAGTCATTAAAAACACAAAGAAATACCTATAATGAGTATAGTGCATACAATACAATATTCCGCGACACGACGTAAAACGATCGAGATGACTGCGACGAACATACTAATATTAAATACTAATATACGTATCTACGATTAATGATTTAGACTGTCTTTATGATTTTTATTTATCAGTTTTCACCGTAAATCGATAATAATACTGGTAAATACAAAATTATAAAACTATTAATAGATTTACCGCGGCACACCGGTTGAAAACCACTAATCTATAACTATGTATAAAATTAATCCTGTCGAAAAAAATGAGTAGTGAAAAGGGAGAACTCGTTTTAATAGTAAATAATTTTAAATTTACCTATCATTAATATATACCTCTCCGAATTACATTAAAAAGATTCAAATGTAATAAATTTTAACAATTTCGATAAAATTCTATAAAATGTAATATTTTTAATTGTTTTAACATATAATTAAATTATCATTTCGAACAATTTGTGTAATCAATGGATTTATAAATGCTGAGGGAGCCAACTCAATACATACATCTTGGGAACTAATTCAATATGTAAAAACGTCGATTACCTGAATTTGGGAGCTAATTCAATAGCTCTGTCAGATTATACGAATAGGCCTAATAATGCAAAAATAAAGTGTAATTAAATGCTATTTAGTTTATATTTCTGTTTTTAAAATTTACCCATAATAAAAAATTAATAAAAAACATATTTATAATAGTGTATAATGTATAATAAATACTAAACTTATAGTAACTAAATACGATTTTTAAAAACAGTCTTATTATTACCTCGTTTTCTTTAAAATTTTATATTAGAGTATATTATATGATATTATTAGTATGTGAAATCTAATAGATAGGCCGTTTAAATACGTTGGAATTTAACGTTTTACTTATCTTATTGAAAAATTATGAGTAGATTTTTAAAACCATGGTTATTATTATTTTTTTTTTTTTATGTGAACACATTTTCTACCAGAAAGCTTTCTCCGATTATCAAGTATAACACTTTTTCCAAAAGAAAATTTTATTTGGGTAATACTTCAACGAGGCTATTTTTTTTAAATTTTCCAAGTGCTTTTCGTAATAATTGAGAAAAAACGTAGGAAAAACGGGAAAAATGATTCAGTTAAAAATGTTCGTAGAGATTTAAAATTTAGACATAAATTTTATATTTCCTTTTTCTAGAAGTGGTAAAATTTTCAAAACATTTTAGCTATTTATAGACATTTTGATTTTGCGAGTTTTACGTAATTTTTATTCGGTAGGTAGGTGGATAAAATTGTTAGACTAAACAGGAATATTTAAAAATATAACAGAATATTCATTATAAGCCGTACTTGTGGTCAAAAAAACAATGGTTAACGAAAAACGTTTCAAATGATTAATGATTAATCGCTGCGTACAGATATACAGCTAATTTCACTCTATATGCTACTTTCCCAACTTCTCAGCTACAACAGTGGCCCACCCATCATACAAAGTATATCGGCCTTTTTTTATTTACATGTACATTTAGCAAATCATCAAAAACCTTTCATTATTATTTTTAAATCAAATTAGTAATTACAGACTAAATTGGGTGTCGAGATATAATATAAAACAAATCGATTCATTTTTTTTTTTTTCAAGAATATCATGTCAAAACAGTTTGCTAACTACTCGGGCAAGCTATTGATACGTATTTGTATTACCTACAAAATATCCTTATTTTATAGTATTCATCCATTCGATAAAACATTTTATAGTTAATTGAGTTTCCAAAAAAATGTAAGGATTTTTTTATGCATTTTAAGTGCCTGCATAAGTATGGTATGTGTATGTTTAAGCTATTTTTCACGGTTATTTAGTGTATTCATTCTGTTGCCGCCGCAACTCGAGACGGAAATAAATAAATATTCACGGCCACGGTAGGGACGGCTAGCACACACACACACACACAAATTAGATTAAATTTTTGTCAATAATTATTGTTAGTAATTTTAAGTTGCGTAAGAGATTTAAGAGATTAACGGCGTACGGCGGACCGGTTTACATATACCTCTACCTTTAGTCTGTTTTAACCGTTCGTACAGCGAGCATAGGTAAAGTTTTTTTGAGTTTCTTGTAGACTTTTATTAACGTTGCAGCTCTAATAGCTTGTATGCTTGAAGTATTCCAGCGTCTCAAATAGACGTCTGTTTAATATTAAACCGAAATACTATTATTCTTATTACCGTAGTGAATTTCGATTGCTGTATTGTATTAGTTTTAATTTGGAAATAGTAGGTACAGGTAGCAGTGCACCGAATTACTGTGAGTTAATTTTTGTATTTATTATTTTATTAGATATTTATGGTATATTGTTAAAGGTCGCGCTGGCCGCCAAATAATTTACTATTTCGCATGTTCTCAAATCGCCACGATTTCCTAATCGTTTATTTGTACATTCCGATATTATTGTAATCTTTCTACTGCGAATTATTATCATTTATATCACTTAGTTTCTGAAATTGCTATTATATAGCAACGTAGTTACCAATTAATTTGCCGTCTTCGGTTTTATTTAGTTGCCTTTTTCCGTTAGTTACAAGTACACGAGCATTCCCCGTACACGCAAACACACATTTATACAGAACACACGTTACATAGCTCGATGGTATTTGCCCGGCGACCCCGACCACTGCTGTTCGAGCTATCACACCACTACACACCCAGCTGTCCCTCCGTACCCCTGTACCTAGGTGTTAGTGGCGTGCGTAAGGAGTTGGTGTCCGGGCGCGCGTAATATCGCTTTACGCTCCCGGCCCGTTCACATTCAACCGACAGCATACTCAAGAAAGTCAAGGCCGTACCTGGCTGGACCTAATTTTCAGCATGAATTTTAAATTGACTCATCTATATATTATCGTTGTTAATTTTGTTTTTTTTTTTTACAAACATAATTGGCCATATCTTGAAAATAATGAACAATACTTTTAAAAAAAATCAGGTGGGGATAAAACCCTAAATTCCCTCAGGCACGCCCTTGAAAATGGTAGTCATTGTATTTATTACAATATACCGTGTGTCGGAAATGAAAAATGCTACCTATCATTTGTAGACTTTACGTAATACATTTTTTGCTGGATGTTCACAAATTCGTAACGATGAAGAACCGTACTATGTTGGTTTAATTTATTAAATAAGTGCACTAAAAAAATGACAGAAATATTGAAAAATTGGCATTTTGAAAATACAACATTCAAAACTCGGTTCAATGTTAGGTACGTATGTGGTTAAGCTAAGAAAAACAAAAATTAATTTGCAACAAATACACAAGTCTAACATGTAATAATAATAAAATGACACTCGTCATAATAATAAAGCTTATCTCATTTCGCATGTAATCAACTAAAAATATACCTATACGTGCAAATAAATACAGCATAAAAGAAGACGGAACAAATATAAACAAACATTGCGCGCAGCCAAGTCCGACCGGTCGAAACGTGGAGAGAGGGAACGCTACGACAGGTCCCTGGTACGACAGTGGCGCACTGACGCGTACCTGGTATGTGGTCAGTGTGTGGAGTGCGTCGATAGTTGCGAACTACGGTCTACGGTATCAAAGCGCCCAACGTGTGTTAGTTTAATTCCGTTATACAGCACTGTAAAGTTGGGTCATCGCCGTACTCGACCTAACCGAAAATCGCCGTTCGTTATTTCTACAGTTTCACACGCGTCCCGCGGAATTTGTAGGTACCTAAGCTGCGGACTCCGATCATGCCTAATTCCGTAGCCACCGTTGACCGTCCCGAAATGACCGGAGCAGGATTGCTCTTGCTGCTGATGCTACTGGCCAGCAAATCACCGCGTCCGGCTGCGGCTAACGACGCGTGCCCGATGAACGCATCAGAACCTGCGCCCGAGGGTGCCCATTTGTTGGATGGCGTTCTGTGGGCAAACGAACGTTCGTACCAACCTCCGGCGTACCGAACAGCCCCGGACGGCCACGGGTACGTGTTGTGCACGTGCATAATCAAACCGTGCGTGCGTAAGTGCTGCGGGCCCGGAAAAATTTACCAGGTCGCAAAAAGATGCACGAAACCCATCACCGACGGAGATGAGCCCGTAAACTTCACGGTAGGTTCAAAAAGCACGTGTTTTAAGTAAAATTATCGAAATGTTATTATCTAATGGGGGATAGGGTATTTGTCGACAAATATATCACGTCAATATTATCATTAGTATAATACACGTATACTCGCACGTATATCGCATTGAAATATGAAAACAATTTTTTTATTAGTTTAGTATTTTTTTTTTCAAACTATATCTCTTAAAATGCGAGTTCAGATAATAATTTAACAGATCTTACGTTCTTGTATTTATTTATATATATCGTATGTATTATTTTTTAAATTCGTGTTTGGAAACCTGGAAATCAAAGTTTTCCCTCCTCTAAAAATTATGTTATAGACACCTAATACCTCTATCAGGGATTAGGTTAGGTCAGACGTAGCAGGACTTATTTTAAAGTTCTTCTCCTTACTGCCCGAAAGCCAAATAAATTGTAAAAAATATTGCTTGCCCATACAAATTTTAATAACATCGCACATATTTCTTTTTTTCGTTTATTTTAATCATTTTCATTGTTCAACATTTTCTTCTAAAAACAAAATTAGTAGTCATATTGATATAGGTATTTAAATATAATAATTAAAATGTTGATAACGCAATACGAAAAATGTTATAAATTGTAGTTACCTAAAACATATTTTGTTAATAATCTTTCAAATGGCATTCTTACAAACAACTTAGGTAAATATTTATTGAACATTTAAAACAAACAGATATTTGTTTTCAACACTTTACGTACCTAAGAGTTTATTGTTGAATACAGAATATGAGTACAATTTTAAACCTACTGTAAAATACATTCCTCGCTCCACTGAGAATCTAAAACGATCATTACATGATTCTATAATAAAATGGCTGAAGGAAATCAAAATCAATTTTGCTCAAAATCTTCGCAGATTATCAGTTGGATCATAATAAAAAAAAAAAATCACTGTACACCATAATACCGTACAGTTTTAATGTTGTGACAATGACGTTTACGATTTCAATTATGTTCGTTTCGTAAACATCATTTTGGGAATCTCCAAGAATTGAAACTAATATTATGACCAAAAGAATAATCTACTATTGAGTATTCACGTACCTTCAGTTGAAAATAAAGATTGTTTTTAAACTCGTATATTATTTATTTTCGTCGTTTAGTTCCTACTATCTATCGTTTTTAATATTCCTGTACGAATAAGACAATAAATATTATCAGCTGTAGTTTACTATTTAGCAGTTTGACATTATCTATAATATTATAATAATATTTCGCATTGAAATTCCGTAATAATATTTTTAATAAACTGAAAATGTATGTATAATAATATTATGTTAAAGAAATGTATAATCACAAAGATTTTGTCATTCACCAAAAATTATGTGTTTACTGTTTACGTATATCTACAACAATTATAGATATGCAATATTATTAACATAATATACGTGACTTTTTTTTATATACATATATATAGCTTTTATCCGCGTCTTCGTCCACGTAGACTTAAACGATAGTGTCTTTCAATAGTAGGTAGATTGGTAGATTAAGAATTAGGTTAGGAGACACAAAGGCGAAACGGGTTGCTAGTTCAAATCATGTCAAACCCGAACTTATTTTTTATTATTTTTGGTTCATTAATTAATAAAAATTTTAAACATTGATTATTTATCATAAAAACAATGTTATATAATCTTGAGTCAAAAGATCATATTTTGGTGTATATTTAAGGTATTTTTTAACTTAAAAATTCAATAATACTGTAAGATTTTTTTTAGTTAACATTAACAATGGTACATTTACAATAGTATAATGCTATGGGGAAAATTGTTATTTCCGTACATTGTACTGTTTGTCTCGATTAACAAGAAAAATCAAAAAATGGCCTCTAATTCGACAACTAGTCAAAATTTTCTAACAGATACTATACCCTTGAAGTTGATGATTGGAGTAATATTTCTGGTGGAAAAGCTGTTTGCAAACACATCATAGTAAAACCAATGCTTCGCTCGGAATCTTAAAATATTATAAAACTATTTTTTTTTTTTTTTTTTAAACGTTATATAAGAGAATTTACACTATCTTTTATAAAATAATACTAAATTCGCTCACAAATATCTATCATATTTATTGCACTGAGTGTTTTCTAGATACCAAAATATGTAAACGGATTGGGTATGATCGAGAGTTACGAGGTGGATAAATTCAGTTTAATTTACGATGAACTAAAATGTAAAAATGGCAAATCCCGGTTGAACCCGAGGGACGAGGATACCGAACACTTTCGTATATCCGAAACGGGACTGTTACTGAACAAGATGAACAAGACTATCGCTACAGCCGGTCAATTTTGTTTGGAACAATTCTCTGACGTTGAAAATTTAATCATACCCCTAGTGTGCAATCCGAATGCAATTCCTATAAATATGTACTATACGATCGGAATGGTATTGTCACTGCCGTTTTTGTTTTCGACGTTTCTCGTATACGCACTCGTAAAGGAATTACAAAATCTACACGGAAAGTCTCTGATGTGTCACGTAGCAACACTGTTCGTGGCGTATAGTAGTTTAATAATCATTCAATTGGCCACCAGCAAGATTGACCAAAGAGTTTGCATTATTTTTGGTATGTAAAACATAATTATTTTTATTTAATTTAATTATGAATATAGTATGATTGATTTTTCGATCAATGATAGTAAAAATTAATATTTCAAATTTCCGAATTTGGGTTACTACAGCGCATGTAAACATACATACATTGAAATAAATATTATCTTCCTACAAAGTTAAAATCTCGTGTAATAATATGTTATATAAATTAAAAATTATTATTTTTCGTCCCTCATCACTTTATGGCATTATATAAAAATTAGATATCTATTGATAAAAAGTAATATAGTATACTAATTTTAAGGTAGGGGCAGTCAAAAAATGTTTCGAAAATATTAAAGAAAGGACAAATGTGGATGAATCCAGAAGTGTAATTTCTATAGAGCGATATTGCCTACTATGGCCATCTCGACAACTTTTTTCTATCGACATGTTTTGACACGAACTCGTGAAGGGAACGAGGGTCCCAAAACGAAGCAATCTGAAATTGATAACAATAATAGCAACATATGACAAATTTACACGACCATGTTAAACACGTCGTGGTAAATATGGTTTGACTAACCATAATTGACCTGATGCCGAAACGGATTCCAGAATGTTAATATACGCCCGTGTCGCGTTTTCGAAAACGATCCTTATGAATTAGAATTTTCGAACTGCTCATCACTACTATGTTTATACTCAACCATTGACCATATAATTAAAATTAATATAATTAATATTTTCGTATTGAAGTAGCATATTAAATATCTCAGTTATTTTGAAAACAAGTCCTATAAAAAAATAAAATAAATCGAATTTTGTCGGCAATATAAGTAGCTGTCTAATTCCTGACTTCCAGAGTGTATTATATATTTACTTATATAGCACATTAGTTATTACAAATTGTAAATAAATGCCACTTTGGAGCTGTCCACGATGCGTTATAATGCGCGTTTCTAATGGCTGTTGTTATCTCTAACCGAATTGGCTTTATTGGTTACAACTTAAAATTATGTCTTGATGGGTACAGTAGTATAAGTAATTAGTTATCTAGTTTGTTATTTACAGTTTTATAAAATATATATTATATTAATGTTATTGAATGGGTGGTTGTATACATTTAATATATTTTTCAAATCTGTTCTAAAAATTTTTATCCAATGGCTAGAACACGTTGTTTTTTTTTTCATAACGGTTGTAGCATTATTGAGCCAAAATAGATAGAAAATCACCGTTTTCAATAAAAAGTTTTGAAATAATAGATACAAGTTAGGTAGGTATAGAATAATATTAGGTACAGAAATACGTATTTTATAAAATACAAAAATACTAGTTCCAAAATTTCAGAGAAAATTATAACTTTCTAGGAATTTAAATATTAAGGTGTGAATATATTTGTTGAGCAATTAGTTTTTACATTAAAACAAAGCACATAATAATAGGTAGATATAGGTGTTACCAAGGTCTTATTCCGCGGTCCGTACGCAGTACACATCAAAATAAGCTGTTTTATAAATTTGTACAACTTTTAATTTATTTTTAAATATTCTGGAATCGTTTTGATTTTTGACACATTATAATATGATTTTGAAACTATACATTTTTGACAATAATTGTAATTTAAATAATAAAAGTTAAAATGCATAATTTGAATGTAGGTACCCAAATTATATAAAAATATAACACCCATAGGAAGGCTTGAATGTTTAAACTGGATATAGACTAGTTATTTATTTTAAAAATCTTCATATATAAGGTCAGGCAAAGTTGCTTGTTTCAAAAGTTCAATAAAATGAAAAGTATTAGGTGGCGCCATCTATTGTCCAGAACACTGTAATAGCCGAATTCGCAAGTTTCATTAAATTTCCCTAATAAGGGATCTTCATTGGTTCACTTACCAATTTAACCCATAGCTCTTTACCAGTGGTGCCGAAGCAATTATTAAAACATATTGTGGGTAAAAATTGATCAAAAATTATATAAAATGTGTAAAAATAATTGTTATTACACCTACTATTATAGAATTATGAATATTGATAATTAATTTGAAAAAAAAAATGTAGCACCGACCACTACCAACAAGTAGGTATTGCCAATGCACTTCGCGGTTTATTCTTATGGTGCTATCTTAAATCCCTTGTTTATACCGATCGTCTCAACAACCCAGCTCACTTTAAGTACAACATTTGAAAAGCAATAACTAACAAACCTAGCTACGATGTTATGACGGAGAGAGTCGACCCTCACAACTCTTCCAACTCCGGCTTCAACTGTCTGGACAATGGAGAGCGCTACATGCCTGATATGTATTATGGTCAAAACCGTCCAAAAAAAAATTTAATTCGATATACCTATTAAACCTACCTAATACTTTTATTTTATTTTAGGTACTTTAAAATATAAGCAAGTAATTCTGCCAGGTCTTACATTTACACAAATTCAATCTAATAACGAACTACACATTTTCTATACCTATTTGAGTTATGGCATTAATAGATCAGACATTTGTCAATCACACAATGATGAACTTAATTCATAAACAGACTAATTCACTTTTACTTAATATTCACTAGATAATAGCACCTAAACCGTTATCGCATATAAATGTACACACATTTTTAAGATTAAAAATTTAATATTTCTCCTATACCTTAATACTAATATTTTGGGTACCTATAGTCCATTATTCAAGGCCTCATATGAAGTATCAAAACATCCAATTATGAAATGGGTTTACTATATTAACGAAATTACTTTTTAAAAATATTTTAATCTAACAAAATGAGCGATAGGTATACCTACTAAACACAGACTTTAAACATCACGTAATCAAATATAATATGTTTCTCTGTTTCAGCGTACATTATTCAATTCTCTTTTTTAGCAAGTTTTTTTTGGTTAAATGTTATGTGTTTTGATCTATGGTGGACTTTCAGGTAAATCAAATACCTACCTACAATATTTTCAATCCCTATTTATTTAAAATCCCAAATCAGAATATATAATACATAAGTATTTGAGAAAAATAAAATGAACAAATTGCTTACCACTAGATATTCGTTAAGGGGGCTCGTCATTAACATTTGTATTCTTATTGTCTCGTACATACCTAATATAAATCTAGGTAAAAATGTCCGAGGAAATTATGAAGAACCAAAATCAAAATTCAAATTCAAAATACTTTACGAATACTTCTATTGAGATGAAAATAAAATCAAATAAAATTCTATTAAAAATATACAATTTTTTTGTGTTCAAAATATTCTGCAAAATGATATTTTAAATATATATATTATACACAAAGAAAAATATTTTTAAATGATTACATTACCAAATTGTTAATTGACATAATAATAGTATTAATCGTTGAAAAAATGAGTTTTTTGTCTATATTAATATAGTAATATTACAAAGAAAAAAGATTTGTTTGTATTTTTGTAATGGATAAACAAAACAAATTCTTAACCGATTTTAAAACTCCTTTCACCTATACAAATCTACGTTATCAATGAGTAACATTTGCTGTATTTTATTTTCAAAAGGACGCCTATAAATACCGGAAATGAAACAACTGGACAGTAAAAGTTAAGGAATTAATATTCTAGAATAACATATAACTAGAAAACAATATGGATGAAATTGAAACGAATTGAAATTTAAGTTTACGGAATGTAATTATGAGAGAAAAAAATAACAAAGAACGTAAATTTGCCTGAATTAAATAACTAACTGTAAAATGCCCGGAATATATATTATTTTTAATTTCATGTATATTGTTTTCTAGTTATTTATAGTACGGAATGTGTTTCCGAACAGAATTTTCCCTTTTTTTTTTTTTTCTGTTTCTTAGTTTTAAGTTCTAAACCGATCACAGTCAGTGTGTTTAAATTCCGTTGATTTTACAGTCCAAGACTTAATTTTCAATGTATTTTACTTTCGTTAAATCTTAAAATACGGGACTACTTATTCCGATTACCAAGTATAGTATATTTTCTGAAAGGAAATGTTCTCTGGGTGGTACATATTAAGTCATATTTTAAAATTCACATTAATGATCGAGAAAATGCGGAAAACCTAATTATATAAGTTTAAAAAAGATTAATAGATTAAAAAACAGTTGTTATTGGTAATACGTTTTATTTATTTTTAAGTTTTTATTATTTTAATCTTTTTTAAACAATCATTGTTGTCATGAAAACGCACATTTTTATAATCATTTTACCATAATATGACATATGTATTGTTGACAAAATAACATTATCAACTGAACTCAGCTCAGAATCGTTTTTTCGTTAGTGATGGTTTATTATTGCTTACAGATATACATTAAATTCCCATCTGTATCCTACCTTCCCAATTTCCCACCTACACAGTTACTGTACCCACATATACGTACAAAGTATGCCAGTTTTTTTTTTCAAATTGCATTAATCTAATCAAAACCAAATTCACATTTTTATTATTTTTTGATTCTGACATCTGTGCCACAAACATTTTTTCCTCGGACATTTTGGTAGAATATCATTTAATATAGCAACAAATGAATTTCACACTTCCATGGTTGCGACTTACTAGTTGAGTTTAATGCAAGGAGACCAACATACATTTTATGAAGAAGAGTATTTTATATGGATCCTACAAATGATTTTTTTAATATTTTCATTCTTTAATAAGTAAGTCCTTAATGGTAAAATTAAGAAAAAGTAAATTAAATTTAAATACGTACCTATTTTTTGATCAAAAATTCAAAACATCATAAATAAGTAAATACTCTTCCTTTATAAAATGTATAATAGATCTCTTTCCCTCAACCAGAGTCACAATCATTGAAGTGCTGAATATGTTTGTTCCTATAATATTGTGCGCAAGACAGAGAAAAATACTAAGTAAGTATGTGTAGAGACCCTTTAAACCAAAATTTAAAAACCATAACAATATTTGTTAGTTTATATTAAATTTTAATAAAATTGTATAGTATAGTATATATTAGTTATAATTTTTTCTTAATATTTTTAACAAATATTCAATCTATTCCCCAAAGAAAGGCCCTAATTATTCTACTGAATGTTTTAATAAAAATTAATAATTTACCATGAACAAACTTGTCATATAATACTTATAGTTGAGAGTTGAAAATTGATCTTTTTTAATGATTACATGAATTTATGCATTATTATTTTTAGTGGTTACAGGCCATTAAGAGGTCACTTAGTAGAATATGAATCAAAAAAGTTCATAATTTATTCTATATATGCATGGGGATGCACCCTGATAATTTCAATATTTACATATTACATGGAGTTATCATCAAGTACATCATCGGCTATTAGTCGTCCAAAATTTGGTGAACAGAGTTGTTGGTTTGGTTGTAAGTACTTATTGTACCTATTTTTTTTTTGTTTTTGTTATATTTAATTTTAGTTAAATTCTATAACATTATAACTAAAATCAACACTAGTTCTAAAATTATTTTTCCAAAATGTTTATTTTAGCAAAAATGGCTAAACTGATATATTTCTATGGACCGATAATTATTCTATTATTTTTTAATTTGTTAATGTTTATATATACTGCAATAATGATTGTTAAAAATATGAATCATGCAAAAGTACTCAACGGATCTGAAAGCACTAAAAATGTGAATCATGAAAAACAAAGGTAAATAATATTATTGTTAGGTACTTATAAATTACATTATTTTAATTTTAATAAGGATATTAAAGAAAAAGAACTTATTACGAACTTGATTTATTTTCTACTTAACTAATATAATAGGTATTTAAAATATTTATAAATTTAATATTTTGTTACAGATTCATGTTGTATTTGAAATTATTTATTGTAATGGGTGTCAATTGGTCGGCAGAAATTATATCTTTTGCGTTTGATTTTGCTCCTGAATATATTTGGTATGTCACAGATATCGGGAACACGTTACAAGGAGTGTTGATATTTTTAATTTTTGTGTGTAAAAAACGTGTTTTAAAACTGTTGAACAAAAAACTATGTCCACAATTGAAGCTTTTTAAAACATCTACTAGTGTATCTACTGTAACCACTAATAGCTCTATCTACAGAAATAGTTCCCAAGTAAAAGATGGTACAATGACCTTTGACAATTTACAGAATTCAACTAGTAATCAATTGTATGATTTTAAAGCCTAATGACTGTGACATAAAAATAAAATACCTGGTTAAGTATTAAGTACCTATAATTTTTTTTGTTTATTATTAAAATTTATACTATAGCAGTTTACTTCATTATTTTCATTATTAATATACTTTTGACTCCAATATACTTTGATTAAAATACAGATTATGATTTTTGTAGTAACGCGGTACTTATTATATTATAATTATATGTTAGCAATATGATCATAGATACCTATGTATTTAGTTATACTATTTATGATTTTATGAATAGGCATGATATTATATAGTATATGATATTCTACAATAATATTATTTTGTAAAAACTTAATAATGTAATTTTGTAAATAATATAAGTAGGTAAAATATTATTTCTCATTTATACCTATCAAAACACGAATGTGGCAAATATTATGCACCTAACAGCTGGCGCCGATAATATGGTCTATTATAAATATTGCTTATCAAACTATTCCGTTTTTATTTTGTAGTAAATTATACAATGCACTTATATACATATAAATTGATTTTATTACCACATCTGAAAATAAATTTGAAACTAATTTCAATTATAAATTTGAATATATATATTTATAATAATGATTTATATTTAGTGTTTAAAATGTATTTGTACAAATGGTAATAAAATCAATTACAAATAAATAATAATTAGCTTATATAAATGTATAAGATAGGTATATAGGGATAATGACTACACTAAAAGTAGAAGGAAAGTATAAGTGTACCTAATTAAAGTGTTTACAATGTATATATATCTCCTACATTATGTTAACAATAATACTTTATTTAAAAAATATTAAAATACCTATCTATTCTAACCATAATTGCTTATATCAAGAAAGATATTTCAAGATAACAAAAATTAGTATATAATTAAGTATCAATCTATTTTTTTAATTAGATAGGTATATAGCCAATAATTTAAAATAATAATAAGTATATCAAATTACTAATTAACAACAAGTTTTTAGTTTCTATTAAGAGATTTGAATTGAGGTAAGTTCACAACAAATAGGCAAGATATTTTTTTGCCACAAGATTTCAAAAAAATAAAACAAAATAAAAGTAAAATTGATGACCTCGTTAATTTATTTACATGGTTTTTTGTATAGTCGTATGAGACAAAAGATACAGTCAACATTTTTTTAGTGTTATTTATAAATCAATTATGGAATATTATTTTACATAATTAACGGGTTAAATACATGATTTAATGAATCTTATTGTAAAAACTTTTGTTTTTTTAATATCTGATCAACCATCTGATCTAAATTGGCATTATTTACATATTTTTTATGTTCCTATGACTTTTACTAAACAGTGAACATAGAAACAAGCCAGAGAAGGGATCATTCATTCACGTCTATAATATTTACAACCAAGTCAATAAGTAACTTACAAATAATTTAATAACTTTTTTTGTAATATATTTGAAAAATGGATTTCACGTGTATTAAAAATTTTAAAAGTATGCATATTCAGTTTGTTTTTAGTGCAAAATTGTATGCATGTTTAGTGTATTGAATTCAATGTCTTAGTTATTAGACACTTTTAATTATTATACTTGCTTAGCAATGTACACATAAAACACAACGACTATATAAAGTTAGGTTAGGTATTGCTACATCCCTCAGCTACCATAAAATAAAACTAATAAATTATTCAGAAAAAAAAATATTACCTTAAACTACCTATACATATTCTATATGTAAAGGTTTGTTTTTTCTTGAAATTTGAATAATTGCAGGTTATTTCATTATTATTTCATTTCCATTTAAAATTTCAAGTACCTACCAAATAACAATTCTTTAAAAATTTAAAAACCAAGGAGAGAAAAGTTTATTAATTATTACCAAAACTCTTGTAAAAATATCTTAATAAAAATGTACATCATTAATGTGTGGTATTCTTTCTACTATATTGTTTTTGATTGGCCTAAAAATTGGCGGGAATACATATTTTTTTTCCATGAAAATAAGTGTTATCAACAGTAATAATCAATCAAATCAAATGAAAATCATAGAATATCTTATACCTATTATATATGATAAAAATTAAATTTGTTTGGTACCATTTTATTTGAATAGGTACAAAAAAGTAGTAAAATAATGTATAATTATTTTTAAATTATCATAAAAAAAATATGTTAAAATTAGTGCTAAACTCCAATTTACACGTAATATGACTTGAATATTTTTTGTTAATTGATACTACTAATTTAAATTCTTATTTATATTAATATTTTCAACATGGAAACTTTTTATATACTACTTATTAACATTGTACTTAGTGTTTTTGCCTTTATTTCTACTTTTAATATTATACCACGACTAAAAGAGATGTTTATTACTGCTAATTTATTCGGAAAAGATCTAAATAAAAAATCAGAAAATAAAATGTAAGTTAAAAAATATTTTCTTTAATATAAGTAGAATAATTATTTAAACATGAAATTGTAACTATTAACTTAAAATATGATTGTTGTAATTCTAAAATCAATATTTCAATTATTTGATATGGTGTTAATTTAGACCTGAAGCATTTGGAGTAGTTTCTGGATGTACATTTTTGATCACAATGTTTGTATTAATACCAATCATATTTGGCAGACACATGTTACAAAATGATACTAATCAATTCCCGCACAGTCAAGTAATTTTGGTTTTAGTTTTATTTTAAGTTAAAAAAATTAATGATACTAATCAAATTTATTTCTAATACCTAATTAATTGAATACAAATATATATATATACTATTTTAGGTATTTTCAAACCGTTACTATTTTAACCATGTGGATTGATCTCTCCCATGGGAGGGAATGTGGAATAAAATCTATACTTTAAAATCTGATACTTTAACTATTGGATAAATAAAATATTTAGAACCTCGTACAAATTTATTTATCTATTAAAAATATGTTTCAACTATTTTCTATTTGATTTTTGTGCTTTCAGTTCATAGAAATGCTAGCTGCTCTGTTGTCAATTTGCTGTATGCTTTTATTGGGATTTGCAGATGACGTACTTAACTTACGATGGCGACATAAACTACTACTACCGACTGTGGCTTCTTTACCTTTACTTGTCGTTTATTACATAAATTTTAACTCTACCACAATAATTGTGCCAAAACCTCTGAGAGACATATTAGGAGTATCTATTAATTTAAGTAAATCTAAAAGTTTATGATTGGTTACATTAATTTTAAATAACTATTTTTATTTACTTTTAATTTGTATAGGTCTACTTTACTATGTTTATATGGGTATGCTAGCTGTGTTCTGTACAAATGCTATTAATATTCTAGCTGGAATAAATGGTTTAGAAACTGGCCAAAGTCTTATTATAGCGATTTCTATTTTAATTTTTAATTTGATTGAACTATCAGGAAACTGTTTTCAGGCGCATCTATTCTCATTACATTTTATAATACCATTTATAGCTGTTACTTTTGCTTTATTAAAATATAACTGGCAAGTACAACAGAGTTCACTCTTAGAGATATTTGGGACTGTAAAAGTTGAATGTATTTATGATTTTACAGGTACCCTTCTGAAGTATTTGTTGGTGATACTTTTTGTTATTTTGCCGGTATGACTTTTGCAGTAGTTGGGATCCTTGGTCATTTTAGTAAAACTATGTTACTGTTTTTCTTGCCTCAGATATTTAATTTTCTCTACTCAACTCCCCAGTTATTTCATTTTATACATTGTCCGAGGCATCGTATACCCAGGTATGTAATATTAACTCAAAATCTATTATATCCATTAATAAGTAGAATATACATTTGGTAGGCTGGACAAGTATGGAAAATTATCACCAAGTTATGCAGAGTGCGATAAAAATAATATTTCAACTATTGGGAAAATGTGTATTAAATTGATGTTGATCTTTAAAATAATCCATGTTGAAGAGAAAATTGATGGAAATATCAAATGTAATAATTTAACACTTATTAATTTATGCTTACTTTTAATAGGACCTACAAATGAAAAAACATTGACCATAATATTGTTAATCATTCAAGTAAGTTAATAAGGGATATTAATGTATTTTATGTATTATATTTTATTTTATTTTTTTCAGATTGTTTGCAGTTTATTGGCATTTATTATACGTTACCCATTAGCATCATTATTTTATGATGTATAATTTATTATTTATTTGCAATATTTCTCATTTGAGACATTAAGTCTAGTTTTGTTGTATATTTATACATAATGAACAAAATGACTGTTTTTGTTATAAAATGTTACCAATTATTAATTAAAATAAAATAAAGTTCATTTAAAAATGTTCCTTAAAATTAATATATAACATTTTGATGGTAAGCAAATTAATTTTCTTGTTTAACATTTGACCCAGAGATAAAAAAAATATTATCAATAGCTTTATTATAAAATTTTATTTTACTAATAAACTTAAAGTTTTAGTTTTGATCAGTGAAAAAGATAATAATTAAAGTATAAAATGTTTATTTAATCAACAAAACAATGACCAGTTGCGTACTTATCATTTTTTATACTTGAGACAATATAAAAAAATTGAGACCCACCCACCCACTCAAAACATGGATTTTTCTGTCATATAAAAAGTTTTCTTTTACAGCAAAAATGTTCAAAAATTGTTTTAAAGAAATCATTCCGGTTGGATACATGTACGTTTCAAGCACTCAAGAGCATTCCTATAGAAAAAAATAAATAGTATCTTTCACTTAGCACATAAGTGCTTACACTACAACCATATTTTAATTTATTTTGTATGACAATACAACCGTGACGTCACGGATTGTACATTAACAAAGCGTACATTGTTAGAGAACCTATGGAAATTTCAGATTAGATCTGATTTTACATCATCATTCATCATTCTGCACTCAACCAGATTGCACTAGGCACACAGATATCTATATTAAGAGGGCGTCACAGTAGAAAAAAATGGTTTTAGTACCAAAATAAACATGAAAACAAAAACTGTGCTTTGTTGGCAGCCGATTTTTCATGATCGTTTAAAAAGTACAAATTTCAAATATAAAAAAAATTGATTCAAAAATCAGTTTCCAACAAATCAAATTTTATGTTTTCTTGTTTATTTTGGTTCTAAAATCATGTTTCTCCAATCAATGAGACTTGACTACTTCTGGAACTACGAAACCATGTTTTTGCAAATTCGAACGAATTAACAGCCGTCGTTCTACAGCGGCAGTATTCTAAAACCGTAAACTCCCTCCATCCCACATTCATTGACGGTACCGCTCTGGAAACGCATTATCTACCGCTAGCGCGTACGATCTTTTGCGATCATAGACATATTAATAATAATTTATTAATATGACGTTTATGATTGCCACTCGAAAATAATAAAATTACGCAACAGTAACGATATAGCCGATGGAAAATATTATTTTATTTGTTCGGATTATAATAATTCATAATACTTGTTCCTACTATGTCATATTTTACATTATGAAACCACATATCGTTAAGTTGTCAATAATCAAATGGAACACGTATAATTTAAAAACATTTTTTTGAAACAAGAAATTCTTAGATAAAATTAGTGGTTTGATTAATAGTTTTTGAGATGAACATTTTTAATTTAAGTCCGTATGAGTGTATAACAAAAAAAAAGATCCGATACTGTGGGACGGGTGCAGAAGTGTAATAAGTAGTTGGGAGGTTGGAATACATAGTTTTTTAATTTATACCTGTAACCTACGTAAAACGATTCGTAGGGAAGTTCAATTATACATGTTTTGAAAGTCCGTAAAGATAATAAATACAATCTATTCTTTAATAAACCGTATCAATAACCGTAATTTATTTCATGGTATACTCTGTCCTTAATAGATGATAATAAAATACTCCAAAGATAACATATTATTTATTTGATTATTTTGTCTTTGGTAAAACATTTTTCTCTATGTGGTTTGTTATTTAAAAATATCAATCATCAGTGGTATAAACAAAACCGGCTTCATAGTTTTCGCTTCAGCATATTTAATATTATCACATTCAATAATCTGCTTTCTATGTTTTAATTTAAAAATTTTTGTTTATACTTTTTTATTTAAACGAATTAATTATTTAGATTATCAAACTTACTATACTTAATCTATCTGATTACAAATTAATAATTATTCATTTTCAAAAAACAATTTAAAAAAATGAATAGTGGTATGTTATATGGTGGAGATGAAATTGGAGCCTTGGTGTTTGATTTAGGATCACAGTCGTTTCGTATTGGATATGCTCAAGAAGATACCCCAAAAGCAGAAATACCGGCTATGGTCGGTATCTCAGATGACGGTACAGCAGACACTAGTATGCTAGAACCCGGTGTTAAGCAAGGAAATCGTATAAACGAAAATACCAAATATTACATAGACGTTAATTCATTATGTGTTGCCCGCAAAGGTGCATTAAATACACATTTCAAAAATTATAAACATCTTTGAACAAATATGTTTGTTTTAGGCATGGAAGTAGTGAGTTACATGAAAGATGGAATGATAGATGACTGGGACTTGTTTGAAAAAATATTGGACTATTCTTACTCAAAGTGCTTGCAAACAGATTCACAGTATCATCCAGTACTGTTTACTGAGTCTCCATTAAATATCAGACCTAAACGGGAGAAATTAGTAGAGTTAATGTTTGAAAAGTACAATGTACCCGCCACTTTTCTTGGTAAAAATGCTGTATTATCTGCATTTTCTTGTGGTCGCTCGACAGGTATTGTTGTGGATAGTGGAGCAACACATACTTCTGCCATTCCTGTACATGATGGTTATGTTATACCAAGTGCCATTGTCAAGTCTCCGTTGGGTGGAGATTTCATTAGCATGCAGTGCAGACAGTTCCTTAAAGTACTTTCATATATTTTAAATTAAATTGTATTTATTTATTTATTAACCTTTATTCTATATATTACATATAAAGGATAATGATATCGAAGTGCTTCCACATTATATGATAGCACAAAAAGAACAAGTAAAAGAAAAAGAAAAACCAATATGGACAAAGAAAAAACCAATTCCCGAAGTGACAAATTCTTGGCATAATTATATGTGCAAATCAGTTATTCAAGACTTTCAGCATTCTGTATTGCAAGTATCTGAAAGTCCATACGATGATAGAATAATATCAGCACTCCCAACTTCTCATTTTGAGTTTCCTAATGGCTACAATCAAGTAATAATTTACATTAATTATTAAAATATAACTAGAAATTAAATAAACTCATATATTTTCTTCAAATATAGTACATATTTTGAGCTATTAATAAACATTTACATTTTGAATATTTTACATAATTTTTATTAGGTACTTTTTGAATAAAATTGTTAGACTAAACAGAAATGCTTGAAAATTTGATAGAAGGTTTATTATAAATCATACTTGGTGGCTAAAAATAAAAAATTGAGTAATGTAGAATTTTTTTTTTATATATAAGTTATAAAATCAAAAAGTTGATGAGCCATTGCTTTCAACTAACAGGTGTAAATTAAATAACTTTATGTATCCGACATTCCTAACTAATCACCTACAACAGTGGTTGCATCTGATCCCAGTATCTGCACTTTTTTTTTATTATTTTATGTACAGTTAAAAAAAAAAAGTTACAGTTTTTAGTAGCAAAAAAAAATATTTACTAAAGTTGTTTGTCAATTTGCTGTAATCAGGGTTGATAAACGTGTATTTTTATTTGATATGTTTTTAACATGACTAAAATTTATAAAACCATGATGTATAAAATATACAATAACAGTAATAAAATAAGCAAAATTAGCAATGATATGACGCTCATGTGCTGTTGCGCAGTCAGCTGTGCGGTGCAGTGAATTTAGCTATTTTTAGTGTATATTTATATTTTTCCCTAAAACTTCGCAAAATTTTTCATCATTGCCTTTCATTATGTGTAGATGTATAACAATTTGTTCAATTTATTATAATAATATTACCATCGATATGAGTAAACAAAATAAGTTAGATTTCTTTTAATCATATATTTTTTGATTAATTACATTAATTGTTTTTAAATATGTATTAATAATTTGATTAATTGGTATTTTTTATAATTTTAATTTAACTTTTAAGCTTTACTGTAAAGCTATTATAATAACATCAAATTAATGGACTGATGGAATTTAATTTTAATTTTTAGGAATTTGGTAATGAGAGATTCAAAATACCTGAAGCTTTATTTGACCCAAGTGCCAGTATGGGTGGTTCTATGTTGGGCATAAGTCATATTGTTACCACTAGTGTAGGAATGTGTGATGTGGACGTGAGACCTGCTTTATACAATAATGTTATTGTGACTGGAGGAAATTCATTTTTACAGGTTTTTTTGCAAAAAAAATTATTTTATTCTTCTCCTTCATCCCAACTATTAGGGATGATTCACTTGCCCTAAACATCCACCTGACCTGATTCCTTACATTTTGCTCGAACATCTGCCCATCTCACGTCATTCTCAACCAAACTACTTAATTTTCGGTCTCCTCTGTTCTGCTATATTTATTTTCTTAACCATTCATGCTGTTTTTGATTTATCTCTCTTCATGTCATACTCAAACTATCTCAATCTATTTTCTCTCATTTTGTCTATTATCTAAGCTATGTCTAACTACCTCTTATGTACTTATCCTTATCCTATACACTCTTTTTCCTCTGCTCATCTACCTAGGTATTTTAAAATAACAAAATATTTTATTAATATATAAAATGTATGTATTTAGGGTTTTCCAGAGAGATTAAATCGAGATCTTTCTGCTCGTATACCAGCAAGTATGAGATTAAAATTAATTGCACCTAATGGATCTACCGAAAGGCGATTTGGAGCATGGATTGGCGGTTCAATATTAGCCTCTATTGGAACATTTCAACAAATGTGGATTAGCCATCAAGAGTACAATGAAGGAGGAAAAAGTCAAATTGATCGCAAGTGTCCATAATATTAATTCTAAATATTTAATTTTATATTTAGTGTATAAGTAAAAAAACAATTTAAAATTCTATTTCATAATCTAATAATTATTTTATACATTTTTAAAACAAATTATAATTAAGGAAATTAATATATATGAGCTGGAAATTTTACGAAATACAATCTGAGATTAATTTCACACTTATAATTTTATTATAAGGTTATTAAGTATAAGTACTTTTTTTATAAACACTTGGACATTGTCTTAATTTGAAAATGAATAGCTATTTTTAACTTTTCATTTTGGGATGGATTAAACTCTTAATAGTTGACAATTTAGTTACAATATATTCACAGATTTCGATGATCATGTTATAATCTGTGATAAATTTAAGCATTTTTTGTAAATATACTTTATATTAATGATTTAATTAAAAATTATGTTTTAATGATTACCAGGTTTCGGTACCTTATCCACAAAAAAGAACTTAAAATACATTTAAAAAAATCAAAAATGGTTGAGGGATTTAAAAGTCTTTTCCCGTTTAACTTATTAAACACAATTTTCTAACACTAAAAAATGGTTAATTAAGTAAATTTTTTTATTAAATTAGTTAAAATGTGGACTTGACTTTATGCCAATATAAAGTCCCAAGCCCTGATGATTACGTTGCATGTTAAATATTGTTCAGTATGAGCTATATATAGTGGAATTTTAAAAACATAATACACAAAGCTAAAATAAAGTGTGCATTGCATCAAATGAATTGGGAGATAAAATAAATGTCTATTTCAATAAATTTATAGGAATGTATTTACATAGAAAAGTTGTATTGTCTATCTACGTAGACATTTGATAAAATATCAAATTATAATAACGATATTGTTCACTGCAAAAAGTGTCCCAAATATGGTTATTTATACATCAAAGTTAATGAAAACAATTAACTAGTTTAAATTAAGTATACAAAAATGCCTTCAGTTAAAAATTAATAAAAGATAAATATAATTATTTTAAACTGAAAAAGGTTCACAGTTTAAACTAAAAAAAAATATTAACTTAACTCAGTTTAAAAAGTTAATATTTAATTTTTACTTTTAAAAACAAGTATTCAATATTACGGGTCTTAAAAAGTTTATCAAAATTTCCAATTGATCGTTTTATCATTGATAAACATACATTATTTTACAGATGACTTTAGAAAAAAAAATGTTGACAATTTAAGAAAAAAACAGTTCTAAAATATTGCATCACCATTATATTTAGAAATGAAATGACTACCGACTTAATTTTCAAACAGTAACCTATATTAAAAAATCCATATATAGGTATAGTATTAATTTAAATACATTTTTATGTTGTAATTGTTGATTTTCGTCAACCCATTCACAAGATATTTCACTTTTAAGTTTGGCTAGGGGGAAAGTAGTGGAGTATTATTATTTATTTTTATGGTAGCATGGCACCTGGCGTTTGAATAATGTTCCACTATTCACCTCCTACCAAAACTTTAAAAGTGGAATATCTCGTGAACGGATAAATGGAAATTAAAATGTCCAATGCCAAAATTCATTTAAACTAATATTTTATCTATATATGGAACTTTTAATATAGGTTACTATTTGAAAATCAAAAATTGGTAGTTATTTCACCCCCAAAAATAAGGATGATGCATCATTTTAGATTTGCTTGTTTCTTAAATAATCAAAATGTTATTTAAAAAATCAATATGTTTGAAATAATGAGTGTTCAATGATTAAAAGAATCCCCTATATAACCACAATAGAAATAGATCATTGTGCGATTTTAAACAAATGGTTGTCTGGTGAGAATTTAATTCGCCTTGTCATAGTACAGTTGACTCCATTTAAACCTATTGGTTTTTGTAATAACAAAATCAGCATCATTTATTGCTATGATCATACTTATCCTAAAAAATTTAATAAATATTTTGCTAAAAAAAATATACTATCTTAAAATTGTACATAATTTTATATTTTCTCTTTAATTATACATATGAATTCTTTAAACAATAACTAATTATACACTATTTCCACACAGATACTATTCGTTTATCCCTTTCAATAGCAAGATCCAAAGTATAAACATTTGAACGACTGTAACAGCTAATTATATTGAGTGAATTGCGTCCATTAAAATAGTTCCCCAATATTGTTTTGTTCACATCACTCGATTTTAATAGAACAGGATACTAAAATAAAATAAATGTTTGTATAGTTATAAGATTAAATTTAAAAAAAACCAAACTCCATTGATATGGATATTTAAAGCAATATTCAGGTAAAATTTGTTTATAAATATAATCAAATTATTGATTTTATATGTAATATAAAATAGATATAAATATTATATAACTAATAAATTTCTCGATTGGCTCAGAGTGTAAAATTATTTGTAAATTAAAATACGATTTGAACAATGTGTATGTTGCATCCGCTTAGTGTAATCGTATTTTTCATAAAATGGATATCCATTTCATGAGCTATGATCACATTGTGTAAGTCAAATTAATTTTTTTGCAATGAACATATATTTTATTCATTTTATGAAATGGGAACTCTTATTTTACACTTTGTGTAATATTTTAAGTTAATTACAGAAATTGGTTACTTTTTGTAAAATCGAAATAATAACATTGACAATTACACGAATCATATTTCTAAATTGTAGGAATTAAGATACTTAGTAGGTATGTAAAACCGTATTATTATGATAATATTATCGATACAACAATATTATTAAGACAGTACTTGTAAACAAATTAAACAGTAAAAGACCACGTGGTAGACCAAAGTATATAAAGGAGCTGAGACCAGATTGTAATAAAGACATGAACTATGCGTGTAATAGAAAGGAATGGAAGAATTTAATATTGACAGCAAAGGGCCTAAATACTAAAAAAAAAATTATGTTATCAATAAATGGTTGCATCAATTGTATGAGTGTAATACAGCATCCTGGAAAAGTTTTATATTATTTTTATATGATGCTAGTATGTCTTCTGAATTGATGCGAGCAATCACCATTCATTAGGAAATAATTATTTTAGATAAAATGGAATTTGATTCATTTTCTGAATTTTATGAAAAATTGAATACTTACTGTGTAGACAAATCTAAAAAAAAAAAACCACCAACCAAAAATGAGGTTCAATTGATGATTGAAGATATTTTAGCAATCAAAGTAGTCGTTAAAATGGGTAATTCACTTTTCTGCCAAAATCGACCTTACCGTTTACTGCCAATATAAAAATACATATTTCTGGGGGACAATTTTTTTTAAGTTTTATTTGTAAACATCAATGTGAAACAAAATTATGTGCTTGTTTTAAAGCTTTTGTCAAGTGTAACAGTTGTTGCCATAACAGTCATATTTGTAATTTATTTATTNATATGTCCTGGTAATATGTTGTCTAGGATGTTATCATTCTCTACCATAGCTGCCCACATTTGTTTCCATTTCATCATCATATCAAAGTTTGCGTTGATTAGGTCCTTGGCTGTTTTTGATGGGGGGTTTCTGGATTTTAATCGTGTTTTGGTCGCATCACCAATAAAATTATTAATGGGTAGTTCGTGATTGAGATTTATTTTTGAGAACTCTTTAACTAAGGCGTACGCTCTGCGGAGTGGTGGGGGGGCAATTGCTGTTAATGTCGGGAGCCAGTGGGTAGGTGCCGATTTTATTGTACCAGATATTAGTCTCATAGGAGTGTTGAGTTGGGTGTCTATTTTTGACATGTGAGCGCTGTTTAACCAGACGGATGAACAGTATTCAGCTACTGGGTAGACCAAACCAAGAGCCGAACATCGCAGGGTGTGAGCCGAAGCGCCCCAAGATGTACCAAAGAGTTTATGTATTATATTATTTCTAGAGCTGAGTTTGGCAGCGGTATTTTCGAGGTGAGTTTTGAAGGAGAGTGTACGATCCAATGTTATGCCGAGGTATTTGGGGTGGAAATTGTGGTTAAGAGCATCTCCATTGAAAGTTATGTTTAGTTGAGCGCTAGCAAGTTTATTGTTGAGGTGGAAACAAGACGTTTCTGTTTTGCTGGTGTTAGGTTTTAATCTCCAGACATGAAAGAAGTTACCTAGAGTGATGAGTTCGTCTGTGAGTATTCTTTCAGTTTCATTGAGGTCTATGTGTTGAGTTACGATAGCTAGGTCGTCAGCGTATGCGAATTTAATGGAGTGAGTCATTGGGAGGTCGGCTATATAGACATTAAATAATAGAGGTGCTAGTACCGAGCCTTGCGCTAGGCCGTTATTTAATGTTCTGGAGTTGCTAATTGTATCATTCATACGAACTTTAAATGATCTATTATTAAGTATAGTGTTGATTAGCTGGGCAGTGTTTCGGCAGCGAATAGTATGAAGAAGTTTGTACAACAGACCGTGTCTCCAGACGGTGTCGTAAGCAGCTGTTAGGTCGATAAATACCGCTGCAGTTTTTAGACGGTTTTGAAAGAATGCTTCAATATAAACGGTCAATGAGAGGATTTGATCGGAACAGCTTCGGCCTGGCCTGAACCCGGCTTGTTCTACCGGGATGGTATTTAGTATAATTGGGCTTATTCGGTTGTATATTATTCTCTCCAGTAGTTTATAGCACGCGCTGAGTAGTACTATTGGTCGGTAGTATTCTGGGCGATCGTTTGATTTCCCGGGTTTGACGATAGCAATTATTTTAGATTTTCTAAGTTCTGGAGGCAGTGTCCCAGATTGTTGAATGTCATTGTAAAATTTAGATAGCCATTTTCTGGTGTTAGAACCACAGTTTATCAGAAATTCTGGGTGCATCCCATCTGGCCCTGCAGCCTTCCCGGGGTTTAGGTCCTTTAGAGCTGTGGTAATTTCCACTTCTGAGTAAGGGGCAGACAGTTCGTGGATTTAGGTGCATTATTTTTTAAGGTCAGTAAAGCGTTTTCTTATCTGAGTTGTGTGCCTCTTGCTCTAAGGCATTCTCGATACATTTACTATGTGGTTAGCAACTTGGTTCGGTGAGATTGATGTATCCTTTCGTCTAGTGTGTTGTTTACTTCNAGGTTTTAGGTCCTTTAGAGCTGTGGTAATTTCCGCTTCTAAATAAGGGGCAGACAATTCGTGGATTTGGGTGCATTATTTTTTAAGGTCAGTAGGGCGTTTTCTTATCTATGTTGTGTGTCTCTTGCTCGAAGGCATTTTCGATACATTTACTATGTGGTTAGCAACTTGGTTAGGTGAGATTGATGTATCCTTTCGTCTAGTGTATTGTTTATCTCCCAATATCTTGAGTAAGCTCCATGTTTTCCTACTAGAGTGTCTAAAATCCAGGGCTGTTATTGTTTTATTCCATTTTTTCTTCCTGGATTTATCAAGGATGATTAGAAGATCGTCCGCCACATCTATATTTCCGTTCATATATTCTCGATATAGGTAGCGAAAACCTATATCGTTCCAGCCAGGGACGTATACTTTCCTATAGCCTCTTGGCATGTGTTTTTTAGCAATAGCAATAATGAGTCCCGAAAATCTATTGTAGTTCGAACGTTTAGGTGGGATAAACCGGATGTATTTGTCTAGTTCATTTGCATAGTTTTCCCATGCAGTTTTGTTAAAGTTCCATCTGGGGTAAGGAGTGGAGTTAATTAGTGGGATTTGGAGCTCGATTTCAATTAGGATAGGTCGGTGTTGACGATTTGGGAAGTCGTTCATAGCTGTTCGGCTGGCTGCCATGGGTAAGTTATTTGTTGTTAATGAAACAAAGCAGAGATCGGGATTATACTCTCTATTCCATCTACCTGACTTAAATGTGCCTTTTGATTTAGCATCAAAAACTAAATGGGCATTGTTAGTTTCAGCTCATGATGCGAGCATCTCTCCGTTTATGTTGTTGCTGGAATACTTCCAAGTCACGTGGTGGCTGTTAAAGTCACCAATGACTATTGTTGGATGGGAGATGTTTCCTAGGACGCAGTCTGGCCATATAATAGTTGGTGGTTTATACACGTTAATAATTGTGGTCTGTCCGACATTGACTTTGACGATATGGATGTCGTGTAGGGTTGATACGCTTTCAAGCTTGACCTCTTCTAGGTTATTTCGGACGTAAGTTGCTATCCCGTGTGAGCGGTGGTATGTGGCACCGATTATAGTGTATCCNCACGCGCTGAGTAGTGCTATTGGTCGGTAGTTTTCTGGGCGATATTTGTAATAATAAGTATTTACTAAAATTTCACAAAATTGATAAAATATTTTTCCATTTCATGAACTTAAATTTGACTTATGCAATATGATTGTAATTCATAAAATGAAAATACATTTCGTGAAAAATACAATAACACTAAGTGGATGAAACATATATAATACATACAATATATGTTTCAGCGATAATATTTACCAGCTGAATATGTTCAGTTGAAACAATGGCATGGTCGGTTAAAATATTTTCAGATATATCAAACAAATATATAAAAACAAATTTAATTGATTTACATTGTTTACCACCCAGTTGTCAATAAATCAGATACCTAACCGCACAAAATTCCAATGATGAAACTTTTACAAATTAACTTGTATCAATCTGAATCAATTCTTACCTTTCTTAATTGGCGAATATAGCCATTGGACAAACCATATAACACTAAATTTCTTTCATTAATATTTAGTTTTCTTGGATTAAAGCTTAAACAGATATCAATATATCGAGCTCCTCGTTTCATTGCACTATACATGCTGAAGATGTCTTTAAACTTTGCTTTTGGTGCATCTAATAAAATAAAATATAATAACCTATATATTAATAACTGTATTTTCATAAATTAAATAGATAACTAATAAATAACAATTAACAAACTTGCAGCTGAAATAAAATTGATTGCTTCTTGATGGCGACTTTTATTTTTGACAAATTGTACAATTTGAGTAGTACATATGTACATGTTACTATAACGAAATAAGTCTACTAATGAAACAGCATTACAGTAACTAAAATTAAATATTACAATTAAGTGATTATCCAACAATTATTTTGTTTAATATGTAAGTAATATTAAAATTTGGAAAATTTAAATAAATAGATTACATTAGATTTTGAATACACGCAGTAACTATTTCAATACTCAATTTGGAAAGTTCAACAATTCTTGACACATGGTTAACACCATTAATATAAGGAGATATCTGTGAGCCAAAATTAGTATTAAATAATAGAAACACAATACATAATTTAAATATAAAAGTTTAACAAAATAATTTTGGTCTTACTCGTTCAGTTACTAAATCCCATTGATGTTCAGAATGATTTATTGGAGACAATAATACAGGGACATCAAAATTCAATGGAATTAGTGGATCAGGTGAAACTTTGATAACATTTAAATAAATTACTGCACCGCAAACTATATAGAATTAATAATTATTGTCGTTATTGTTAAATATAATGTATATATATATTGTACATTTCATTGTATAGAATATAATACTATAACTTATACAAAAAATCATAAAATATTTTTATTAATTCTTCAAGTAACATTAGTATGTTACTATACAGACGTAAAAATAAAACTTTAAATCTATTGGCTATAATGTTTAAATATATTATTTAATTTATCAAACCCTATTTGATGTTAACTAATTTTATATTCTCTTAAAAAAAACAACAAACCTAACCTATAAAAAAACAGTTACATTTTTATTTTAAACTTTAGTTGAATGGTACCTGTTAAAATACATGTATTATCCTTGTTCAAATCTTGCATTACTTTATTCAACATACAAAATAGTTGTTCTTGAGAATCATCAGATTGATCACTATTGGAAAGAAAATTCCTTTCTATTTCTAAGTTTCTCTATAAATAAATGTATATACTGGATTTTAATTATTTTGGACAAAATCAGAACTTACACAAATGAATAATGATGGAAAGTGGTATGTTAAAGACAAATTAAAATAAATGGACCCTTGATCACCAATCCTTAATTTAATAATGCAGTGGTTAGTTGGAGTGTTAACAGTGGTCAGTTTCTCCTCCCAAGCTTTTACCAATTCATGTAATTTCTGAACAATCACTTATTCTTTATTGCATAGAACATATGAAGAAAAAAAAATGATCTAACTAAAATTGAAATGTCTGACCGGATTAATCTCAGGAATTACCAGTCTGAATTAAAAAAAAATTGAGAAAGAATATAGACCAATTTAAAAAAATTTAATCCGAGGGAATAGGGGGGAAGAGCTTTAATGTCTGTATAATTTAAATATGCTAAAAATTACCATTGTGCACTATAAATACATTGACACAGTACCATTCACACTACATTCTAAACTAGCAGTCTCAGATTCAAATTAATCTCAAATACATTCATTTTTTAATTTATCTTTATTATTAACTTTTTTTATGATTACTATACAGTTGGTATATTTGATTTATACATTAATTGGACAACACAGATGAAAAAATAATACTTATTATTAGATAATATGATTATCATATGCAAAAATATACCTTTAGAAGTAAAAATTTCAGAAAAATACATGTATTTTTATATTTAATACATTTTTTTCCGTTCAAAGCCGTGCATGATAACTAGTAAATATAAGTTAATTAAAGAGTGGAGAAAGAATCACACCTCCTTTCCAAAATAAACTTTTGTGCAAGCTCTAAATAAAATTAAAAATAAATATACATACAATGAAATTCAATAATTTTTTTACTATAGGTTGGTATTGCAAAGTATGTGATAAATGATCGCAAACAATACATAGATTAAAATAATATGCATTACGTTGATATTTTTTGTCACTAATTCTTATTGGATAACCCAAAATTTTTGTTACATTTGATGTCCTTTAACAAATTATTCAATATATTACATAAATTAAAAACATTTAATATTTGGAAAAGTCAAACTTACATAGTGATCATACGGTTTTTTAATTGTCTCTTTGGTATTGCATATAAACTAATTATTTCAAATAAGTCTTTGGTTATATAATCTTTAGGTACCTATTTGATGGAAAGTACAAAAATATGATAAAATAATTGTTTTAATATAATTATAAAATATATGCTATGCTCATTGAACACATTGGTGAGAAGTAAAAAAAAAAAAAACAAGAAAATAAAAAAGGTACAAAAAAAGAAGATAATTACAACATTAATTGTTTACTACATCTTAGTTTAATGTTAATATTTCTAAATGAAAAATTAGTATAAATATTTTTAAATTATCATATTTTAATGTATTTAAAATTGCATTCAAGGAATGTTCTATTTATCGTTTTCCCTCCTCAAAATCTTTAATCTTTATTTTTGTTTAATAAAATGATTTCCTTAGCGAAAGATTAATTGAAATTTAATTATCATATTCAAAAAGAAGCAAGATAGAACTCAAAATACACTGCATGCGACAAAGTGTATTTCTAACTTAGATTTAGGTAAGTACCTTTATAATATTTAATAAAAATGATAAAAGCTATAATCTACTATATTATTAATTATTACATAAGTACCTACCTATAAGGGTTAGACCTAATAATATCTATAAATACTTTTAGTTTTCTATATCTTTAATATCTTTTTTTCTAGGGGCATATTATAAAAGACATAACGTAACTATGAAAGTATGAAGCAGAGGTGGCTTGAAATATTTCATTTGTTGGTTTAAGTAGTATAAAATTATAAACCCTCCCCTCAATCCACCCCGCAAGTATAATACAACCCATACAATATATATTTATTATTCTATACTACCCATTTTATTTATTAAAAGAAAAAAAAGAAAACACAATTATTAAAAACCATAATAATCAATAGTACAAATATAAGGTGCATAATGCAAGGTTAGTAACAACTATTTTACTGATTATAACCATTTTTTGTTTCTAATAATTATTATAAGATGCTAACAGCATGAGTATAAAATTAAATCATTAAAATTTTTAATGAACTTAGTTGTCAACTCATGTCAACATTCAAACAATCAGTACTCACTAATCCCCAATATCTGATGGTTCAGTGAACCACTAAAACTTTATTCAGGCCACCTCTAGTATGAAATATTTACATAAGCAAAAATCTAGTCAATTTTATAAAGAAAATATATGTTCCTAGTTCCTATATACTATAGTAACACAAAAAAAAAAAATGGCTGAGGCTAAACATTTATAAAATGTATAAAATATAATACACACAACATAGGTACAGATATAGCACTACTTTTATTTTTAACAAGACTAGATTAAATAAAATATAAATGTTGTTAACAATTTACAATCTTTAAATTCTTAAATGTTTAAACTTGACAATGTAAAATGATACTTTTTAATTAGGAACTAATAAAAAAAATAATATAATATAAATATTTACTTGACACAATATTCTTGGTCCAGCAGTATGATGAAAATGACAAATAAAAATACATTCTATGGGATTTTTGTTTGATGCCATTTATAATAATAATGTATAAAATGTATAATATAAATGGAAATATGGAATAGTAAAAGAATAATTAAAAAGTAAGAACCAATGGGTACATGGAAGTAATATTCTAGAAAATTACCTAACTTATCTATAGATATTTTGAATTTATCCAAATTGATGAACATGAGATTAGGGAACTATTTTGATAAGAAATAAACGTCTTGGTGTCATGTAAACTTTATTGCCTATAACAAAAATTAAAGGAGTAATCTTTTTCAAAGAAAGAGCATCCAATAATAATAGATTTAACACTAGATAGCAATTACCTACGTGTATCACAGACGCGTGTACAAGGGGGGGGTTTTAGGGGTTCAAACCTCTTCTCAAAATTTCATGAAAAATATGATGAAAATAGATTTTTAATAGTCTCAAGAGTGGTTTCTGTCAATGAGGAAGATAAATACAATTTTGGTTTTATTTTTATTTTATTACTAGATAATAGGTAGGTATATACTGTTATTATTGACATTCAATAATATGAATTACGTTATCATTTAGGCTGTATTCACCAAAACAATATTAAATGTAAAATTTAGTAATATCATTGTTTAAATATACTCAATATAGTATATTTAATCAATAGTAATAGGTACTTAAAAGGTTAAAAAGCTGTCCTAGGATAATGGGCAGCCACTGTTATCGGTAATTTAATGTACCAATATCTGTAAGCAACGATTTACCATTGCTAACGAAAAAACGATTCTGAGCAGAGTTCGGTTGATAATATTCCTTTATCAACAAAATATATGTCGTATTAGGGTGAAATAATTACATAACATGCATTATATATTTTCTATAATAATATTTGTTTAATATTATACTTATTTTCTCGTTTTTACCATGTGTTTTTCCGGGCTTTCCTATTTATTACAGACAAAGTTTATTGGAAAATCAAAATTAACAGCGAAAAATTGGTGCACGTGAATCACACCTTGCGTAACCGTCTATAAACTAGTATTGCTGGTTCAGCAGATTATCTCACAAAGTAACTCGACAAAATATGTTTAAAATAAATAAAAATAATGTTCGTCAGAAAAACTAATTAAGAAAAAAATTGGACAACTATATTGATTGGTCGAAAGACATTCCGAACTAGAACTCACAAGCAAACATCTATTGTACGTAATAATAATTAAATCGATATAGGTTTATGGAATTTAACTGTGGGGTTGTGCCAGCACGACCAATATTTAGATTATTCAACGCAAGCACATCCTTGAGGGAGAGCGGGCGATCGCCCCCCCCCCTCCATAAGCCGTGTGATGTTCTTTTTTGTTATACAAAATATCAATAGTTCTTTAGTACAAATAAATACAAATGCCATAAATAGATAATTCCAGATTTTGGAAATACTTTGATTGAAACAAGAATGAAACACTTCTCATTTATAAATTTCAATAAATATTCTGTCAAAGGTGAGATAGAATTATGGAAAATTATGTGGGAACAATCGTATATAATAAAATAATAGATACTACATAATAAATACTAGATGGTACTTTAGGAAGGTCATGTTTTGATTTTCCAAACAGTTTTCATAATATCAGAAAAACCCAAGATAAAACTGGAAAATTCACGAAAATAATTATTTTTTTATTTAAAATTTTGTTTTTAATTGTAACTCAGTTAAAAATATTCGTAGAGACTTGAAAATTAGTCAGAAAACTTATATTTGCCCTTTATTAGCGTGGTAAAATCTTTAAGCAATACTTTCCCGTTTTTTTCGGTTTTTCAAATTTTATGAGAAAAATTTTGACATAATCGAAAAATGACTTCCTAAAGTACCTCTCCACACAAATTTCCTTTCAGAAAAGGTGCTACACTTAAAAAACCATAAGCGTCTTTGCTCCGAATATTATTATGACGGAGATATACTTATTTATGAGCCGGATAAGGTCCAGTAGGCAATAATATCACTAAGCACAAATTTTGTTAATAGCCCATTATAAAGTCATCTAAATAATACAACTGTACCACCAATATTTTGGCTGTAAAAAATATTATCTTATAACTTCTAAGTGATTTACATTCAAAATTTCAAATTTTTTTTTTACTTAATCCATTTTAATATGGATTAATAACCGAAGTAAGTACCTTTATATTACTAGAAATAAAATAGGTAGCCTCTGTCATTGCCTAACCCTATAGAGGCACATGACTAACAGAAAATAAAAGAAGAAAGTCTATAAGATATAAAAAAAAAAATTAGCGTCCCTTGCAATTATTAAACTCAACCCAATCCGTGAGAAGTTTAGCCCTCTACACCTCCTACACCAATTTTCAAACATAATTCAATAATTCATAATTTCCGAAAACAAACACTACCTACCTACAGCAAACTTTGGCGTACATAGTAGGTACTTACTATAGTAGATATTGATATTAGATTCTAAAATGATGGTTACTACTATGGTTCTATTATGATGATGTGTTTGTTATTTTTCTGTATGTGAACCACTTTTCTACCAGAAATCTTGTTCCAATTATCAATTTTAGAGGCAATGGTTCCTGGTAAAAATTGTTGTCTGGTTGATGCAATAATGAGGTTAGGTTTTGATTTTCTTTATAGTATTCTTAATTATGAGAAAACCCCTAGAAAAAATGCGTGGAAAACGTATAACTGTTACATTTACTGTTTCTGTCTTATTCTATTTTGTATATTCAATGAAAAATAATCGTAGAGGTCAGAATTACACTGAATACTTTTATAGGTATAGTCCTTCTCTGCGTCCCACTTCAAACAAATAGACATAGTAAAGGTACGTTTACATTTCTCAAAAATTAGTTGAGGTATTCAGTCTCCCCTCAATTCAAGCTCAATTGTTTAAATGAATAAAAATAAATAAAAACTGTTATTTGATTGTATAGTTTATTCATTTCCACTTATCACTAGACAACTGTGATTTCCACGCAAGGGCATTTGATATTAGTCATGTTTGATAATTAAATTATACTGGTTAAGTAAAGCATACAGGTATCTTTATTCTATTATATTCCTGTTCTATACATAATAAACTTTGAAAAAAATCAAAATTTATTGGTCAAATTTTTTTGTTTACAATCATTTTTCAATATAATGGTTCTATACGCTCATTAGTGTTCTAAATTAGTTTTTCAAATACTTACTTATATACATACTATTTAAATTATTTCTCTAAAATGTGGGGACTTTTTTCTCAAAACCTACATTGAAATTTATTAAATTATAAAATTAGTACTATAATAACATACATTAATTGCGTATTGCTTAACCAATTGATGAAGATAATGCAGTTCTTTTCTATTGGTGTACTCCTAAATATATATACTTACATTTAATAAAACATTAAACTTGTGTAAATAATTAATTCTATATTTTAACTGAAATAAGATATATTAAAAATGTTATACATACAAATGTAAGTATATTAATGAATTATATATATATACATTTATTATTATTCAAATACATTTTCATCATATCCAAACATAGGTGTGCCCAGAATACTTTAGCAGATCTTATTTTAATTTCCAAACTGTTCTATAAACATACATATTCTATTTTATTACAAAATATATTTTTGTACTCGATATTTTCATAATTTAATGTGGAATTATTGGAATTTGATGTTTCTTATCAAAAAATAATAAAATTTGTTTTGTTCAAAATTACAAGTTTTAACAATTTTAATATTTATTTATTAATTTATTAAACAAATTCCCTTGATGATAATGTCTGGGTACACCTATGTATCCAATATTTAACAATAGATACGTTTGGTATTTGTTGATACAAAATAAAATTATTTTCATAATAATAATTATTATTAATATATATAATATAATTATGTACTATGGTCTATTAAAAATTTAAAAAATATTATCAATGCAATAAATGATACATTTTTTTTATTTTTTACTATTGATTTGTGTTTTACTTAACTCGCAATTCAATCTAAAATTTTAAAAATCTTGTTTGGCACAAAACTATAAGACATCAGTGTAAAATAAAATAGATGAAAGTAAAATAAAAAATCCTCAAATTATGTGAAAAAGAATATGCTTTTAAAAATTCCAATAAATCTGGATATCCTAAATATATTTGAATTATTCTCTAAAAGACATGAATTATAAATTGCAAAAATAATCACTATATACAATTATGGTGAAGAAATTACATAGTTTTATAAATATAATTTATTAATATAGTATACAGCCAAAAACTGGTAAAAATTAAACTGCAATTATTTTTTGTTTTTGTTAATCTAGTAATGTTTAAGAATAATAAAAATGTGGATATAATAGTCCATTAATACAAAATATCAACGTTTTCCATTGAAGCTGGTCAGTCTGAGTGGTGTTTTGACATTAGCTGCTGCCTGTTGCTGTATTTGATAAGCCAGATTGTGTATCTTGAAACCATATAATCTAAAAAATTATGTATTAATGTTAATTACTTGTAGATTTAAATTAATTAGAAAACACAAATCTAATTAGCTATTTTCTTTATAAAAAAAAATTGTTAACATTTTTATTAATTGGGCATATGCTGTTTATTCTTATAATAAATAATTACAATTTGTTATACATACCTAGGCACAAACTGATTACCAGGCCTTGGCGGTCTGTATTCTGGATGTACCATAAACAACATATGTGGAAAACCTGTTCCAAAATAGGCACCATCAGTATGATGATGACGAGATGACTTTGGTGTATAGACATCCATACATTTTGGACAGTAAAGTTTAACCATTGCTTCTCCTGGAACATCTGACAAACCTGTAAATATATTTTTTTTATAGTGTTTAGTGCATTCAAAAATTAATCATCCATACTATCACATGATAAGATACTTAAATATTTGTATGAAAATATAAAAGTAATTATTTAGTTATTTGCCTTTTTTTAATTTTGAGTTAATAGCTAAAGAATACGAGTTTAAAAACTAAGAAACTAGTAAAAAATAAATTTCAGTGTTATCTGTAATAATGTTAAACTTAAAACATTTCTACAATTATAGAATTTTGTAAAACAAATTTCTAGTATTTACTTTTAACAAGATATTTTAAATATCTTAAATTTATCTATCACTAGACTTAGTACTTGTCACTATAAAAAAACATGCATTCTCTACTTGAAAAATTCTTATTTACATCATTGGTTATTTTCATATAATACATCTATACAATCAAAATTAATTGTATATAATACTTTGTAAAAGTAATATTAACCTATTGGGAGCATTGGTGAATTTTCACAATATACTCGTGGGCAGTGTCCAAAATCACCAGTTTGATATTTCTCAATCATTTGAGCAATCCCACGATTTGTCAATATATAACGAGCATGTATTAAACCATATAACATCTCAGCAGCCTGTTCAATTAGATCTGAATGATTAGGGTTATCATCCAAGTCATCATCTAAAATTTAAATAACATAAGGTAAAGACTATTATTATTATATAAAAAAATATAACACAATATTTCTAAGAAAATGATTACAAAAACTCACTTATTTAAGGCCTAAAGATTTATAAGGTCATACAATTTATTTAACTGCTATGTAACACATTCAGCAATCAATAGTTACAGCCATGGATCATAATTATTATTATTTTTTTTATAATATTATAAATTGTTAAAAAATCAATTTTACTTAATTTATTATGATAATACATGTTTATCCAATCAAAATCTGATATTGATATCTTCTTTGTCCCATTTCATTATGTAAACTTGTTCCTTTTCTTATAATATTAAGGTCAGTTCATAAATTATATAATCTGCTATTTACTCAACTTATACTATTTAATGTTCCAAAATATTATCCATATTTAAATATCAGTTTTATACTCCAATTACAATTTAATGCTTTTGCACTTGATACACTTGCCAACTGTAGGCATAAGGCTATGCATACAATATATCTTCATCAATAATGTTGAATGTCCTTTGCTCTTATCATAAATAACTTTTGTATTCGTATTTCTAATACACTCACACATAATTTTTCTAGGCTTATTCTCTGCATCTCATTTACAACTCAAATTCGACAATATTATGAGGCATGCCAATGAAGACTTTTCCTGTTGTTAGTTATTAGTTTAGCGAGTAATCAGCATTGTGCATTTTGCACTAATTATTCTAAAATTAATTTAAACCATTTAAGAAACAAAACTATTTAAACAGAACTATTTTATAAAAAATATATTTAAAAAAAACATATATTGATTCATAAATTATCATACATTTTGATGACTAATATGTGGTTTAATAACATATTTTTATTTTATAATTATTCTGGTTATACTTGTTCATTGTTAGTGTTTATTTTTATACTGATGAACTTTGTTGCTTGATGTTGCCTGTTGTTTAACTGATACCAGTTAAACATAACTGATAAACCAGGCTTAAATAAAACATTATTAATATAAAATTACCATGCTTAAATTTAAATGACAACCTAAGGCCAAAAATTTAATTTAATTTAATTTTAATTTGTTTAAAAAATATATATATACTATTTATATCTGTAAAATGCTTATTGAGAAATTAAATGAATTCACAATGCAATTATTTTTTTATATTTGATAAATCTTAATAATATACTACCTCTTAAGTGATCTTCACATAAGTTTAAAACACCTTATATCCCATTGCATTTGTCAATGTAGTTAGGGTAGGGCACTCCAATAACTATGCCTTAGTTATGGTTGTTGATTTGGTATTTGGTTTACAAGGATATATATATATATATTTCGTAAAATTATTATTATGTTTATAATTAATATTAAAAAGAAGTACCAAATTATAAACACTGTAGAAATATTTTCTTAGTTATTTACAAAATTTCTTCGAAAATTGTTAATGAAAATATAGTTTATTGTTCAAAATATGTTTAGAACCCGGAAATGTTTTCTAACTTGTTTTAGTTATTCAATTAAATTATTTATCAAAACAATATGAAATAATATACTTGTAATTTATACAGTATATAAAATATTAAGAGAGCTATTTAATCATGTTCTGTAAATTGATTTTTAATGCTGTTGGTTAGCATACAAAATTTTGTCAATTTGCAACAAATATAACTACATGTAAGTGCTAACAACCACTTTATGGGATAATGTCAAAATGGCCATACAATTGTTGTGAATTTGTATATTATAATCAGAACAATAAAACAATTAATAAAGAAAGTTTATATAATAAATTTAATATGAATAGCACATATATACACTACTTGGCCATACTTTATACACGTTAGACATTTCACTACCAGTTTTAATCTGGATCTCGAATATAATATTTAAATTTATTATTTAAAACATGCAAACCTGGTTCTAAATCCAAAATCATGTCCAAAGCTTGTCTATAATGAGGTACTTGTTCATTAAGACCAGTTAAATTGAATTTATCTTGAATGTAGTCTTCATCAACCTATACAAAATTGTAAGTCAAAATTATGTGATATTAAAACAAAAATAAATATGTACCTCGCAGAAAAACTCATTTCCACGCAATCCACAGAACCACGAAATCCAAGAAACTTCTTCGGAACTGCTCATCCTCCTATTATAATATTAATATTTAAAACCCAAGTTGAAAATTACAATTTGTGATCAAATTTTCACAATGCTTAATAAATTATACAAGCATCAATAAATTTAATAAACTGATAACACATTTCAGAATTACCTAATTTTCTAAAAAAAATTATGTTTCAATAAATTTCCAAATGTATTAAATTATTATTTAGTTGTTATGTCAAATGACTTACCTTTTTTTATTTGGGCTAGCCACGCTTTGATATCGGACACAATTTAAAAAAAATTTGCGATTTATATTTAAAAATATTTGTCTACAAATTTAAGTTAGATCTAAAATGGATAAGAAATTTTGTGTGGAAAAGAAATCACATAATGGTAATAAAGTAGACACCAATAATATACAGTATAACCATTTAAGAAATTAAATATATATATATTTTTTATTCTCTTTGGTCTTTTCATATATTTGATATTTCTACACTGTTCAACAGTTATTTATTTGTTCGTTATCAGCAGAAAATCACGTATCAATCGAATCAAAATAAACATTCAACAGGTTGATTGTCGTTGTTAATCAAAAATTGTGACAATTTTGTTAACATTCATTTTATTATGAACTTTTAATTTTCTAACTAATTATATTATGAAAATATCTATACTTTTAGTTCTGTAACATGGCAAACGGCGGTTGGCGAGAATGTTCAAATTGGCTAACAAGGTGTGGCGCAATCAGAGCTGATCATAAAGTTAATTGGCCAGAATCTACAGTCGACGATTTGGCTCATACACTTAGGGATGGAGTAATCTTATGTAATCTCCTAAAAATTCTAGAGCCGGGATGCCTTGGTTCCAAAGATATAAATCAAAAACCACAAATGGCTCAAGTAATAATTTATTAGTTTTTATTATGCTTTGGAAAATTGATCAAATTTAATAAAAATGACTACAAATTTTAATTGAAGTACAAAATTAAAACAAAAATTACTTTTATTTTTATGATTTGTAGTATAAAACTTCTTATGAAACTCATGCATACAAATTAATTTTTATTTAATAAAGTATATTAGGTGTTCCAGGTACCTATTACCACAGGTGCAACTATACCACTAACTTTGTGGGTGCTCTAATTATAAACACATTACAAACCCCCCGAGGAGTAATGCCCTCACAATTTTCTTTACATGTCACTTATGAAAAGCAACTACACATTTCATTTACAAGTTTTATATAGAAATGTACCATTACTTTTTCAGCTTAATTTTGTATATACACATGTATTGTCTTTAGATAATTTGTAGAATGTTTTGTTTATTAATTATGAAATACACAAATAAAAGATTTAATTGGTACCATAAAAACCTTATTGGGTATTTTTAGGGGTGCTAATGACCCACTTAAACCCTTTTGATATATCACAGCAGCCAGTACCCTAGGTGCTATTATAAACAATGTTTACATTACTATTGTAATAGGTACCCAGTATATTTAATATGTTTATCGAATAAAAATTAGTTTGTATGCACAAATTTCATATTTAGTTTTATAAAATATTCGGTATATTAAATAAAAAAACAAAATAATACCTAACTAATAATATTATTAATTTAATTATAAATACATTATTTGTTATGTATCATAATATAACCTTTATATTACCCAACAGTTTATAATATATTTAATATAATTAACTATAAATTAGGTACTAACAAAGTATCTTGATTGTTTTTAAATAGTTATAAGTGGTTTTCATGATTGCTTATAGCCAATTTAAAAAAAAAATTAGGTACCATGCTTTTATGTAAATAATGTTTGTTTTAAGATAAATAGGTATTGTTTTGTTATGTAATAATAACAATACTTTTAAATTTTGAAACATATTAAATTAATGTTTTATTCCAAAAATGCAGTCCCGTTTGCTATTAATTTATTATTATTTACATTGAATAGGGTCATTACTTATTATAAATATTGTCTAGTATACACCGTGTAATTATTTTATTATGATCCACCGATTTTCTTGGATGATTTGAAGTAAATTTGATTTCAGTTTTTGAATTGTTATAGAATTATTTAAATTTTATTTTTATACTATTTTCATGATTTTATATGTGTTCGTCTTTATATATCTTTTTCTTTTATTCCTCCTTCTTAAATTAATATTCTTCTTCAGCTAGCTTATACTATTCTTCAACGTCACGCCTCTCGATTCTAAATTATATTTTTCCAATCATCTACTTCTATTCTTCATAGATCCTTCTCGACTACACCCATTCAAATTTTCTTTGGTCATCCTCATGGCCTCTTTTCTGTTGGTTTCCGGGACATTACTACTTAAGTTACATTATTGTTATTTTCACACATTACATGATCATCCCTATTTCCTCCAACAGTTCTCTGTTGAACTTTCTTCCCCATATACTTATGTTCTCATCCATCTTAGATCTGCATATTGTAGCTATTCATATCTCTCATTCATATGTGAGTGTGGCTTTTATCGTTGTGTATTATCTATTTTTTGTCTTTTTTTGACAGAATTATTGACTTTAAGATTTTAGATAGATTTCTGCTTTTGATATTCACACTACAATTTTGTGTGACCAATCATTTTATGCATTCAAACATACACCAAGGTATTAAAATTCTTTGACTTATTCATATGAGTTCATAATGTATATTTCATTATACAGTAATCTATGATTTTTGTTTTTCCTATTTTTATTCCTAGACCTATTTTTCCCCACTGCTTCCCTCAAATACGTAGACAGCTTTTTTTGCATTAACCCTAACTTTGCCCAAGATATTCAGATCTTCTTTAAAACTTAGGATATGAATCCTACGTTGATCTATTTCTATTCCAGTTGCTCCTTTTTGCATATCTCTGATTGCTTTATTCAGCTTAATATTAAACAGCAATGTACATAACAAATCACTTTTTAACCCTGTTTTTACTGTAAATGCTTGAGACATAGTCTGATTTTCACTGTGAATGTTACCTCCATGTACAGTTTGGTCAACATAATCAATTTTTAAATGAATACTAATTTTTAAATTTTAAAAAGCAGCCCCCTGTTTTCAATAAAGATTCAGCCAACTAATATTTTTATACAAAACGTGCTATTTATAACAATATTGGTTATCATTTATGAGCCTTGCTAAGTTTTGAAAATATTGCAAATAAGATCAATAACAAGTCCATAATGACTGAAAAAACAAAAACAAATTTTACTAAAAATGTTGATTATCAATAAGTCATAATTTATAAAATTTCCTTTTATTAAAGTATTGTGTATTTACCATTATAAATTATATGTTCTAGGTTATATTACCTCTAATAATTTACTTTCATAGAAATGAAAAGTAAGAATAATACATCATTAAGTAAAAATAGTGATTTTGATACAAATTTTAACTTAATATTACATAAAGAACTATATTTTTAATATTATAACTTAAGATATACATAAATATAATAAAAAAATTTCTTGAATATAAAATGTACTTGTAATTTAATATAAATGAAAATTCTTTAACAATATAAGATCTGGTTATTAATTTAGATAGTTTGTAAACAACTTTACCAAGTTTACAAATTGTATTTTTTGTTTCGTTATTGTTTTTGTTTTCAGTTTTTATGTTTACGCAACATAAAAACATTTCTACAAGTGTGTCAAGAAGTGTTTGATATAAAGGAGTATGATATGTTTGATCCAGTTGTATTATTTGAATTGTCAGACTTTTTTAAAGTTATTCGTACATTATCAATTCTATCTCGAACTCCGAAATTACAAAGACTTCATATACCGTATGTACTACAGTTATAACTTAAAATATCTATTTAATTTATTAGGTACTTATAAAAAAAAAAATGTGTTTTGATTGCAGAGGATTTATTGTTACTAAACCTAGAACACTATCACAAGAAGATATTTACAGAAACATTAATTCACTGTAATTTATATTAATTTAGATAATTTTTAGTTATGGGTATTTTTTTAGACATCTATATTATTCTAATAATTTGTATTAAATTATAACTTATGTTATAATACCCATAACTATAATATTAATTATTTTAATTTTATAATTGATGTTTATATTTTTTATAATTTATCTACCTAAATTTTAGAGACCTGGTCTCATCAAGAAGTGCTTTATTAGATTCTTTTCATGAAAATGAATATACTAGTTATGATACTCATATTCGAAATGAAGAAATTTATCATGATTTATGTGCAATCGATAATAATTGTTCTTCAATAGCTATTTCAGAGGTAATTATTGGTTATTAATTACAACTTGTTTTAAAATATAGCGATTGTTAAAATGTATTTAAAAAAACCTATATGTATCAAAGTGTATATTTAAGTGTTAAAATAAAACTATAATTAACTTTGTTAAAAATTATTGATTCTAGCACCCTGTAATTGCACAACAGACAATTGAAAAACGAGATTATGTAATTAATGAATTGGTTGAAACAGAAAAAAATTATGTTGATGTGTTACAAACACTTTTAAAATGCTTTATTAAACCACTATCAAAAATAATGAAAGAAGACGACTTTTTTACAATATTTCAAGGAATCAAAGTAATCAATGAATATATAAAAAAAAAAAATGTTATTTTATGATATTTTATTAATTATTACAATTTATTTATTTAGGAGCTGTATGAAGTGCATAAAGATTTCCACCATGATTTAATAAAAGCATGTTCATCGTATAGCACTTTAAGACTTTCTGATGTTTTTCTCAATTGGAAGGATAAATTTTTAGTTTATGCAGATTATTGTGCTAACCTCACTACAGCTCAAGATCGAATACAAGATGTCTGCAGCCAAAACGAACATATCTATAGAGAAGTTAATGTATGAATAAATATATTATGTTTCTTAATACTTTGTCTACTTTTATCATATCAATCCAGTTGACTACCTATATGCCTATATGTTTATTTTATTTATTGTTACAACTTTATAGTTTATTTAAGTTTATTATATATTTCTTATAGTTAAAAGAAATATGCATATATATATATATAAATTACTTTTATAGAGATGTCAAGAAGAAGCTAATAATGGCAAATTTAAATTGAGGGATATCTTATCTGTACCCATGCAAAGGATACTCAAATACCACTTATTATTAGACAAACTAATACACGATACTCCACAGGTATAACAATAAACACTAAATAAGGTTTTTTGGTAATTTTCAAATATTATGATACAATAAGGATGTACTAGATACTGTTAATAATTATTGTAATAATTTTTTGTATTGATATAAAATAAAAATATTTAAAAATTTATCTTTACTCTAGTATAAATTCCTATAATTAATACATAATGTTACAGTTATGTTTATTTACGTAATGAATCATTATTAAATATTAGAGAAATAGAAACTATATTAATTTACAAATTAATACATTTTGTTAAAGAATCTTAATGACCTATTGTATTTCCGTACAAAATAAATATCTGTTAATATTTTTTTAAATAATTGTATAGACACACAAAGATCTTCCAGGATTAGAATGGGCCAAAGAATGTATGGTAGATGTAGCACAATATATAAACGAAGTAAAGAGAGATAGTGATACATTGCAAATAATGAATGATGTTCAGGTATATGCAAATTAATTCTTCTTCTTCTCTTTTGCTTTCATTCCAATTATTTGGAATTTATCATTTTCTAATTATTGATTTCCTAAGTTTTCAAATTGCTATAATACATAACTAAATAATTATAACGTTTTCAGAAAAGTATTGTTGATTGGGATGTAGTTGGAATAACACCGTTAAAGAACTATGGACATTTAATTGCAGACGGTGAATTAAAAATAAAATCACACAATGATCAAAAAGTAAAACCGAGGTAGTTAAATTAATTTTAAATGCTTAGTTTTTTTTTTTTTTGGTATGATGTTGCTTTCAATTATCATGCATGTTAGTAATATGTTTAGGAATTATGATTTTTCTTTGCTTCTTTGTAGCTGTTAAATTTATTTTTGTAGATATGTCTTCATTTTTGATCAAGTTGTATTGATGTGCAAATCAATAAGAGTAAGTATAGTTTTAATTTGTGTGTTATTTTTGATTAGCGATTTTTGGATTTTTGGATGTTTTTTACCCCTTTAAGTCAAAAATATTGAACAGATTGAGCTGAAACTTAGCATAGATATAGTTTTAGATCAGAAATAACATATAAGTATCATTTTCTCTCCTCAACAAATCAATTCCTATGGAATTAAAAAAGGGATGTCAAAGTTTGTATAGAAAAATACATTATTTATATAATATATACAAGAAAAGTTAACTGCAGTGATATTCCCTATCTTAGGAGAAAAAAATGTTTTAATTTGTTTTTGTTCAATACTGATAAGGGTAAAGCTGTGTGGAACAGCTAGTATTGTATGTAAAATAAGTAATTACACGTCCTGCCTGACTGATTTACCATCGCACAAACGTCTGAATCTAAAAACATGACAGTTTGCATAGTTTCCTTTTAAATTACTATAAAGGGATGTTTGGAAATTTTGACTCTAAAGGAAGAGACCCTTTAGTTTAGTCCTTAGAAAACAATATATAATTGATTATTATTGGTTTTAAGAATAGAGGAATAAAGTTCCCCTGGGGGAAGGGATAGTAGTCTGATAAATGAGGTAATATCTACAGATATTTAATTTGTCATTGACAGAAGATCTTTTTATTTATAAGAAATTTTAATTTTAATTTTTACACCTTTAGTTCATCGGTTTCCAGAGTGATCAATATTCTTTCAAGCAATTACTTTTTATATCACAACATCGACTTGAAGATTATACCACTCGTAAGCTCTTGTCAAGAGACAATCGGTGGTCCCATCAGTTTAACATGGTTCCTAAATCAGAAGGTACTACATACACGTTTTATGCTAGATCTGAAGACCAAAAAATGAAATGGATGAAAGCTATACAAGATGCTATGTAAGAGAATAAACATTTCTATTCAATTAATAATTAAATATAAATAATATGCATTACATTTTATTATTCTACCATAATTAGGATTAGATTAAAATGGTTAAATAATTATGTTTAGTAATTTTCATTTGTTAATTCAATGACAATTTATAATGAAATATTTAGAGGAGACTTTCACCTAAACATAATAAATCCCTGTCTTCTAACCAGGGGTGTATAAATGGGAATGAGGGGGATATATTCAGTGTTATATTCATCTAGGTAAATTTTAGATTCCCGAGCTTAGCGAGGGAGCTATTGGTTTCACTAAGATATTTTTTTTTTTTTTTTGTCTATGGATACATTTTTTCCTTGTAAACTTGCTTCGATTTTTATATGTAACAACTTTTCTGAAAGCTCAAGTTGTTTAGATGGTCCTTTAGACATGTCATTTTTTGATTTTCAACGCCATTTTTTAAATAAAAGTACTTAAGTGGGAAAAAATGTAAGAAAACTTACAATTTCACGATTTCATTATTTTATACGAACAATGTGTTTTTCTTTTTTAATTTTTTACAATGGTATATTTTTTTATATAAACTGTTGACCACTTCTAGAAAACTTCCTCCGGTGTTTAAGTATATCACCTTTTCTGAAAGTCAATTTTATCTACTTAGTAAATACTTAGATCATTTTTTAATTTTCGTAATAGTATTTAAAATAAAAATGATTAACCTGGGGAAAAAATACAATTTTTTCACGATTTCGTTATTTTAAATAAGTACCTATCACAAATATGTCACCAATTGAAAAACGACAAGAAACCTTTTTTGTTGAATTATTATTCTTGTTTTTCATGATGCAGGTTAATTTTTTTTTTTTATAAGCGTTTTGAAATTAAATTTAAACGAAAATTGCAAATAAAATTACAGCACTTCAAATTATGTAATGCCGAACTGCGCTCGGAATCGTCTTTTGTCAGCTATGGTTTATTGTTGCTTACAGATATAAATGAAATAATCTTATGTATCCTACCTTCTCAACTTCTCACCTATAACAGTGGCTCCCATCCCCAGTATCAGCTCTTTTTTTAAATTTTATCTCATTAGGGTAAATTAAAAATAAGTTATCTGAGATAAAATCATAATTTACCTATATGTTTATTAAAAATAATAAGTAAAATATTTAATTCATATTCATAGGGTTTTATAAGTAAATTACTAACTTACATCAATCAAAAATATTTTTTGAGATCTAGATGTATACATAATCTAGTTCACTTTTACTACTTTTAGCACAAAAAAAAAAATGTTTATTTTTATAAAAAGTTGCAGATTATTGAGATCTTTATTGAGATCACTAAATTGTGATGCATCTTTTATCTTAATCTAGATTCTAGATAATTATCCTAATGATAGATATCTTTAATATCTCGTAATTTAATACAAAATTAAATGTATTTTGGTCCTTTTGAAATAACAAAGTTTTTTTACTCAAGGCTCTTCTGATGTGACAAATTTTTATAATTTTGAACCACCTATTCTTTGTGAGTCATGCATATGTTTTGACTTGTATACTGTGTTTCTGTATATAGAGGCAAAATTTCTAGTAACAAAAGAAAAAAAAACATCATTGTAAAACAAATATATTCCTAGCTCTATTCAGAATCTAAAATACCCAATGAGAAATTTACCCAAGAAGACCATAAAATTTAAATATTTGATTTAAATTAGTATAATCTAAATACTTACTTAACTACCTACATTTTATAATTTGAATGCAATTTATATTTTTGGATACATTTTATCTACAAAATAATACATACCGTTTTATTTTCAGGGACAATAATGAGCCATCTGTATGCAATTTAACAAGTCATAAATTTATAATGCACAGTTTTGACACTCCAACTGTATGTTATCATTGTTCAAAATACTTGAAAGGCTGTATTTTTCAAGTAAAATAATTGATTATACAATTAAAATTTAATTGTATAAACAAGTATTCAAAAAAAATTATTTTATTTTTATAGGGTTATAAATGTAAAGAATGTTTTATCAGTGTACATAAACTATGCATACCAGAATCAGGACGGTGTGGTTTAATTAGTCCTCAATCAACAACTACTCATAATACAATGTTTCAAAATAAATTTCCAAATAATTTTGATCGCCATAGAGTATGAATTTATATCTTTTATGTATATACTAACATAACAACTTATTTGTTTAAAATAAAAATTGATTTTTATTATTCCTTTTTTGTATGCAAAAGTAATTAATGAGTTGATTTATTTCTAAAATAGCAAATATAATTTTAATACAATATTCAAAAATATTATACATAATTATCTTAGTTAAAAAATTATATACATTTTATATTTCAAAAGTGGTAGAAAAATTTAGTGAGATCCCAGATTCTAAGCAGAACGAGGAAACTATTAATTTCCAATTGTATTTTATTTCCTGTAGTAACTATGTTAAAAACATTTCATTTAACAACTACATAAATAGATTAATATATATTAGAAAAAATTAAGACAAGGTTTCAACATTTCGATTTTAATTCTGATTAATTTTAAATTTTAAATTTTAAAATTAAAAACAAATATTGACTTTTGCTATTGTGATCTTACCAAATCAGAGACCTGCTTAAGGTTTAAAATTTATACCTTACTTTTTTAGAGTTCAAATTATTTGCATGCACAGATAAGATATAAATAATTTTAAAACAAACATGTACATTTACAATTTAAAATGCTTAACATAAAATTCAATCAGTTTTAATTTTTGTAATTAGAGGCTTGCACAACCTATTATTTTACTCAAAACACGATTTAGAGGATTAACTGTTGTGCCTTGTAAAAATGTCAAATTTTCATGTTTATTTTCCTAAGGATATATTGGACTTCAATTTTTGATTATATAAACCAAATGTCCCATAATAATAATTTAAAAAATTGGTTTTCTTCAAAGTCTAATTATAATATTTGGATATATAATTTTCAAATACCAAGTTACCAAGTATTCTATAATTCTTTTTTCATCATTCTAACAAAAAATATATAAATAATTAAAAACGGAACACTTTAAAATGCAAGAGAATTAACCCTATAAAGCATTTATTTGGTAAAAAATAAAACAGAATGAGAGCATGTTCCTTAATATTGTAAATGATTTGATTGAAAAGATATTGTGTAATTATGTGTGTTAAATAAATAAAATATGTTTTTATTTTAGTCGCATGATTGGTCAGACAATGATACACTAACAGAACATTTATGGCAAGTATTACGATTAGCAAAACAATTAAATAACATTGATAATTATAATACCAGTGGTCGAGAGTAGCGTCGCTACAGTAGCAAGCTATTTTATTTATAACAAATAATGTAGTGTTGCTATCGTACTCACAGTGTAGCGAAATACTATAGTGCGCTATAAATTTCACAAGTACCATAGATAGTGAATATTGTCACTACTCAATAATAATTGAATATTGAATGTTCTGTGATAAACTTTCAAATTTCATATAGAAGTATGTATAGAAGTTGTGAAAGGTCAAAAAAAATTATCAGTCATTATGTTATTTATATTAGTTGTATTTGATTATCATGGGCAGTATCCTGACAGGGCTTCATTATAAAATGTATAATAATATACAAGTTTATTGTTTACATTATTTGTAATACTATTAGTTATTACATAACCGGGTTCTACATTCAATCCCTTACAATTATGTATTAATTTTAAGACACCACTTTTATACAAATAATAACATAACATACAAAATGTTCATAAATCTTGTTTAGTTCAATAAATTAAACAAATAATTTAGGTTTGTTGGAGAAATGGATAGAGATCGAGCGACCACTTTATTGGAAAGTGAATCTGATGGTACATATTTGGTACGAATACGACCTCAAGGGCCTACTAGACCAGTAGAAACAGTATATGCTTTAAGTTTAAAGTAAAGATATCATTATAAAATTGCTTAAAGTTAACTGATACTAATTACTAGGGTTCAGGACTTTCATTTGCATGTTTTTTTGTAGCGGTCGTATATTATTCTTGGTAAACAATAAATTTGTTTTATGAAGTATCGAAATTTAATACAAACTTTGAATTTGCATATTTTAGTAAAAGTGTATATTTGAGAAATTTTTACCATATTTGTGCATGTTTCACATGTTTTTAATTTTTACATAATTAAAATTGTCGGGTAAATCATATTTGGATAACATTCAAACATATTTCTTTTAATAAATTACTTTGGATAAGTAGGTCATAGATGCGTGTTTCTTTAACTTTATCAATTAGTAATCAACCTTGTTATCGATAATTTTTATTATGTACCTACCTATTTTTGATATTTTTATTTCTATAATTATAATATGGTTCATGCAAAAATGAAGTGGAAAATTGCTTCCATATTTTTAAGCAAATTTTGATGATTTTGACTGCATATTTGCATGTGTATCCAATCATTTTTAGTGCAACAAGTCCCGAGCCCTACTAATTACTAGTTTATTTAATTTGAAATATGTATTTATATACCATGTACTTTTTAGATCCAACAATCAAGTAAAACATATGAAAATATGTGAAAGATTAGAAGATGGGATTAGCAGCTTTTATTTATCAGAAAAACGTTTCTTTCCTAATTTAGTTGAATTAGTTAACTTTTATGAACGAAATAGTTTAAGTGAAAATTTTACTGGGTATGCACATGAAAATGGAAAAAATAAAACTATTAATAACAATTTTATTGTATTTTACTACTTCCTTTGTAGGTTAGATATTAAATTGAAATGGCCATTTTGTCGAATACTTGCTGTAGCCAAGTATAATTTTTCTCCTACTGAATCGAATCAGTTACCTTTAAAAGAAGGATGTACATTAAAAATTTTGAGTAAGGAAGGCGATCAAAAAGGATGGTGGAAAGGACAAATTGGGGACAAAGTAATAAACTTAATTATATTAATATTCTTATAAAACAAAAAATATATTAAATTAATTTCAGATTGGATTTTTTCCAAAAGTTTATGTACAAGAAATGGCAAATACACATTAAAAATCAATCCAAATTAGTACTTGATTCAGTTGTTACTAGTGCTTTAATTCGTTTACAACCAGAAGTAGAAAATAACTTTTGTGGATCTGGACCAAATGGAATTATCTGTAATATTTCACTGAAAAAATAAATGAAAAATAATATTATATAATATTGTTTTTATAAACAAAGTTCATTTTTAACAAATAATTTTACTATTTGTTGCGAATATCCAAAACATAATTATTTATTTATATACAGAGTGCCCCACTAAGATATACACATTATATTATCTTCGGAGATAATAAAAATAATCAAATTCTGTTTTTTTATATTACTTGCAGGGATAAGGTCTATAAATATTTATGTTGAAATTAATTTTTTTTGTTTCAATGAAAAACAAGAAAAGAAATGTATATTCAATTAGTCGTAATAATAATAAACAATTAGCGAATACGATTACAGCATGCTGCATAATTATAAGTACTTTGATACTTTGAACTTTAAAAAATTATTAAAAACCACAAATTTAATAAGTCAACTTCAAATTTTTCAAAAATAATACAGTAATTTTTTACTAAAACATAAGAAATTAATTGCAATATAAATATGTTTAGTCCTTATCCCAATGAGTAATATAAAAACCTAGAATTTGATTATCTTTATTATCTCTGGAGATATTACAATAAGTATATCTTAATGGGACACCTTGTAAATAAAATTATATATTTTAATTGTGGGGGCTGTATTTTCTAAATTTCATTTGGTGTTTAAAATTTTAAAAATAATAAAGACATAAGAGAACTAATGTAAAAAAAAAGTATCTAAATCTAAAGTTTAAAATGTTTAATATGTACTAAACACCCCAATAGTTGGTACCCATGAATATAACACAATTATTAAATTGAAAATTTATTAATATTGTTTACAATTTTATTATGGTTAGAGTAACAGTATTTTAATTTATTTAGTATTAACAGTATATTTAATTGTGTGAATAAATTATTCAACATATCAAAGTTAAGTTTATCATTAGTTATATTTATTATTTATATATTTTTTTTAACTTTTTTAGCTATAGTGTTCATAATTCTGTCATATTATGTAAATTATATATATATATATAGAAATATATTTTTAAATATTTAATTTATATATATATATTCAAAAAAATATAATTAATGTATATATTATATTATATTATAATAAGTAAATATTATGGAAAACTATAATCAAATAAACTATAAATAATCAATAAAATGTTGAAATATTATTTTTATGTATTATATATATGTATATATATATTACTTTTTCGTTTTAGAATCCAACTTTTGGTTTAAATTTCTCAATTCTGCGTCAATACATTGCATTACATGTGATTTTTCAAGTGGTAAAAATGGAATATAGTGATCAATAATATGAGAGTCTATTAATTGACTTTTCTTCAAACCACCTAATGGAAACAGATACTCATTATTAAAAATAATATATTTAAACATTTTACTAAACTTGATGATTTACATAATTTACAATAAAATATAAAAATAAATAATTAATTTAATATTCTAACATTATTAAGTAAGTATCAACTGTGATTTTTATTAATTTGTTTAGATTATATTGATATACCAAAAGGCTAAGATGTAAAACATTTTTCTATACCCATTATAAAATATTAAAATATACTTATATACATTATTATTTATAATAATTTACTGTGTAGGTATGTTGGTATGTTAATACATAAAAACCACTAATATTGTATCGTGTGAGATATATTAAAAGTTTAATATAAATGTGATGTATGTAAATATATATTTGAATTGTTTTTGTTTAATTATTTTAAAAGAACGTTAGAATTAATTTAAGTTTTACCAATTTCATTGAAAGCAGATTGTTGTAAAATCGAATCAAAATCGAAGACTTTCATTTGCTCTCGAGAATATCCTTTATCCCAAAGTTCTAAATATTTCTCGACAATAGCTTCACCTCCAGCATTAGTTAAAAATATAAAAATTGAATTCCTGTAATATAACCGCTACAATATAATCATATTTTATTTTTAAATACAGAGTAATTTTTTTATCATTAATCATAAATTTTCTCAGGATTATAAGTGAATTTTATTTGTTTTTTTTTTTTTTTAATTATTATGGAATTGTTTAAGCATTATTTTAAAATCAATTTTAATTTTTTACCATTACTCTATATACCTTAAGTAATTATTTACTTTTTTTAAACAGGAATCCCTCTTATTGAACACAGATTTGAGAAGATATTTTTTTTCTAGAAATATTGATATGCATAACACTAATATCAGATTTATCATTTATAAATAAGTTTAGAACAGAGAAATTGTGAAGAGTAATTGATTTATCATTTTAAAATAGATATGCAATTTATCCTGCACTTTCCTACTCTTATGGTCTAAACATTAAACTGTTGTAACTCATAAATGGGAAATCTGATATTAGTGTTATGCATATCAATATTTCTAGAAAAAAATTATCTACTCAAATCTGTGTTCAATAAAAGGGTTGAAAAACCTAGTTTTCTAGGTTTTTAGTTGAAAACCAAAAGTAAATAATTATTTAATCTATATGGAGTGGGGGTAAAAATAAAAAATTATTTTAAAGTAAACTAAAACAATTCTACAATGATTAAAAAATACAGAAATCAAATTCACTTCGAGAAAATTTCTCTGAAAAAATTCACCCTGCATATTAATACTTGTTTTGATTTCTATAAACAATATTACAATATTACATTTGTCTATTTTTAAGGTACAATTTCCAAGGAGTAAACAGGCATTGAAAGCTTAATTATTAGACACAATTGAGTCACTGTAACAAACTGTCATGTCGTGAGTTTTTGGCATTTTCAAAAGACAACAACTTAACATTTTAATATATATTCAAGTGTATTAGACATATTCAGTGCAGAAGTGTATTTTTTTGTTTTTGAAGTTGACTAATTTGTATTTAACTAATAAAAATGAAATTATTTTGCTTCCACTTAAAGAACAAAAGGAAGAAAACTTAAATTAAATTAAAAACTGTACCCACAAATGAAAAACCCTATATCTATCCAAACTAAATCTTAATATATATGTATATTTTTGATATCAGAGGTCAAAAAGTTCAAGATATATTTTAACAACTTTAAAAAGTCGTTTTTACTTTATTATTGTAAAATCTAATTTGGCCAAGTTTGTGGCGGCAACCGGTCATGAAACACTGTTCTTGGACTGGTGCGGGTACTGGTAGCAATGTAGAATTTTGATTAAGTCTTAGAAACTATACCTTTTTTTTAATTTTTAGAGCTAAAAATAATAAACTAATTATTTACCTAGAATCAATAGATAAATCATGATTTTCAAGAATTGGTATTAATATGTCCAATAAACCTATTGGTATATATTGCAGTTCATCAAAAACAAATATATTCGTTTTACAGGATTTAATAACCAACTTAATATGGTTATAAAGTTCTTCCTAAAATACAAACAAAAAGGATAATATATTTGAATAAATTAGTTTATTTTATTTTTTATTTTTTCTTAATCAGTTGGGTTAAGAACAAAAAGACAATTGAATTAACTGTTCACTTAAACCTGATCAATTAAGATTGAAACTCAAATATGGGCTGAAGTAGACATTTTAATTTATGTGGTTGGCTACCCAGGGAAAGAAACTAAAATTGACTGAAACTTAAAATAGTGACAATGTGTCATAGTATTCCTTAAAATATAAAACAATATTAACTTCTTTAGATAACTTAAAATAACTCAAAAATATACTTCCCAGACCAATAATATAAAATAAAATAAATACTTTTAAATAATAAAGTAAAAACAAAAATTAATAAAATGGTTAATACTCGTAAATAAATATATAAATAAAAAAAGTATGTATAAAAATAAAATAAAAAATGAATGAAAGCAACACTTGGAGTATTATGATAAATAGTATACATATATACATTTTTTTATTTATATATTTATTTACTATAAAAATCTTTTCTTCGTAAATTATAATTTTGTCACAAAGCTTTTTAGTTAATATTTGGTTAACAAACTTTATTTTCCTTCCTTCCTTTTTAATTCATCTGAATGTAGTACATACATAGGTGCAAATAAGGGGGCTAAACCTCCAATAAACTCAGCCAAATCTCTAAAAATCAAGTTCTTATCTAGTAAATACTAAGTATATATAATAAATTGTATGGAATATTTAGCTAACCCTTCCCCCCTAATTTATTAGGACTAATTGTGTCTATGAGTATGTATAAATAAATGTTGATAATTTTTTATTTTTTTTACTTGGAATAAGAAATATAAATAAATTATACATAAAAAAAAATTTACCGAATTATAATTTAATTTTGAAGACGAAATAAACTGAGATTGTCTATTAATTACATGATACCGTAATTTTTTCATTTTTTCATTAGTAAAAAAATGATTAGCAATTAATTCTGTGATAAAATTTTTACCACAGCCAGTCCAACCGTGAAAACTCATTACCAATGGTTTTTTATTATGAGTACTACGAATAAAATTGCCTTTTAAAGCGGATAATATAATTTTGGATGCAATATGTTGTCCAAAAAAATTCTCTTCTATGTCTCTTTGTAATTCTATATTAAAAATAAATAAAACATATAGTGTATTATTATATTTATTATGTATAAAAATAATAAGATAGATAAATAAAAAAAAAAACATTTAAGAAATAAGAGAATAATTAATGTTTAACATATATATTTTTTTTTGTATAGGTATATTAAGTTTAGTCTTAAAATCATTACCATATACCTAACTTATAATTAATATTTTAACAACAAAATATGTCTATGTATGCATCTGATAAATTTTGATTGTAATCTTTTTTAAAACTAATAATAATACTGAAAATATAAATAGTAATTAATAACTGGAAAAGTATTTAAAAACTAAACACATAACTATCATATCATTAAATGAATCTTTCTTGTTTGTAATGTATTAAAACATTTAAAATGTAAATGAGATAATGTATAGTTTTAAAATTAATGTCTTACCATAAAATTGGATATTTTCAGTAGGGCAATTATTAATATTTAGAAATGAATAGTTTGTTTTTGTTAGAAAGTATCCTAAAGCGAAGGACCCTAAAGCAAAAGCTCCAGTAATTGGATCTATTATTCCAAATACGGTGGTGGATTTAAAAAAAATCAAACCACTATATAATAACAAACATTTGGTATATAACATGATAAAAATTAATGATTCTATGTAAATTTACAAACTTGTTACGCGTGAATAGATGTTTTATTAAAAGAACAGTAAATAGAAACTGGAAAAAATTTGAATTATAAATTTATATTATCAGGACAACAACCGGCGTATCATTAAAGGACGCTATAATATGCCTATATCACAGAATAGATTAAATACAGGCTATACAGTTGTTGTATTGTAAATACACCTACACCAAGTGGAACGAATACAACGCTCGATAGATGGCGATGCGTGCCGTATGGCCGTCACGGTAGGCACCCCGGTACCCGCAACCACACCCAATGACAATTACCACGTTACTGTCGCTGTGACTGTTGCATAGGTGTATATGGACATTACAGTGTTCTATAGTGTTCACGGTTGTATAAAATATTATTAATGATGATAAACTATTTTATATGCTGTGAGTTTTAATTTTCGTGCGTATTTTATTGTCTCATAAACGGCCATGTTGTACACATCGCATCAACATAATAATATTATATCGCCGTCGTCGCACCACCGTCGTATTTAAGAACTAATTACTATTTTAAGCTACTGTTGATTTTTACATAATATGTATAAATAAACAGATTATAAAATGTATTTTTTATCAATTGTTTCAATAGCATGATTACTGTTTGTAAACTAAAGATGAATATAATATAGGTACCCATGGACTTCCCAACAATGAACAGTTAAAACTTCATAATGCACCTACCTGATTTATCTGGTGACAACATTTTGTTTGCTTAGGTACCTAAAACAATAAAAAAAAAAGTATGATATATTAAGTTACATGATTTATATCCGTATTCAACAATAAACCATTGTTAACGAAAACCGATTCTGAGCAAAGTTCTGTTGTAGGTATATGTTTAAATTTTAAAGTGCAGTGGTATTTACGATATTTCAATCAACATTTATAAATACTTTTAGAAAGAAAAAAAAATGACTTGCGCTCGATTTTTTTACCATCAAATACAACTTACGATGAACCTCATGTACAATTTTCAAACAAATTGGTACTTATTGCTAAAGTATTTTAACTTTGAACGCGTATAAATTAAATTACTTATTTACGTTCAACTTTTGTTTGACTACTAAGTATCAATAACTTATGATGAACCTCGAGTAACATTATCAAGCATTTTTTTTTTTTTTCAAAATTTGTGTTTTCGCATGTACATTAAAAGTCTAAAAAACAAGTTCGACGAACTTCGTTTGGGAGTTATCGGGAAAAACTTCATGAAATTCGGGTTTTCTGTTTCACGTATTTCTTAGTGAGAATTTAACATTTTCATATTTCCCCCCCTCCAAAAAAAAAAAAAATGCATTTTTTAACGCTTAATCCATTCGTATAATCAAAACTTGCTTATCGTACTTACTATATAGTTATTATACATACAACTTGAAAAGAGAATTTTTGGAATTAATCCAACATGTGGTCAAAAATAGCTATTTATTTTATTATTATTATTTGTAGTTGTTGATACTTTGATAACAAAGTTTTTTATTGAAGTCAGAATAAGTCTATCTGGCTTAGTTTTAGAGTTACAAACGTTCAAACGTGCCGTGTTTTGCTGCGCTCACTCAGACAATTTTAATCGAAAAGAACTCTGGATTTGTTTTTGCAAAATTAAATTTATACCTATTACCTATAAGTCTTAGATACCAGCGTAAACTTATCAATGTATAAAGATTATTAGTCTATAATTAGTTTATTTACATTATTTAAATTATAATTCAAACCTTAATGCTTTAAGTTGTTACTGTCGTTATTGTTACCTATAGTTCCACCTATAATACTTTTTCACTTTTCACTATTACCTGTCCGACGTGGTTTTGAACAACAAGTCGAGGGTTATTTTCAATTAACATTTTCCAAATGAGCGCAGCGAAACAAGGCGAGTTTGAACGTTTGTAACTTTAAAACTAAGCCAAATAGACTTATTCTGACTTCCATCAAAACAAATTTTGTTATCAAAATATCAATAACTGCCAATAATAATAATAATAAAAAATGTCTATTTTTGATCACATTTTGGATTAATTTCAAAAATGTTCTTTTTCAAGTTTTTTGTACAATAACTATAAAAGTAAGTATAATAAGTAAGTTTTGATTATACCAATGCATTAAGCGTTAAAAAACACACATTTGAAAAAAAAAATGTTAAATGTTAAATTCTCAATAAGAAATACGCAAAACGGAAAATCCAAACTTCGTGAAGTTTTCCTCAATAATTTCCAAACGAAGTTCGTTCGATTTGTTTTTGTAGATTATTAATGTGCAGGCAAAGACGCATTTATTTTGAGAAAAAAGAAAATTGAAAAACGAGCTTGGGTCGTAAACTAGATTTGTTCCGCATTTTATTTAGCTGCAATATTTTAGAAAAAAAGCCAAGTAATGGTGAAATACCTAATCTCTTCTTTAAATTTCGTAGCCTGTGTTAGAAAAACTAATTTCAACCTCAACACTGCTGTTTATATTAATACGTAATGTTGATATGTTACTTGTTTGCTAATTTATTTATTAAAAGCGTGCAAGGCACCAATACATTAAAAACACATAGGTACGCATAGCAAGATTCCAGGACACCTGGTGTTCATTCCACCACGCCGGCCGCGAGGTGACATCATGAATGAAACCCCAGACCAGCGGGTCTTAGCCGGGTCGTGAAAAGGCAGAGCCTCAACCTAGGCTAAACTTGCCAGGGGATGTTGATGGACGACAGTCCACTCATCTCCCTAAGATTAATTTATGAACTTATGATTATATTAGCCTCCTCCCTAGGGGAAGGCGTAAATTGTACGTTTGTTGCAAGCTAATTCATACTTTATTTAATAAACGATACCAGAAGTAAGTGAAGTATTGAGTTAAATAGATCCCTTACTACTGCTGTTGGTTATACTTGAAAAAGTATAGCAAGATGATAACAAAAAAAAAACAACAACACAAATATGATTAATTTAAAGTTTGATAAATAACATAAAATAGTTAGATAGTAATGCGAGTATTGAGCTTTTACAGTTTTATGTCGTGTAATGAAAAAACCGAGTTGTTTGTTAACACTATAATGCTATGCTACATAATATGGATAATAGTTTATCTATTCGACTAGCTAAATTTTATTATAAAGTATTGAAGTAAGTTAGTCAAAAATACATGTGATCGCATAATCTAAGGCCATGGTATATAGTAGATGTATTCATATTATAATGTTCCTAATTGTAAAATAACAACGATCAATAAAGATATTTTTTTAAAAGCCGCGAATAAAATGGGTGTACCAGTGTATCCGTATCAATTTAACCTTATCAATCTGTTCAGTGTGTTCAACGGAGCAGTTGTTAATTAATGAATTTTTATCAACTAATTTTTGTACTGCCGAATTCTTGTAATTTAAAAAAAAAAAACTTCGTAAAGAATAAGACATTTTTAACTTTTAAGTATCATTTGTGCAAAATGTCGTGATTTCAAATCTGTGTACTCCCTGCAAAAATGAAATGGCGACTAATTTTGACTGTGTTGTTCGCAATCTTTCTGGTAGTAGAACTCACTACCCAAGATCCGTATGCCGTTCTCGGCATATCAAAGACCGCATCTTTAGCCGAAATAAAAAATTCCTATAGAAGCTTGGTGAAGATATGGTATACTTCAATAAATATTCAATACTTTTATGGTAATTTTAAATTCTATTCAATTTTTCTGTTTGTTTTAGGCATCCGGATAAGAGTAATCATCCAGAAGCCGCCACTAAATTCATTGAAATTACAATAGCTTATGAAGTAAATAATTTGTCACATACATTTCATTCAAAATTAAAATATTGTATATGACGTGTATGTGTTCATTTGTTAGGCATTGACCAAAAAATACAAGCCAGAGAATTATGATGCACCCACCAATAGTTTCAACAATCATAATTATAATCATTTTTTTGATTTTGACATGGACAACTTTTTTGATAGCTTGCATCATCAAATGAATTTAGATTTCTTTAGGAAATTACAAATAAATTTTGAGTAAGTTAATTTGTAAATCATTTATTTCTAATGAGAGTGCATAATTTTATTTTTATTCCTACAGTGAATTTAATACAATACTGTCAACAAAGAAAAGTGATAAGCTTACTCTAGTACTGTTTTATTCTGAATATTCTATGACTTTTCTTAAAGGACAATCTATTCTTAAAAATATTATTGAAGATATTGTGCCATTAGGTATTTTCGTCTTAAGTTTATAAAGTTGTCTATAATAAAACAAATTGTGCTAAACTAACCTAATTTTCAGGTGTTGATTTTAAAACAATGAATAAAGACATGGAACCTTCAGCATTTTGGAGAGCTAATGGAGTTTTTGTTCCTCATTTAGTATCAATTTTGGATTCAAATCTCATAGTTTATAAGGAAGCCTTTCATAATGTTGACAGTGTCATAGGTAAATACTTTTAACAAAATATCCCTACATAATATATTTTGATAACATTTGTTATTTAGAGTTTGTACGGAACAGTTTGCCAGACAATCTTGTACCAGAGTACACTGATCTTAATGTCGATCAATTTTTAAATTCATGGTCAGCTGACAATTGTGTACGAGCATTAGTTATGCAACCTGAATCACCATTAAGAGTACGTTATGCTTTAATTGCAATCGAGTATCGAAATCATATTAATTTTGGGTAATATTTTTATTAATTTTACAACAAAATATAAATTCTTCCATGTGTAATTTTTATGATTTTAATTCAATGATTATTTGTTATTTTAGATTTATTAATATTGGACTTTATGAATGTCAGTCAACACGAGACCGGTATAAAGTACCGCATGATAAAGATACTCTTTTGATATTGAAAGAAAATGTTAGACATCCAGCTGCACACTTGTCAATGTCTTACTTACCAATATTTGGTTTACGTGGAATAATGGAAACTAATAAATATTTAACATTACCCAGGCTATCTTCACAAGATGTATTTGATACGCTTTGTCCAGTGGGTCAGAAACATTTTTGTCTTGTATTGGTTTCACACAACTCTCCTAATCATGATGCTCATCGGAAATCTATCCGACGCTTTGCCCTAGAAGCACATTCAATTTATCCAGATGTGCGAATAACCTTCTTGTATGTGTTCAGAGAAAGGCAGCCACACTTTGTAAATTCTTTAATACAGGGCAAAGAAAGTCCAAGTGAACCAATGCTTCATATAGTACTATTGACTAGGCTCAATAAAATCATGGTCAGCTATAAATGGCTTTTGGGAGATGATTATAACGATTGGGCGAATTATGATCAGACTAAAGTAATATAAACTTCAACTGCTTTATTAGATTTTTTTTTTTATGGTATTCTGTTTATTAGGAAAGATTAACTGGAGTATTAAACTCGTTGCTTGATAGTGAAGCAGCATGGTCACTAAATAATAAAGTTCATATTGGTGTTGTGTTAGATGAACATAGTCAAAGTTTATTATCACGCATTGGTGCTAGAGCTCAACAACACCTTATTAATTTATTTTACACTATGGTCAATATTTTCATAAACAATGGGATATTTTTGTTGTATACTGTGTTCTTAATGATTGGAGTTGTGTTGATTATGTATTTTTTTTATTCTCTACTGTATGTTTAAAAATATTTTCTTTTATAATAGCATTATTATTAATTTATTTTAAATTTTATAGAGAAGATGAGATAAAAGAAATTAAAGTAGAACCAAAAAAACCAAAATCATCATCCCAATTACAAAGACATCGTGAACTTAAACTTCATGAACTAAGAGCTGAAACTTATAATGGACTGGTTCGCCTCATAAAACCTGGTTGTCGCACCATAATACTACTGATAGACAATAATACTGCTGTTTTGCTTGCCCAACAGTTTTACCACATTATGTGGCCATTTAGAAAGTAATGTGTCACCATTATTCATTACAATAATCAATATAAGATTTTTTTTTACTAATTTTGGTATATAATATGATTGATGACTCTGTTTAAGGAATAAGTCATTATTGTTTGGGTACTTAAACCTTGATCGTACTCCATCAAGAGATTGGTATTGTAATTTATTGTCACTTAGCCTTACAGATACAAACAAAAGCATACATATAAATACCCGAAACTGTGTGGGTACAGTATTGTCTTTGTGTTCACTGAAAAAATATTATTGCATGTATCATGCTAAGCATCCTGAATCTTCAAGATATGTAAGTAAATATAACTTTTTATTTTTAAGAAGATAATGACATTTGTGTATGCACAATTTATTTTGTCTGTGCCATGAACATTGTTCCCATATAGTTGTCAGTTTTAATAACGGGAAATATCACCTAGTCACAGGATGAAATCAATTTAATACAATAAAGTATACTTGTGTAATACCAATAAACAATATAGAATAGACAATCAATCAGCTGATCGACTTTTGTTTACTTGTGATCTGAAGTCTGAATTAATAATAAATGTTTGTTTCCCCTCGAGGTCAACCATTTATTTAACACAGGAAGATGGAGTGTTCATAGCCTGGTAATACTGTGCTAATATTTAATTAGTCTGGGACAAATTTAACAAACAAAACTAGATTTTTTGAGTACCTTCAAACAGAGAGAGCTTGGCTTTTTCAAACTACTAGTACCACATTTAGCTATTAAAGATAGTGTAAATGAGGTTATTATTTTGTCTACAAAAACCAGTCAGGAGAATTGTTTACAATTTAATAGTTTTATTAAATGTTTTAAGATAAAATTTGATTTAATAATTTTATTGACAAACAATCAGCAATTAAGGAGTGAATATTTAAGAGGTAAGACAGAGTGGTATGGTGGCACCAAAAAAAAAGTGACAGTTCAAAAACAAAGAAAATATAACTATGAAATTAGTTTGGGTGTTTGAAGAAAATGTATGGTCAAGCAAATTTTGAAACCGAGTACTAGTGGCCTGAGGCGGGGTTAGGATTTTTTTTCTGGGTGGGTTACTGATTTATAGTGAGGGCCAAAAGTGTAAGGCGTTACCTATTGCCTATAAAATAGTTACAATAAATTACAGGTTATTACAAAAAAGTTAAATATATATATTTTTGGACCTGGATATTTAAAAATGTAATATAAAAACAAAAATCTAATTATGGAAGTTTTAAGAATATTTTCTTGTACTGACTTATTGTCTAGTGATAAATAATATAAGAAAGATAGAACCAAAAGTTATGCTAAAGTAGCAAATCATCAGCTAAATTTATAAATTGCTGTTTACAATCCTACATTGGTGGATATTTATTTCATGTCTTAGAAAATTTCAGTGGTTGAGATGTTTTCCTTGTTCAATTGAAAAGAGCCCACCAAAAAAAAAAAAAATATTAACGTCAGCAATCAAATTTTTAAACTAGTTTGCGGCTATAATAATATTAATAGAACCATTTTAAGAGGTATATCTTATTATTTTTTCAAATAATGTCTGTCTGATGGTATGGTAGGTATATTTTTTTGTAAAATAATATTTCTATTGTGTAGGTATGGTTTCAGTATTATGAATTCGTACAGATGGGCTGGGATGATTTTAGGCAGGGTCATAACTTACCTTGGCAACGCCACTAGAGATGGTTAAACTCTATGTTGAGAACCATTATGACCAAATAATATGTGTATTAAATAATGTACATATTTTATAAATGTCTATAATTAAAATTATGTTTGTTAATTGAAATTGAATACTCTTACTCATTTTTTATTAATTTAAAATATACTTTACATTAATCTTTTTTGTATAAATAACGAGTGATGTATTTAAAAGCCGGTTTAAATTTAATGTAAAATGTAAATTCTTTTATATGCAATTTTTTATTTACTAATTGCATGTTTTTAATTTAATACTTTTTATCATTTTACAAAACTTGTGCTATTAGTCGTAAACTCATATATATATATAATGTATAATTCAATATCATACAATTATTAATGAAACAAATTAATGTTAGGAAGACAATAAGATATGGTAATTGTAAATTGAGGAGACCTAACCTGCAAAGAAAAGCACAATTCAACATTAGAAGCACTCTATGGAGTAATGATTAAAATTAAACAAAATATTACTATCAGTGGTTGAAAATCATTATTTTCAATTTATTGTGCTAATATTATTGCCATATTTTTCCAAAAAGAATTTCCCTAGTTCTTTACACGAGGGACTTTTTTAATTAAAAATTGGAAATTTTGTTATCTCCAGTTTTTGATTAGGTACTAACAATTTTATTACATTTGACATCTGATATAAGAAAAATAAATGCTTACATTATTATAAAAACTAAAATAGTATAACTATTATTTTTATTTAGTATTTCATTAAATTCACAATTATATTTATGGTAAAATATAGCTGTTTTTCTATGTAAAATGTAGTGTTCATGAATTATATCTAAAGCTGCACATTACTCATATTGCTACAAAAAAGATAGTGTCGCTAAAAATAAAGCACTGCTTCCAATCACTGATAATACTGCGTTGGGCTATATGCATAAGCATCAATTATTTGATTGCTACCATTAGGTGGTGGAAAAACTAGTCTTCACATTTGTGACAAATATATAATTTCTGTAGTCTCTAACAGTGATGTTAATTTTTATTCAAGAATGCAATAGTATAATTTTGTTTACAGAAAAATGACAAATGTAGAAGAATTGGTACAAAGCCGCCAAAGAATGGTGTAGAATTTTGGGGTTTTAATGAAGACCACGAAGATAACAGTTTTGACGAAGACGAAGAAAATACTGCGGGTTTTAAACCAATTTTAAAGGTGAAAAAAAAAATTGGAGAATACCAAACATTAATTTAGTAAAATATCCGTAATATAATCCAAATGGTTTAATGTGTATAGGATAAAGAAGAAGATATCCGAACCGAACAATTATTAGACGGATTACCAATGTGGCTCGATAGACTATTTGAAGGCAGTACAACAAGATATCATATAAATTACTGGCCTGATTTTAAAGTGTAAAAACAAAATTTGTTTTTATTAATCACCCAAAATTTCAGTTTTGTATCAATTGTTTTACTATATTATTCTAGTCAAAAATGCATTCAATGACATAATGGTTATAATGTTGCTCGCTTTTTTTAAGTTTAAGCTTATTGGTTGTTTTTCCTTTTTTTCCCTTTGTATTATATTACTGTGGTTTTTTATATTTGTCAATTTTCAAAACCACTAAGTATTAAATTATTGACTTTGTTTTTAATTATTAAAAAGATTAAATATTTCATATATTTGTCAGCAACAACAGTCCCTTTTATTTTCACAAAATATATAATAAAGTAAAAAGAGACAAGATGATTATTTCTTGAAACCACATCCACGCCTCCTACCACGAGCACGTTCAAACTTACGTCCCTTAGAACGTACGTATGGTTTTGAATGACTGTGCGGCACACCAGGAGCTGGACCGAAATGTCTACATGCTTCTCGAGCCTTGCGTTTTCCTAAAAAAAAAATTGACAAAACTTAGAAGGGAAGAACTTTTATATTTGAATGTGTGATATTTCATTTTTATTCTGCTTAAAATTAAAAAAAACAAAATATATAGATAAGTTTTTCGAAGACCGAAAAATGGATTCTGTAAGAGCAATTCATACATTATTTTTTGAATCTTTAACAATTTGTATTTAGTGGTAAAATGAAAGTAAAATATATTTTTTTAAATGTATAAGTTAAAAATTTGATGAAAATGGTAAAAACAAAGCATTTTAAAATTAGTACAAAATATAAACACTGGTGGTACAAGTTTGGAAAAATATTTATTTGCAAAGTGCATAGTTAGGGCAATATAAATTAAGATATCCTATCATATTTTTCATTTTGAAATCTCTTAGTGATATTTGCTTCTGCAAAACAAGAATTTCCCAACTTTAAATTAATGAAAATAATTTGATTCACATTTGTAATCATTAGCATCATTTGCAACTCCTAAGCTTAGAAAATGTTTATTGATGAGTGCAGTTATAAATTAAATAACCATACACAAATATATATGATAATTTAATTTCTAATTCTACTAATTCTCCACCTTAATGCCTAACTCGTCTATCCAGTAACCTATGTGAGGCACACAGGAGACAATGTAAGTACTGGTTTTTAAATGTTTAAAGCAAATAAGTTGGTTCAATTAATATTAATTAGTAAATAAATAAAGGTAAATATTTTTGTAACAGATTATTAAAATTCAGGTAAGTTAAATATTGTAATTGTATAACTTTACAGTAAAAAAAAAATTTGATTATAGGCTAATTCTCGAAAAAAGCATAGTTCATATGTGGGTGGTCAATGTTGTAGGTGTTAAAGTGGGAAGGTAAAGAAGGAATTAATGTAAATCAGTAAGCCATTAGCTTACTAACTAAAAACGATTTTGAGCAGAGTTTGGTTAATAATGTAGGATTTATCAATAATAAGTATGTCGTAGGCATATAGTCAAATAGTTTAATTTGTATAAGAATTTACTATCCGCCTAGACATTTAGTTAAAAGCCTAAAAGTTTAACTAAATACAAGGTGAGGCAAATAATTAAAATAAAACGTTTTTATACTATTTTAAAAACTTAACTATATTTTCTTATTAATATTATTTAATCCAACAAATAAAAATAAAGTTCCATAGGTGTTTGAATTATACCTTTGAAAAGTAATACATTTTATACATATCGAATACTGTATAAATTAAATTCAAATAATGGTTTAGAAGATAACAGAGTACCCAAAGATCAGTCCGGTCAATGTTTGTATTTAAAATATATTTTTTTAAATGTTCCAGTACATGCCATCAAACAATAACATATTATTTACATTATATTATGTGTATTAACTAAAAACTTGAACATTTGATATTATAATATAAATTTTTATTAATTTATAATTTAGGAAAGTTTTAATACAATAATACCTTAGGACACAAAATTAAAAATATTTCTTATACCAATGTATTGTATGTATTAATAAATTATACATAATTTTTGTATAGAATGGCAATAAAAAATAAGAAAATAGTTTAGTTTTTGTCAGACTTGAAATGAGCATTTAACTAGATGTATAATAAAATGTTATACAAATTAAACAATCTCAATATTCGCCTAGGCATTAAGTAAAATGCCCGATTTAATTTTATGTTATGGTAAAATAAATAACAAATGCATTAAATATTTTCTTTAATATTGTAATTATTTTTCATTTATTATAAAAACAGCCGAGAAAATAAAAAAATAACCATCCAAAAGAGTACCACCCCAGTCAGATTTCTATTCAGAAAAAGTAATAAACTTGTAAATCGGAGCAAAATTTCTAATAGAAGTTTTTCATAAATAAAAAAATAAATATTATCAATCTAATTATAGATGAACAGGTAATTCATATCCTGCTGTAGGCGCATGGCATACTATCAATTATCATTAATTGGAAATCTTGATAGTTATATAGAGATAAATATTGGGTAACAGGTCCCTACTTATACTTTCATATTAGGTACCAATGCAAATTTTTGATAAATTGTGATCTTTTCTTCGGTTATTTTATTGATTTTTTAATTGTTATCAATCAAATAATTTGTTTATTTTATTTAAAACTGAAACAATAAATTATAAAAGTAAACTGCTGGGTTAAGTGGCTACACTTGATATTTTGAAAGGCATTATTTTTTTATGTTTAGTGAGAGGAAGAGTAGTGGAGTATAATTTGTGTGGTAAACTATAATAAGGTGACAAAGAATATAAATGTAACATTTAGAATTTTTTTTTTTTTGGAAAATCAATAATTTTTGAAATATCAAATATAGTCAAATGAATAGATTGCCTTGTATTATCAAGCATGGACACTAATACATTAAATTAAAGTTAATTCTATAAATGCATGAAGCAATTTGTGTAACATGATAAAGGAGTATGAGGTATAATAGCAAGATTAATTTTTATTTTTAAATTGGATCTCTTTATTAATTAACTCATTTCCTATAACATTGAAATTTAGCTGTAGGAAGTTTGAATAAATATCTGTAAAATGCAGAGGGTAAATCACCAACAGAAATCGTTGTATAAATGTAAGATACTCTTACAGGAAATCTTTTGTGATCTTATTGGAAATTTTGGTAATCGTTGGGAAAATTGTGATTTTGATGTACTATTTATTTGTGATTTACCCTCTGGTATAATATATTAGTTTAGTATTCTAACTTCGGGGTTTTCAATCAAACTTATTATTTTTTTAAAACAGTTTACCTAGATAAATAATAATTTAAATAAATTGCTTTATTAAATTATGACCTTATACATTTTTCGGGGTTTTTATCCACTATTACAAAGTTTATAGACCAAATAAAAAAAAGAAAAGAAAAAGGCTAAAGAAACTTGATTTAACTTCTACAACCAAGATATTTAGATTGTCAACAAAAATTAAATTTTATCTGAATTCAGTTAAAAAAAAATGTAACCTTATACAGCCTTGGTATAATATTTATACCTACAAATTTTAAAAAACGTATGGACAACAGAATTAACAAATGGAAATAATACAATTTTATCACATTGCGCGGATAAAGACAAAAGTATAATCAATTGAAAAAGTACTCACCTTGTAACAAAACCGTATTTTTGCCTGTTGGTGCTTTTAATGCAAGTTGATCAAAAGTGAGGATTTCTCCACCAGCTTTTAAGATGCGAGCTCTAGCTCCAGCAGTTACACGTAATGCACAAATCTGTGGTACAATATACATTGTTATTAATAACAGTCAATAGCATAAAAAAAGTCAAACTAACAGTTAGTTTAGGACAAGTAAACAATCTCTTGTCATCGACGACGGTTCCAACAACAACAACAATACGTGTTTTCTTATTGGCAACTCTATTCATGTATCTGGCAATGGCGCTCATCGATATCGCTGGACGATTGATGCGAGACATAAACAGACGTTTCAATATGATTTTATTGAAATGAGACCTGGTACGACGAGCTAAATAACGATATAACTGAAAGATGAACGATAATGCAATAATTAATAATTCTTATTACTTATAATAGTAAATATTATTTTGATCTTTTTACATAATACTTCCTTACTGCTGCCATATAAGAATAGGCAATAGCAGACTAAACGAACCAAAACCTGCCGTACGTACCTTTACCAACAGCAAAAGATAGACATCTTTGGACTTTGGTGCAGTCCGTTTGGCTTTATGCCCTCTTCTATGATCGATGTCGATACCCTGAGGAACAAAATAATCATATGTAATATGTATGTTAGTTGAACACAAACGTGGATTAAAACGGATAAAAACTCACCATTCTGTTGATTCACTGTGTCCGTACGAGATGAAAACGTTCAAGAAAGACACACAGCCGTCTACGCGAGAGGCCGATAAACATTAAACAGTGGTGTGCAGTGTAGCCAACGAGTGCGCAATATATTTTTCTGGTTAGATATGATAACGTACATTAAAGTAGTGACATTGTTTTATGTGTTTGCCGCCAAAAGATAACATGTTTATTTATTTGTAAAAAAAATATATTAACTATTCTATTGGTATCTACTATTGCTAACGAAAAAACGATTCTGAACAGATAATTTGTCGTATATTTTTGTCGATAGTGATGTTTTGTCAACAATATATATATATATATATGTATAATATGTCATATTATAGTAAAACAATTAAATAGGCTTTACATATTTCATTAATAATATTTATTTAATATTGTACTGATTTTCGCGGTTTTCCCATATTTTCTAGAGCTTCTTTAACCTTTCTTCTCCAATTGTGCTTCGTAAATATGTTTTAATTTTTTTGAGTGTTGAAAAACATCTTTCGGCTTCAGATGATGTCATAGGAGTTGTTATTAATATTTTTAATAATGTAAAAACTTCATTAAAAGTTTCATTAATATAATTTTCTATTATATATTACTATAATTATTCTATTATATTTAAGCGAAATTATTACTCCATTCAAAATTCGAAAGTCATTTCGAGAATACAAAACTTCAAGCTCAGTTTTTAATCTTTTTGTGTCGAAGAACGGGTAGAATTAAATTATTGATTTAAAATATTGAAGTGGAAATATTTTAGAATATTCTAAATATTTCACAGCTTTAAATAAGTTAGCGGGGGTTAAATGTTCGGTAAATTCTAAACGATCTTTAGGTTTGACAATTAATATATCACAGACTTCAATAACTGAACTTTTTCGAGATATATTAATATCTTCATCTAATTGTAAACATAGTTTTTTATTATTTAAAATGGGCATATTCGAAGCTTGAACAATAATATCTGTTTTATTATTACGAATTTTGGTTATTTATTTTATATATTTTTCAACTGAATTATTTATTTGTACTGGGTCAGTATTTACAGCTTGAACATTAATATATAAACAGTCTATATTTGGCATTATTTTATGAAAAATAGTTTGCCGGAAAAAAAATACCGAGTCGCTTAACAAACGTTTTATTGATCCTGCCTGATTAATTGTTAATGTTTGTTGGGATAATTTTATTAATTTGTCCATGCACTTTTTTATTTCATTTCTATACTCATAAACAGTATTAACTGTACGAATATCGAAATGACCCAAATGAGTTACTCCTGTTGTAGTCCAAGAAATGTCACCACCAAAACATATGCAAGGAAAACAAAAAAGGGCGAGTTTCATGTCACAGCCACAAAACTACTTGCGTTTTGCATAATAATCTATATTAGAGTGACTAGTGTGTTCACTTTTACCTTTTTTTGCTCTATTGATCAATCTTTTTAAATCTGGCGTTTGTCTTCGGAGTTGTTTAATTTCAATTTTCTGGTCATATGTAAATAAACAAAAACGGTTTGTCATTGAATTTGTATCAATAATAATATAGCCGTACACTCAAATAATAATAAAACGAATATAATTTAATGTATAAATATTTAATTATATAATACGCGTCATAGACTCACGAACAGTAAAATATACTAAAAATTTTAAATTGTTATGAATGGTATTAGGCATGCATGTGGGGCACTCGTGTCGCTCGGGCGCCGAGCGTTATGGCCAAATCCTAATGACAGATAAGATAAAATTGTGGGTATCTACTGATTCCATACTCGATAACCACGCATGTGGGTATTACCCATTTCGACTATATTGTTATGGACTACATGATATATTTTAAAATTCCGATTATCTAATGACGTTTTCATAGTAATGGAAAACAGTTTTTACTTTCATTAATAATATTATACGAGATAATTGTTAATATTTAAATCAATATTCCACTTTTTAATAAGCAATTTGTTACAATTTAAGCAGGGGGTGACCACCCCGTCGCTCCTACACACGAGCCGCCACTGTGAATTGGAGCCAAATTGCTGTTAGAAAAGTTTTTCACAGGAAAAAAGAAGGCCGTAATATATTTTTACTAATACCTATATTTCATATATTTTCCCGATTTTTTTCGGTGTTTCAAATTTGATAAGAAAACTCACGAGAAAATCGAAAAATTACCTCCCTAAAGTACCATCCCAGTTGAATTTTCTTTTAGAAAAATTACACTATATAAGTGCTAATATTATAACAATTATCGTAAATGGAAAAAACGAATAGTACACGGAATCAACGTGACTATATCATGATATAATCAGTTATATTATGAGAACAGGCAGTTCAATCAGGGGCTTCATTTCAGTATTTTTTTGGGGTGTGCGAGATATCAAACAGACCAGGTCACAGAAACATATACATATATAGGTATTAGGTACCTATGTATATATCATCCTGCTTTTAACTGTTTCAATAGATTATTAATCGCAATAAACATAAATAGTAAAAAGCTATTAAAAGTCCAAAAAATTATAAATAATCGATACTTTGCCTGTAAAAACCAATGATTAATAAATACAAATATGAAATATTGAAGTTGAGAAATGCTGTACAAATAAAATAAGAAAAGCACACAATATGCGTATATTGTTATGTGTAACTTTTGCACAAGTAAACGTTCCAAAACAAACAAATCAATTATATTTATGTATAAGATAATATAGGTACTGGCGATTTTTATGTACAGCAAATACATCTACAGTTTTTTCTAAATCGATATTATTTATTTTTTCTTTTTCAACGCTCTGTCGCGACGCGTCGTGTAATTTTTTCGTAATCACCGTTGGTTGTATCTGAGTTTTGTGCGATTTGTCACGTCGAAATATTTCAATGTTTTCTGTTCGGGGGAACCATGAATACCACGTTCACGGCCATCATGTTATTTTGTTATACCTATAGGGCCATAGACATATTGATACAATATGGCCTGCGCTTAAAGAGAGGGGAGGGGAAAGCCGACATTGATTGAGAGAAATACATTTTATATTTTAATATTTAACATAGAATATATTGTTATCAATTAGTTATATTATATATTATCTGCATGGATAAAAAATTGTTTAAATATTCTTTCTTCCAATATTCCCCTTTGATATATCGTTCCCTTTTACACATTATCAGTGAAAACCATTGGCTGGAGATGAGGAAAGTACAATTAATTTGTTAATATATCTAGTATGGTTATACCGTAGCGTTTTCATACTCGATTAAATCCTGTCACAATGTTATAGTGATTGACGTTGCTGTATTCGATTGAATAATTTTACTATAACCAGGAATATCTTGCATACGTTCATAAATATGTTTCTTATCGTTTGACTAATCGAATGTCAAATCCAAAAGAAATATATATACCTTTGCATTATAACATAGGTACATTGCACATATTTTCTACGCGCGTAATAGGTTTACTATTATTCTTGTAAAATATTGCAAAAAATGCCTATCATTATTTTAAAAATATAAACTAACATGGTTGTTACTTTTGTGTTTGACAATATTTTTGAAAAAAATCTTTCGAGGTGCATATTTTATACCACACATCATAAAATGAAAGAATGAAACATGGTGGTGCATGCAATTATAATAATTCCTTTAGATATTATATTTCTAACTTTGTTATTATCTTTATACGCTATTCTATGATAAAATAATAAGAGAATAGTGAATATGAAAAAGTTATAAGTTTGTATTTACTAAAATTTTAAAATGATATTGTTTTCAGTTTTAAATAAGACATGAAAGGGTGTCATTACAAAATGTTTTAGGTGCCTATATACTTACCAGTTATAGCCTGATATAATATTTTACCATGTCAGTTATTAAATATACCGGCATAGGTTTTTAATTTTATAATAATTTTTGTACGTTGTGGAATTTATCATTTCATATTAAAGGGGTGCGAAGTCAGCCGCGGGTTACTTTAATATTTAATGGAAAGGATGTTTCTAAGTTATAACTGTGATGTCCATCCTACATATTTTCGACAACTACGATGAAATAAATAAAAAATTTTGAGTAATTATGGTAAATCGTTTATTATATGTCTATTAAATCTATTGAAACATGTTTCATTTTAGGTTACATTTTAGGTGTGAAATACTAAGGTAGAATACAGAAATTTTATACATGAAGTGCAACAGTTTATTAAACATAGTGTAATAGTTCGTTCGTTAGTAAGTACATACTAACAATTAACGGTAATGATACATACCTATGATTTTATCTTTAATAATCTTATAAATATAGGAATGTTACTTATGTTGTCTATTGTATAAACATATGTATAATCATGTATTTTCATGTTTATATATATATATATATTTAGGTAGTTTAGTTTAAATAATTGTAAATAAAATATTTACTTTAAATACATTACAATTCTTTATGTTTCCTTAATATTACATATATATATATATGTGCTATCAGTTATTACTATTTGTTTGTTTTTAACGGGAAACCAGAGCTTCAAATGCTAAAAAAAAAAAAAGTATACACATATTATACATAAATATAAACATAAATTTAATATACAACTGAAATACATTTCACAATCGTTTGAGCTCAGAAAGAAAGGGTTATGGCCTTATGATGTATTGTATATATTTCTTCGTAGGTGTCATTACAGGGTAGCGAGGAGTAGTAATACTATTTTAATCGTGGTTGCAGATTAATAGCTACACTACTCTATAGGTAATTTTTAAGTATAACTACCCGGTTTTTTTCATAATAGCATTATACGAATGTAAAAATTATCTAATAATATAGGTAATTATAATTATATACTATCGGCTATATTGAATTTGAACGTATGTTAAGATTAGCCATTGATTATTTAAACTTCTAAATGTATTTAATATTTGTCTGCCTAATTCTAATGAACAATTGACAAGGACCTGATTGATAATTCACCGACAAATGAATTGAAGGACACCTCATTTGACCACAACTGAATTAAAAATATTATTCAAGATGCTTGCTATCCCATGTTTTTACTTTAAATGACGCCAATGTATCTGAGGATATACATATATATCATACATATAATTGTACATGAAACCTAAACACTATAATTTCTTTGTAGTTGGGTGAAAAAATATACATCATAGTAAGATTGCCTCTCCGCCCCCCCCCCCTAAATGTGTTCCTAATTATTTTCCAAGAAATCACTGTATAGATAAAAATTTATATTTTATTACTAGTGGCGGTGATAAATGATAATTAAAATAACTTACTTTTTTCGAAATCTATTTCTGCAGATAAATCGTCATTCATTGATCTCAAGACTAAAAATAAAATTAAATATGGTTATTTTATGATGTATCCGTACAAAATAAATTCGTTACATTGTACCTTATAAGTATGGTGTTTACTGTATACCAATAATTAATGACGGTGCCGGTTGAGGGATCCTAGTTAATGCTTAAGTATAACTAATGTTTGTATACCTATACATAATAATATACCACGGGGCTCATTGACACCAAAACAAACGTGTGGCCCTGGACTGATATTCTTTTGTTGGTCTTATTTGTTCTCCCCTAGCGCCGGTACTGCTTATAGTCTATATTATAGACTTATAGTCATATGTAATACTAGCTAATACCAAATCGTATACATGATGATTAAATATATTTATCTTTTACATAGGTATCATTTGTTATTACCTCATTGATAATATAATTATATTTTTTTGATAAGACGTTGTTAATAGGTAGTTACGTGTTAACTTTAATTTTAGCAAAACAATCATCAATTGATAATTTAGTGTTGGCCGTTGGATCCAATTATTATTAATTGATGTACAGGCAAAATACTTACGCTCTTGAAAAGTTTCATAATCTTTATTATTTGTCATTTGTGGCATATCTAAAAAAATCAATTTTATTTGCGCGTTAGCCCATGGGATGTACGTAAGAAAAAATTCGGGGGGGGGAGGGTGCAAAAATATTTATCATATTACATTATTGTACCGCTGTAAATAAATTTATTAAAACATTTAAGTAAAAATTAAAGATAAGTTATGTTTCGGAGGGAGTTGGTACCCCTGAAATCCCTTTGCATTGTCTATTAGCTTTACTCGTTTAATTTTCTATGTTTTTGTAAAGAAAAGAATCCATTAGTTTTAAAATTATTTGAATTTTGTTTTTATTCAAAAAATATTTTAAGTGAATTCTAAAAACGTTTAATTCAGCACGTTATAGATTGTTAACTAATCTTTTAAGATACCAAAGAAGGATAATTTTCCGAACAAATGAGTAAAAACTAAAAAAAAAAAAAACTGAGAAAAAAATATTTATTTTTAAGCATATGTCAGAATTTTAGTTTTTAGTTTCTTCTTCTTCTGAGGATAATACTCTAAAATATATAGCCGCCATCATAATATCACTCTAATTTTCTTGATCCTAAGGTATTTATCT